CCAAGAACAAGCGCCTACGGAAGAAGAACAACACAAGAAGACAAGTCTACTACTCGCAACAACGACCAATCATCCAAGAACGAAGAAAAATGGTGCGACTACCAAGAGTCCAGCACTCACAACACTGCTGACTGCATGACTCTTAAGAAACTCAAAGCCAAGGCCTCGTCTGACAACGAAAACAAGCCCGCGTACAACAAAAACAAGACTTGGGAAAGGCAAGTCCGACGACGCCAAGAACCACACCAAGAAGGAACTTTCTGTCCTAATGAAAAAGGTTTCCAACGCGGCAGTCAAGGCTGATCGCAATAAGAAAAGCAAAACGAATGCAACCATGTTACCAAGCGCAATCTGACAACTCTGACAACGAGGACGACTCCCTCTGTGGATCCATCAACTATGAAGGACAAGAAGATGGCCGCTGTCGACAAGGCCCTTGACGAATTCGACTTCAATCATGCGGATGGAGAAATCTCCGTCTGAAGATTAAGCCAGAGAATTCAACGGAACAATGTTCCGATTTCTCAATACCTAGTGATGAAGATATCTCACTAAATATTAAACAAGAGTTGTTTGCAACTGATGAAATCTACGGCAAATTAGATAAGTGCCTAGTAACTGATCAAAATAGAATACTGACGATCTATTCGGCATCGTTAACTCGTCCATGGCCAATCAACTCATCAACGTCGCACACCAAAAAGACCTTGAAACTATGTCTATGTTAGTCAAACAGGCGAGCGAAAGGGGAAACAAAAACCCGTTACACTCTGTTGCTTACTGAAAACAGAAGCAACCGGAACCTTAATTGCTCAAACTCATACTAAGAGTTTACTCATGAAGAATCATGGGGGCGTCCAAGCATCACGGACTGCTTCTATGAAAGAATTGAGACCCCTCACGAAGTGTAAGGGCACACTCTCGATTCCTGAGTTCCACGATGATAGAATTATCAAGTGGAATTTACACGTCACCAAGAACTTGGGGGCGCAAGACGTGATCATAGGTCATGACACTCTCTGCGATCTAAGAATCAAGTTTGATTTCACTACCATGTCATTGGAGTGGAACCATGCATTTTTCCCGGCGAAAGAGAACAACTCCAATAGAAAAGGAGAACTTCTCCATTTCCGGTTCTGCGGCTGTCAGCGACAACGCAGATAGTCTCAAGAAGAGTCTTGATACGACATACGAACAAATAGGCTTAAGGCAGAATATGCCAGAGTCGAAATCCGTTTAAACATAGGAAGAGCAAGAACTGCCTCATGCCTTTTCAACCAAGTGGCCTGGACCCAGTCGAGGACACCTTAGGAGAGTTGCGAATGGACGACTACGAAGTAGAACTTCGTCCCGACGTTAAATCCTATTACACTAGGGCTCACCCTACTCCACGAGTCCACACCAACACTCTTAAGAAGAGGTGAAAACGTCTCTGCGAGACAGGAGCACTCAAGAAAGTAAATCGTTCCCAGTGGGCGGCACCAACTTTCATCATTCCCAAGAAAGATGGATCTGCACGATTCATCTCTGATTTCCGGGAACTGAACAAAGGGATTAAGCGGAGGCCTTATCCTATCCCAAAAATACAGGACATGCTCTTGAATCTAGATGGATTCAAGTACGCTACTGATCTAGACCTAAACATGGGATACTATCAACATCGAGCTGTCACCTCACTCGAAACAACTCTGTACCATCGCACTCCCATGGGGAAAGTACGAGTACCAGAGGTTGCCAATGGGCCTATGTAATAGTCCCGACACCTTCCAAAGGAAGATGAAGGCACGCATGCATGACTTAGAAAATGTCCGTGCATACGTTGACGATCAACTCATCCTAACGAACGTCGACCTCGCAGATCGCGTTGAACAGTAGGATGACCTTTCCCCAAAAAGACTCCAAGAAGTCAGGATTGAAATCAACACTACCAAGGCCTTCCTCAATAGGAAGAACTTGAGGATCTAGACAATTGGACTTCTCGAGAAGGAAGCCAAACTCTAAACCAAAAAGAAACAAACGCGATCCACTATCGCCTCCTACCAACAGGAAGTAACTTCGTAGATTCATTGGATCCAATAACTACCAAGGCTGCTCCAAGACAGCAAACGAAGTAACCAACGTTCTGACCAGACGTTGTTTACCCAGTATCCATGACCGTCCGTCATGGACAGAGAACGTGAAGTCCGTGTAGAGATCAAAGAAGACTCTCCGGGATGAACATGGACTTCGTCGCAAGTTCAGCGCGTCAGATCGTACAAGCTCACACAACATCCGTTTCAAAGCAAACCGGAAATACATCAAGGAACGTCGCCGAACACCTTAACCCGAAAAACACCCGATAAGGAGAAAACACGGCACGTTGCCCTCGTCCACACCATTCAACGCACTATGAGGATTCATCAGTACTCAGAAAACGTTAACGGCACACGCAAAGGTCCTTAAACAAGCAGACGAGTCAATAACAATGGCACTGTACGGCTACGACATACACCAGCATAGCGGCAACAGTCTACCAGACTTGACATAAGGTATACAACCCACAACAAGCCTGATCCCCTTGTAGATTGCCATCGTGCACGCACATGTCTACATCCACTCTCGGAGAGTGCCCCGCACTTAATTCATATGTTCTCCTGTCCGACGATGTCGTCCTTCCGTACCCTTGTCAGGGGGCGAATGCAATACACGGCTCTTAGCCTTATTCGCGACTCGATCCATAGATAGGGCTGAGTTCGACTCATGACGTAGTCTTCGCGAATAGTCAATTGGAGCCAGAATTCTCAATGACCGCTCTAGTCATACTAGGTTGATGATGAAACATCGCTCTAGTTATTTAGCTGGCGTGGAAGATTCCACGCTACTAGATAATGCTAGACGAATCTTCACGCGTTCCGTTTTGGGATCGTGGAGAGAGTAGGATTGCTACGCAACCTACTCTATCACACTTTACAGTCTCCCGCGGGAGTTCAGATCTACGATCCTTTGATTGTGGATCTCTCTCTCATTGATTAGTTTTTCATAGCTTTCTAATCCTCTCATAACTTTCATTCTCTCAAACTCAAAACACTCGAAAGATCTTTACACTAGCTTTTAGCGTAGTGCAGTCAGGACCATCCAAGGGCACTGCCAGGGCACAGACCGACGGCAAGAAGAGCGACAAGCCCAGTGATTATGCTGAGAAGAATGCATGGAAGCTGATTCCTCCCAAGGAAGGAGAATCTCAGAGCAAGACCATGAATGGCAAGAAGTACATCTATTGCCCTTACCACCATACGACCAAGTGGGTCCTCGAGGTCAACAACAAAGGAGTCGTTCACAAGACCGGTTGCGAGAAGATGAAGGAAGCATTGGCTGCGGCCAAGGCTACTGACAAGCCCAGTGGTGCAACCGAACCAGATCCAGCAGCTGTCGCCCTTGCCAACGCGATCGAGGACGTCGGAACCGACACTCTCCTACCAGTCGTTACCGAAGAGCTTTGATGGTGGCGGAGTGGAGGATCTCTGTTGTTCCCAGCCGTAGCGTACTGTAATCACTTTAGTGACCAACTTTCTGTTACCTGTGTCCTTCAGCCTCTACTCTTAGCCGTAGCACTAGCCAACGCCCTAGCGACGGCAGTGACCTGGAAGAAGGGACTCAAGACGTTAGCCGCGAGAGCAGAAAGAGCATTTGATGACGCAGCCGAAGAGGCACATCTTACGCAGATGTTGCTCCTCTTAGCTGCTGAGAATATGCCCGGAGTATTGGAATGGTTTAGGGCGCTGTACAGTCAGCCCATGTCATTTCTTCTCTTCGCGATGCTGTACGAAGAGCCCACGCAACTGTTGTTGAGATCAGTCGCTTACGCGACTTGCTGTGTAGTGGACACGGCCACGTTCGCTATGGCGAGCACCGAGTTCGGTGCAGCACTGTGTACGTTCCTTGCAGTGGCAAGGACGTTGTTCTTGTGGGGAAGTAGTCCGCAAGAGCCTCCAGCTTACGTTCCGAAGCGACTCAGAAGAGGACCTTCACTCTTATCACGAGTTTGCAAGTCGTCAATCGGAAAGATCAAGTCCGTATCATGTGGAGTATTGAGCACTGTCTTGCTCATTATCCAGCTGTCGCACCTGTCGGTCATGGAGTCATCGGACGTACCCTCCGTCGACAAACGGCATCCCTGCACGGATGAGCCTTTCCTGGATCAGGACGATGACACGGAAGAACCGTACGCCAGAGTATGTGGCAAGTACCGAAGGACAGTACGTCCGCACATGTTGTGGGATTTGGATCACTCCAATAACCCACATCTACCTCCGACCAAGTTTCAGTTGTTCATCAGGTTCCTGCTGATTTTGAAAGGGGGACTCGGCATGATAGCGTGTGAGACGAATCCACTTGCAGCCTTTCAGTTCATTGCCTTCTCTTTGTCAGGGCGAAGCAACAAGAGTATGACGCAGACTCAGTGCTAATTGCAATCGACAACTGCTCCTCCAGATGCATCACCAATTGCATGAAGGACTTCATTGGCAAGCCGACAAAGGTCAACGTTACAGTCCAAGGGATTGGAGGGACGGTGACGGCAACCTACAAGGGAACGGTCAGATGGTCAATCAAGGACGACGACGGAAGGGTCCATCATTTCGTGATTCCGGATACTTACTACAATCCATCGACGCCATACAGGCTACTCTCGCCACAACATTGGGCGAAGGTGGCGGAGGACAACCTGCCACAGCAGAGAGGAACTTGGTGTGCAACGTATGAGGACTCTGTCGAGCTCTTCTGGGGCCAAAGGAGCTTCCGAAGAGTCATCCCACTCTCCTCCTCCAATAACATCGCAATCGTGAGGAGTGCCCCGTCTTATTCGAAGCTGCACTCCTTCTGCTCCGAGATTGCATCAACAGTTCACGCCGATATTCAGGGATCTGAGGTGGATGAGCTCGAGCTGCTCTGTTGTCCCGCGGCATCCATTTCGGACGATGAGTCATCCATCTCGTCCACGAGCTCGTATGACGATGAAGCTGACTGGGAAGTTAGGGCGCATCCGGACTTGCCCAGTCACGTTGGCACCGAGGACAGTCGATCCAAGGAATTCCAGCAGAAGGTGACAGACGCGTTCAGAATGGGAAAGGACCTGAACAATTTCGCCCAAATTCCTGTTGTAGACCATGACTACACGGAATTCATGAGCAATGAGACGGACCTGCTGTCATGGCACTACCGTCTCGGACACTTGTCATTCGACAGGATCAGGAAGCTGGCTCACCGTGGTGCATTGCCAGCATCTCTCATCAAGGCTAGGGCACCCAAGTGCGCTAGCTGCATGTTCGGTAGGGCGACAAAGAGACCTTGGAGGACTAGGACTCCAGTCAATCAAAACAACGACATGATCCCACAAGCAACGGCTCCAGGATTCGTCGTGGGTGTCGATCAGTTGATCTCATCGACTCCAGGCTTCATTGGGCAGATGAGAGGTATCCTGACTCGCAAGCGATACACGGTCAGCACCATCTTCGTTGACCACTACAGTGGGCTATCGTTCGTCCATCTCCAGACCTCAACGTCGGCAGAACAGACGATACTGGCCAAGAGGGCGTTCGAGAGATACGCCAAGACATTTGGAGTGTCCATCAGACACTATCATGGAGACAATGGGATATTCGACAGCAAGGCATTCGTCGATGAGGTTCATAGGTGTGGGCAAACCATCTCATACGCAGCAGTTAATGCGCATCACATGAATGGCAGAGCCGAAAAGAAAATCAGGGATCTCCAGGAGGCAGCAAGGACGATGATCCTGCATGCCAAACAGAGGTGGCCAAACGCCATCACAGCTCACTTGTGGCCATACGCAGTGAGATATGCGAATGATATCGCAAATGCAACTCCTGTGCTGAAGGGCCAGGATCACGTCTCTCCATTGGAGTTGTTCTCTGGAGTCGACGTGGAGCCCAAGGTCAAGAATACCCATACATTTGGGTCCCCAGTATACGTGCTGGATAGTAGGGCGCAGCAAGGCAAGGCGATGCCCAAGTGGGAACACAAGTCGAGGATCGGAATCTATCTGGGGCTATCTCCTCGTCATTCGAAGAAGGTGGCATTGGTTCTCAGTCTGAAGACCGGACTCGTGTCTCCCCAGTCCATTGTCAGTACGACGACCTGTGCGATACATTGCGGCGATCAACAGGAAACATCGTCCCACCATCCAAGTGGCAAGAGAAGTCTGGTTTCACACAGCTAGAGGAACAGGAGCGAGCGGCGGAATCCCATCGTGGAGATAACAAAGAAGTGGTTCCGACAGATCGACAAGAGAGCGAGTCCGGTCACGAACGACCCGAGAATGCGATCCACGAATCGAGGATTCCGAGAGCCGAGGACATATTAAGAGAAGACTTCGGCATTGGTTCCGACCATGACGAAGAGACGCCGATGAGTTCTGGACGGTCGCAATCGGCGGCAGAAGTGCCGGACAACATCGTGAACGACAATGAGAGACGCTCGAGACGAGGGAGGCGCATCCGCCTCCCAGAGAGAATCAGAGACGACTACGAAGTATCGTTGGCAGCAGCAGAAATCCCTTGGGAGGTCTTCCACGTTGAAGGGTATCAGATCCAAGACGATATGGAAGACCCCATTTCGTTTGCTGCTTCATCCAACCCTGACATCATGTATATTGACGGGGCGATGAACGCAACGGACGGGAAGCACTTCAGAGAAGCAATGACCAAGGAGGTCAATTCACACAGCGACTGGAAGCACTGGAGGATAGTTCCAAAATCTGGAATGCCAAAGGGAACAAAGTTGCTCCCTTCAGTCTGGGCCTTCAGACGCAAGCGAAGAATTGCCACGCAGGAGGTGTACAAGTGGAAGGCGAGGCTGAACGTTCACGGAGGAAAGCAAACGAAGTTCGTTAACTACTGGGACACGTACTCCCCTGTTGTGGGATGGACGACAATCCGCACATTCCTGATACTGATGCTTGTCAACTGCTGGAAATCCAGACAGGTCGACTTCGTCCTGGCGTTCCCACAGGCCGACATCGAGTGTGAGATGTACATGGAAGTGCCACAGGGATTCAGTGTGGTACAAGAAGGTAGCAAGTCGGTGCTCAAACAAACGAGCGACAAGAGACGTTATCACGGCGATCAATGTTTGCTTCTGGAAAAGAACCTGTATGGACAGAAGCAGGCAGGACGCGTGTGGAACAGGTATATGCACGATGGATTGATTGCTCGAGGTTTCGAGCAGAGCAACGTAGACATGTGTGTCTATTACAAGGGGTCAGTGGTGCTGATGATCTACGTAGACGACGGAATATTCCTTGCTCCTACCGACAAAGAAATTGATGACGCATTTCAGCTACTGTAGAAACCATTTGTGGATGAAAAGGGGAATGAGTTCCGTGCATTCAACATGACGAACGAAGGCAGCCTGTCGGACTATCTGGGAGTCAAGATCGAAAAGCTGTCGAACGGAACCATCAAACTGACACAACCCCACATGATCAAGCAGATCTTGGACGATTTGGGCTACAACGACAAGACCAAGTCGCAGAAGACTCCAGCGCCATCTACGGTGAAGCTCCATCGCGACGTGGCAGGTGATCCTATGAAGGACGATTGGAACTATAGAAGCGTCATAGGAAAGTTGAACTTTCTGGAAAAGTCAACCCGACCCGATCTGGCATACGCAGTCCATCAGTGCGCTAGGTTCTCTGCTGATCCAAAGGAGTCCCATGCAACAGCAGTCAAGAGGATCGGAAGGTACCTGGCTGGCAATGCCGACAAAGGCATCATCCTCAATCCGCAACAGTGTTCTTTCGACGTGTTCGTGGATGCAGATTTTGTGGGCAACTGGAATCGCGCAACGGCAGACGTTGATCCAGGAACGGCTAGATCTAGAACCGGATTTATCATCCTGTATGCAGGGTGTCCCGTCACGTGGGGATCCAAGCTGCAACGCGAAGTGGCATTATCTACGACAGAAGCAGAGTACAATGCGCTGTCGGAATCCTTAAGGGACACAATCAACTTGATGCAATTGATCGACGAGACGAAGACAAGGTTGAGCTGGACTGTGCACAACAAACCTCCTGTTGTTCATTGCAAGGTTTTCGAAGACAACAGTGGAGCCCTTGAAATGGCCAAGGAGCCAAAGATGAGACCACGCACCAAACACATCTGTGTCAAGATGCATCACTTCAGAGATCATGTTCGAGCCAAGAAGATATCAATCCACAAGATTCCAAGTCGGTATCACTTGGCAGATATAGCCACAAAACCACAACCTACAGATCTATTTGAATCCCAACGTGAGAGTATTTTACAGTGGGAGGCAGAAGCCATGACGGCAGCACAACTACAGCAGCCTACGAAGCATCTGAGGGCGTGTGACATTGTGAGAGATCATAAGATCCTCAACAATCTGGAAGGTCAGCATGCTTCAGACCCTGACAGGAGCCCTGCTGCCTCAACTGAAAGCAATTGAAATAAGCAATGACAACAGTTGAATTGTCAGTAGTGTAATGAGTATTCTAAGCACACAATGTAGCAAAAACCCTCAGCAGGGACGTTAACAATCCAATCTCAGTTACAATTGTGCCGGTCAGAAAGCCTCTGTGACCTTGTCCCAGATATTCCAAGTGAGTCAGGAGTCTGATGGATGTAAACATCGGGCCTTCATCCTTAGGATTGCCTGTAACATTGGTGACTTCAAGGTTGGGAGTCAGGTAATTTAGAGCCCCCTTGTTGCTTCTGCGAATGTCAGTACCATCAATCTTTATGACCTTTAGAGCAGGGAAGTGGGCCCCAGCATTCATGATGGGAGCCCCTTCCAATCCAGTTTGGGACACAACAAAGACTTCAAGTTCTGGAGTGGAAGTGATTGGTGGCAGCGCTCCAGCAATGGGATTGTAACCGAGTGCACTACGCTAAAAGCTAGTGTAAAGATCTTTCGAGTGTTTTGTGTTTGAGAGAATGAAAGTTATAAGAGAGATTAGAAAGCTATGAAAACTAATCAACGAGAGAGATCACCATCAAAGGATCGTAGATCTGGTCTCCCGCGGGAGACTATAAAGTGTGATAGAGTATGCACTACGCTAAAAGCTAGTGTAAAGATCTTTCGAGTGTTTTGAGTTTGAGAGAATGAAAGTTATGAGAGGATTACAAAGCTATGAAAACTAATCAACGAGAGAGATCCACAACCAAAGGATCGTAGATCTGAACTCCCGCGGGAGACTGTAGAGTGTGATAGAGTAGGTTGCGGTAGCAATCCTCACTCCATCGATCCAAAAACGGAACGCGTGGAATATTCGTCTAGCAGTATCTAGTAGCGTGAAGTACTCCACGTGGCTAAATATCTAGAGCGATGTTTCATCATCAACCTAGTATGACTAGAGCGGTCATTGAGAACCCTGTCTAATGACTATTCACGAAGACTCAGTCATGAGTCGAACTCAAACCCTATCTAGGACGAGTCGCGAATAAGGCTAAGAGGCTGCATCGCCCCTGACAAGGGTCACGGAAGGCCGGACATCGTCGGACAAGGAGAACATATGAATAAAGTGCGGGGCACTCTCCGGAGATTTGGATGTAGACATGTGCGTCGCACGATGGCAATCCTACAAGGGGATCAGGCCTTGTATGGGTGTAAATACCTTATGTTCTCAAGTTGGTAGACTGTGCCGCTACTGCGGTAGCATGTCGGATGGTACAGTGCCATTGTCATTAGACTCGGTCTGGTGAGTAAGGACCTTGTGCGTTGGCTACCTACATCGGTTTTGATACTGATGAATTCATCATAGTATCGTTGACATGTGTTGATGAGGGACACGTGCCGTGTGTTCCTTATCGGTGTTTTTTTGATAAGTCGTTGGCGACGTTCCTTATGGTATTTCCGGTTTGCTTTGAAACGGATGTGGTGAGTCTTGTCACGATTGACGCGCGTGAACTTGCGACGAAGTACATGTTCATCCCGGAGAGTCTTCTCGACCTCTGCGCGGGACTCACGTTCTCTGTCCATTGACAACTCGGTCATGGATACTGGGTAAACCACGTCTGTTTCAGAACGATGGTTACTCCGTCTGCTGTCTTGGCAGCCCTTGTAGTTCATTGTCCAATGAACTACGAGTTCTTCCTGTTGGTAGGAGAGCGATACTGGATCGCATCTATTTCTTTGGTTATGGGTTGGATCCTTCTCGATATCCAATTCAGAGTACTCAGTTCTTCTCCTTTCGAGGAAGCCTTGGTAGTTTGATTTAATCCGCTTCTTGAAGCTTCGGAAAGTCATCCTAACTATTCAACGGATCCGGTAGATCGCGTGTTAGGATGAGTGATCATAATGTATGCACGGACGTATCTACGGTCGTGCATTGGTTTCCCATCTTCCTCTTGGAAGATGTCGGGACTATTCATAGGCCCATTGGCAACTCTGGTACTGTATTTCCCCAGGAGTCGATGGTACAGAGTTGCTTCGAGTGAGGTGACGCTCGATGTGTAGTTCCCTGTTCAGTCTAGACTAGTGGCGTACTTGAATCATCTAGTTCAAGAGCATGTCCTGTATTTTGGGATAGGATAAGCTTCCGCTTCCTTTGTTCAGTTCCCGGAAATCAGAGAGAATCGTACAGATCCATCTTTCTTGGGAATGATAAAAGTTGGTGCCGCCCACTGAACGTTACTTCTTGATTACTCCTGCCTCGGAGACGTTCAACCTCCTCTTAAGAGTGTTGGTATGGACCGTGGATAGGGTAGCCTGGATAATAGGTTTAGCTCAGGAGAAGTTCTACTTCGTAGTCGTCCATCTCCAACTTCCCAAAGTACCATCGAGGTCGAGAGACTTGCAGTAAAAGGAATGAAGCTGTTCCTTCCCTTCCGTGTATTACTGATTTTGACTTGGCAACTCCTTAGTCAGTTTGTTCGTTTCGCATCAAGAATCTCTTGAGACATCGCATTGTCCTACGCTGAGGATCGGAATGAGAAGTTCTCCTTCTATTGGTTTCGCTTCTTTCATAGGAATAGATGTCCCACTTCCACTGACATTGGTAGTGAAATGAACTTGATCCTAGATCAGAGAGATGTCTCGACCTATGATCATGTCATACGCCCCAAGTTCTTGGTGACGTGTAAATCCATCGATATTCTATCTCGTGGAATCAGGAATCAATGCCCTTCACTTCGTGCTGGTGTTTAATTCTCCTGCAGGAGTCCACATCGTTTGGACGCCCCCAGATCTTCATGGTAATCTTTAGCATGAGTTGAGCAATCAAGGTTCCGGATGCTCCTGATCCAGTAAGCAACGGAGTGTAATGGTTTTGGTTTCCCTTTTCTCTGCTTGTTAAATCTAACATAGACGATGGGTTTGAGGTCTCTTGTCTTGCGACGTTTATGAGGTGGTTGGCCACGGACGAGGTTAACGATGCTAAATGATCATCAGAGTCTAGTTGAGCAGCTTCTAGGCAATCATCTAATTTGCCGTAGAGTTCATCAGTTGCAAACAATTCTTGTTTACTAGTTAGTGAGATATCTTCATTTGGTATGAGAAATCGAACATGTTCCGTTGAATCATCATCCTGGCCTAATCCTCAGGAAGGCAGCCGATTTGGCCATTCGCTAAAAATAAGTACTCCAGAAAGTCGCGTGGAGTCGTTCGCGATTCGCGGTAAGTCGCGCTGCGCGACTTGGAAAGTCGTTCGCGATTCGCGGTAAGTCGCGCTGACGAATAGCAAATACTAGCATTTACAGTAATAAAGATGAAGTAAGTCGCGGTAAGTCGCGGTGAAGTCGCGCCATCGTTCTATTCGCGCTGCGCGAATCGCGAGAAACTCGCGGTAAGTCGCGCAGCGCGAATAGGAACGACTTTTCAGCGATAGCTAAAATCGGCTGCCTTCCAGATAGAGATTTCTCCATCCAAGTGATTGAAATTGATAGAGGAGTTGTCCTCATTGTCAGAGTCTCTGATTTGCGCTTGGCAACATGGTTGCGAAGTTTGCAAGTGGTTCACGAGTATCGTCGATCTTTTCTTCGTCATTGTCGACGAGAGGAAGAATGGTTTTTGTCACGCAACTGTTTCTCGAAGTTGCGGAACGCATGCTTTCCTTGAGCCATCTTCATGGTGAAGGAATAGGTTGAGGGTAGCTGAAAGCTATTGTGTTTGTTAACAAATGCACTACGCTAAAACTAGTGTAAAGATCTTTCGAGTGTTTTGAGTTTGAGAGAATGAAAGTTATAGAAGATTAGAAAGCTATGAAAATAATCACGAGAGAGATCACATCAAGAAGGATGTAGATCTGGCTTCCGCGGGAACTATAAAGTGTATAGAGTAGTTTGGGTAGTAATCCTACGTCTCTCCACGATCCTAAAAGGAACGCGTGGAAGTTTGTCTAGCCTGGATCAGTAGCGTGGAAGTACTCCACGCTGGCTAAATATTAGGCGATGTTTCATCATCAACTAGTATGACTAGGCGGTCATGAGAACCCTGTCTCAAATGACTATTCACGAGACTCAGTCATGAGTCGAACTCAAAACCCTATCTAGGATCGAGTCGCGAATAAGGCTAAGAGCCGTGTATTGCACTGTTCCCAGACTGCCACTGCACGATTGAATAACCAAGGCCCCCAGCTCCTGAGGAGAGCTGGCCCAAAAGGGCCCAGCAGAGAGCTCTGCTGGCCCTCCTGTCTGACAGACAGGGCCAAGTCCTTGGCTTGGTGCCTACTGGAGGTGTTGGAACACTCCTGAGGCACGACAAGGCTCCCTGAACTGCCTGACTACCGCTGTACCTGAGGAAGGGTTTCAGCGAGGTCCAGTCCACTACTTGGGTATTGGAACTGAAACTTATTGATCATCACCATCGTCGTTCTTTCAATTCTCCTACTTGCAGCAAAAGCCCCCGCAGCACTGAGGATTGTTGGGCAGAACGGGCTGCCACTGCGAAAACGAAATTCCGTCGTCGTTGAATGGGATATCGAAAACGAACTGATTGTTCCGCGGGTTGTAGTGGAAGGTGTTTCATACGCATTGAATCATGTTGCTGGCAACCACACCCACGTATCCCTGCTAAAGAAGCTATCCAAATCTTTGCCACTCCCAAAGCCAGTGATTGTTGCCGGTATGCCAAAGACTGGCACGACCACCATCAAGTCCTTCTTCCAGCAAGCTGGCTATCGATCATCGCATTGGCGATGTCAACCTCAGCTAACCGATGGCAACGAAACTGCGGAGGAGGAGTTTTGCGGAACTTGTATCCAGAAGGCTATCAACCAATCTCTCCCTCCTCTACAAACCTGCGGAGGATACGATGTGTGGGCACAATTGGACTATACTGTTCCATCCGACAATACTCTTCCTCATGATGACTGCATCTTTCCTCAAGTCGTGTATCTTGAAGAAATTCATCAGGAGTCTCCTCATGCCACTTTTCTGCTAAACCGTCGAAGTATGTCGCATTGGTTTCGTTCCGTGGATAAGTATCATCATTTAGGCAACCGCCTAATCCCATGTCGGGGTAAAGGAGGAACACCAGTGTTGGATCCCACAAAACAAGGACAAGAGGACAAGGACGCGTATGAGGATGCAATCGTTGCATGGAACCAAGAACACCATGTCCAGGCAGTACGGGAATTTGTGCATCGACATCCCAGTCACGCCTTGATTGAAATTGATATTGAAGCTCCAGCTACAGCAGAGTACATGGCAAGTCTCTTTCAAACTACAGCCGAGTTCTGGGGGCACAAAAATCAGCACAAGAGTGTGGAAGAATCAATGCCACAGAAGCAGCAATGAAGCGGTATCATTTTAATCACACTTAACTAAGAGTCAGGGCATAAGGCAGTCTGGCAATGTAACAGGGGCTTGTATATATGGTACTGGTAGTGCGATGGTGATGGGTATGGGTTCTGTCAGGTTGCTTGGTAGTCTACTGCTGTGGCATGAAGATAGCCAGGAAACAAGCTCACCCAGCTTACTGGTACTAGTACGGTACCATGAGGCTGCGTCGAACGAGTGAAGCACTTGCTGACCTTCTAACATTTGTGCTGGCTTTTTGAAAGTATCGGTCACAATGTCACAATGCCAGTCATCGAATAGATTTAGAGCAACCAAGACCCAAGACCAAAAATGTCAAAGATCCAGAACAAGATCACCTTTCGCAAAAGCAAACAACATCCCACAACCCTTCCTTCCTTCAGTTCTTTCATCCGCTTCATCAGAGTTGAAGACCATCACCAATCAAATCAACAAGCAAAACAATCCGCAACCATGAGGCTCTTGGACGCGAAAACTGAAAAGACCAAAAAGTCGGATATGCCGGACTACATGAAGCGCCGATGCTTTGTGCGCTGGGGAGGCGATGTGGTGAAAGTGTTGATGGATCCCGACGAACCTACTATTGTGTTGAAGCAAATATTGGAAGAGCACACTGGAATCCCCGTCGACGATCAGATGATTTTTTACAATGGGATGAAGAAGGCTTTTGAGCACGAAAAAAGCTTGCGCTACTACGGAGCCCACGGTGGCGGATTTTTTGATTTGGCTCACTCGGACGATGTCGACGCAAACATGAATATTATTCGAAAAGCCCGTCGTCGCAAATCCTTCTCGGATAGCGACCATGGAAAGCCGGCCGCTAAAAACACCAAAGACATGGATTTGAGTGTGCAGGAAGAAAAACTCAACAAGCAACGAGCGCGTCGTTCATCGATGATTGAAAAACAAGAAGAATTGAAAAAGTTGAGGGAACAAGAAGAAGCAAGACTGGCGGAAGAAGCCAGAAAGAAGGCCGAAGAGGCCGCCAAGAAAGCCGCTGAAGCAGAGAGGAAAAAGCGACTTCGCAATATCCATGTCACCACACCCGATGGACAAGTTCTCACCGTCACACTTGACAAGGACGGCACCGTAGGCGATATCAAAACGAACATTGCCGACGACTGCAAAATTCCTCCTGGCAAGCAAGTTCTCAAGTACAATGGCAAAGTACTTGACAACGACAGTGGAACACTGGATCAACTGGGAATTCCCGATGGAGCCCAGCTCACCGTAGAACCATTCAAGATTCCAATCACTGTCAACACGCCAGATGGGAAGCAAATCCAAGCCATGGTGGATCCTGCATTGCCTGTAGCAGAGCTCAAAAAACAGCTTGAGGCTGATTCTGGAGTTGCAGCCAACGACCAAAAGTTATTCCTTCAAGGAAAAGAGCTGAGTGATCCTGCCAAAAAATTGGAAGACTATGGGGTCAAGGCCGGCAGTGTTCTTGACATGGTGGATGAAGCCAAACGGCGGGCAGAAGCGGAAGCCAAGAAGAAAGCCGAACAAGAGGCCAAGCAAAAGGCTGAAGATGCCAGGAAAAAGGCAGAAGAAGAACAGAGGAAGAGGAAGAGGACCCTTACTGTGGTCACTCCCGAGGGGCAAGTGATGGTTATCACACATGACCAGGACGACACCATTGCTGATGTCAAGGGTTCCATCGAAGATGGCTGCAAAATTCCTCCTAGCAAACAGGTGCTCAAATACAATGGGCAAGTGCTGGACAAGGATGGCAAGACGCTGGAACAATTGGGAATTCCTGATGGAGCAAGGCTTACTGTGGAACCACTCAAAATTAAAATCACTGTCAACACCCCAGATGGAAAGCAAATCGAAGCTGAGGTGGATCCTGCGTTGCCTGTAGCAGACCTCAAGATACAGCTTGAAGCCGATTCTGGAGTTGCAGCCAACGACCAAAAATTATTCCTGCAAGGAAAGGAGCTGGACGATCCTGCCAAAAAATTGGAAGATTATGGTGTCAAGGAAGGGAGTGTCTTGGACATGGTGGATGAAGCCAAGAGAAAAGCCGAAGAAGAAGCTGCAGCCAAAAAGAAAGCTGAAGAGGAAGCTAGACTGAAGGCTGAAGCAGAGGCCAAGAAAAAAGCAGAAGAGGAAGAAGCCAAACGAAAGGCAGAAGAAGAGGCACGGCTCAAGGCAGAGGCTAAAGCAGAAAAGAAGGCCAAGAAGAAGAAGAAGAAAAAGGACGACGATGGATCGGACAACTCTTGGGAACGTAAGTGGGACTGCCGATTTTGCTTTCTACGTTTGGGTATTGACTGTGCTCACGAAAATTTCTTTCATTTCGCAGCCGAGCCGCATAAGCCCAAAGACTACAGTATTGATTTTACTCCGACTCCATTGGATTTGACTCGTTTCAAAGCCTGGTTCATGATTGGTGACCAGGTACCGTTTGAAATGATTTGCCCGATTGCTATGGACATCAAAGGCTTCAAGGTAGAAATTCTGAAACTACGAAATGAGGCCCGATTCGTCAAACAATATTTTGAAGGGTTGGAAGACCCCAATGAACTCAAAATTTATCCAGCAGGCAGCTGGGGAGAAGGAGAGCCACTGCCTGAGGATATTCCAGTTCCCAAGGACTCGTCAGAGTACAAGTTCTTCAGTGTCCTGCGTTAGAGGGGACAATGAATAGGGTGTAGTGTGCATTTATTTTGGAGCACCGAACAGACGGCGACTCAACGCCCTATGCTGAATGTACGGTAGTTGCATCGTGTAGGTAATTAATTCCATAGGCAAATCCATTATTACACATTTTGGGCCTGAGAAGTCGAACCTGAGGAGCTTACCGCTGCGTGCTCATTTACCGCAATCGACAAAGAAGGAAGTCCTCCTCAAGGATGCTTCCCCACTGGTACCGACAGCTGTCGGCATCAGGTACACTGCAAAACATCGAGGGGGCATCTTTCGCCTCCCAAACTTTAGAAGAACCTTCGTCCTTGCCTCCCCAAGCCAAAACCACATGAGAGCTCTGCTCTACCGGTACCCGTGATCTTACAAGGACAGTCACTCCCGCGGCGAATGTGTAAGACGGCAAGGCTGTGGAAACAAAGATCTCTTTTGGACATGCTTGGGGCACGCGACAGGATCATGCGGAACACGGGCCGATGGGGTTGGAAACCCGAGAAAGCCACAAGCTGCTCGTGATGATGTACGATGGTGTTGAGGGAATGACAACCATCGTACGGCTGTGGAGCCATCAAGGCAAAGGTACTAGCCAGTACCAGTACTCTCAGAAGATTGGATGCAGAAGATTTGGAGAGGCTTCATGAAGTTGAACTCACGTCACGAAAGGCTAGCCATGTCATTGGCGAAGGCCTTCGTCAAATGATCCTTCCTTGCAACCCTTCGGAACACAATCTTCCTATTTACTTTATTGATCATTCTGAGAAGATCGCACTCCATGAATCGATTTGGCTTCTTGACTTTTACCATCCTCGTTGCCTTTGCTGGGGCGAGGGAGTTCAAAGATGATCATGGCATCGTATTTTCTTGGGACGATGATAAGCCGCCGACCGTAGTTGCCAACGCCTTTGGTGCCATTCCTTTTTACCATTTCGGTAAGTAGGATAATTCTTGCCGGAGTCTTTGGTACCTTGTAATCAACTAAAATATTCTTTCTTTGGGTTTCTTTGTTTTTCCTCCAAGGCATGACCAACGAACAGCTTGTTGGAGTGTGGGGCAAATGGCTTGTGCGTGGAAGCAACATCGACTTTGAAACGGACGACGAATTGAGTTCAAACTTTGCATCGGATCCCAATCAGGCAGAGCTTGATTTTCTCGATTCGTTGACAGACATTACGCCAGAATGTTCCACTGATCCCAATGGATGCCAGCGGCAGTTCGACCGAGACACCTTCAGTGGCCTTGATCCCGACTTTGCTGTTTACGTTCATTTTGGCCCATTTGCCGAAGTGCTTTCTCCAATCGAGTCTGTCACAGGCAGCCCACCCATTTTTATCGACACTCGATTTGAAGACGGCGATGGATGCCGCACTGATACCTATGAGCTCAATGTAACGAACTGTTATGCCCGTTCTGTGGAGGACGTCATTGACAGAATCCGCGAGTTGGCAAAGTTCTTGGGAGTTGAGGAGTCGCCAGAGGTTGTAGAAGACCAACAGAGATATTGCGAGGCTGCCAATGAGTTTTCACTCATGGCGGAACAACTCCAGGAACGCGGCGTCCGCTGCCTTGCTGCATCGGTGAGGCAAGCCAACGGTGGAACCATCAACGTATTCAACACAAACAATCTTCCATGGCTTCGTACATTTGAAGATCTTGGACTTCCCTTGCTCACTGCTCCTTTTGAATCAAAGAGCGACTTCACCTATACCTACTCTGTCTCTGATTGGTACCCAGAATGCGGAGGCCAACCCAGTGGATGCGAAACCTTGACCCCAGCGCTACCAACGGATTGTTTCCTCTTTGACACTCGCACGTTCGCCTACATTGAAGACAGCAAGGAACAAGTCCTTGGCTTTCTGCCAGAAAAGACCATCGAGCAGGACCAGTACTCGTACTTTCACTTCAATGAGGGAGGTTTCTCCTACAGAAGAGCGGCGGCCGTGTTGAATCAAATCAATGAAGACCTCAAGGACGTCCAGCCCCTATACTCCCAAACCCCTTGCGCCACAGTGGACGTCTCGTCCAGAGAATATACTAGCTTGGCTTCTGGCGGTCTCTCCGCAGGTCAGTACGCATGCTACAATAGCGAGCTGATGACATGCCCCAAGGGTTTTGAACCTGGGACTAGCTTGGCTGCTGATATTGCAACAGAGACCAGCCAAAGCAGCAACGGGGGAGGTTCGTCGAGCAATGGCAATGGCTACCAACCTATACAATCAAGCGGTGCCCTGCAGCTGAAGAGACAAACAGTAGTTGGGTTTGTCACATTTCTCACAGGCCTCTTTCTTGGATCCATGTTCAGTTAATTGTCGAGAATTATAGTAAATATTTTATGCGACGTTGCCATTGTGGTGCACACCTCTATATTTGAGATGAACAGGAAGCACAGTATGAAATTCGTGTGCTCCAGCCACGCCATGCGGCCTTTCAGCGCCGAAACAGATTGAATAGAATCATTCAATCAATCATGCGTTCTTTCATGAAATCATACGGAGAAGAATAAAGTCTGCCTCGTTCTCCCTTCGTTGAGAATATAGTTGTTCGTGAAATCATTCAGAGAAGATTCATCAAGTCAGCCTCGTTCTTCCTTCCCTTGAGACTATAGTTTTCCTTTTCTCCACTCAACTTCTCACACCGTAATGTTCTGTCGTTTGGGTGCCGTCCATAGCAGTGTCAGATACACAAATGCCTCCAGTGCCACCGCCTGTGCCACCAGAAACCAGCATCCCGACAGAATGACGCCTCCGGACACCAGACATTGATTTTCCACAACGTTCTCAATCTGCACGCAGATGAATCCATCAATATTTTCCCCCACATCATCAAAGCTCCCCACCGTGACCAACATGGCCAATGCGCATGGGAACTGGCACATTGCGGGATGCAGCAACTTGAGAATATCTCGTAGTTTGTTGGCGCGGGTAGTTGTCGCTTGTTGTCCATGTGTTTGCCACCAAATCATGGACGCCACCGCATGGGCCATCACGGGTATCACAAAGGCAACTGTCAATAAAATCCCAAACGTCAAGACGAGCATCCACATATCAGTACCAGCCTTAACTCCGGTGCGCCATACCACGAGTGGTAGCTGCCAAATGTACGTATTGAAGGCTTTGGTTTTGACGAGTTGTACCACCATGCCATCGTAGAGAACTCGAAAGGTGGGCAATGCCATGGCAGGAATCCACAAGAGGAGTGCCAAAATGCCCAATTGAAAGGCCACCAAACTCTTCCAGGGTTGGACGCGAGTAGTAAATGGTGTTTGTTGAAATAAATCGGTAGCAGTAGTCGTGTTATCTGCACGTTCCGTGTCACTCAAATCATTGGACGACAAAAATCCCATGCGAAAGGCATGGAGGGGTGGCGCTCGCAGGGCTTGTGGCGGAGGAGGTTCCAACTCGGGTGCTACCAATTGTGGTGGTTCTTGTTGTGGCTTGTTGTTGTTGTGATGGTGGTTGTCGGCACAACCCCAAATTTGTAAATGTTCGAGATAGGGCAATCGTAGGACGACCACCGCCAGTGTGGCACACGTGCAGCCCAGTAGATAGGAGAGGTATCCCCCTTTTAGTTCGTTGTGTACCTGTATATCGGTTTCATCCCATGTCAATTCCAGTCCTCCAATGGCCACATCCAGTGCCAAGAGAATGAACATGACGAGCCAACTGAGTCGAATGGACAATTCGAGCCACAATCGATTCGGTCGTACAAAGCCATTGGCGCCATAGCGTCGCGGGGGTTCCGAAAAATCCGAGAGGATCCAAATGGGACAGACAATCATAAAGACACAGGGAAGCACGACACTGCAGAACCATAGCGCCGCTTCACTGGCATAACTCTTGTCATCTCCTAAATTGGATGCCATGCTAAAGACGGTCGTCTTGACAATGACCACATCCGTGTGTTTGGTGACCACGGGCAGGTATTTGGAAATCCAGCCAATATTGATTTGAAGATGCGTGTTCAGCCAACCGTCTTTGGCCGAGAAAAAGGCGCCCCAGATGAATCCCCACATTAGACAGACCAACGTGCCCGCCAGTATGGTGGTCCCCGAGGCTCGTCGATAGGGTGTCGCTATTTCGGATTGTTCTGATTCGTCTACGGGTAACAGGGCGGACGGGGGCGTTGATTCGGCAATCAGTCGGGACAGAGCCGATTCTTCTTCCACTTGAGGAGGACCGCCCAAGGCAGCATCATGATCTGAATCGGCTAATAGAGGGGTCTGTAGAGAGGATGGCATGGTAACAACAATAGCAATAGCAATAACAATGGTGGAGAAGAATAATCATGCGTTGACACGAGACAATATTTGTGACATCGTTTGGTGTTTTCCTCTTCTCGCGAATTTCTTTCGCAGTCCCGTAGAAGACAGGACTGCATATTTTGGTCAGAGAGTCCAAGGCACTCTTAGGAGAAGGCTTTCAGTTGTCAGCAGCTCTGCTGTCTCGCAATGGATGATTGTTCCATCCTCTCTTCGGAAACCTCGAAACCTTGTCTCCCCAACGCGTCCTCGCACAAAACAAAGGGCATTCAAGATGACGGTGTCTCTCACTCTGCCTCGTGCTGCGATCTTGCTGTTTGCTGCTTGCGCTGTTGCTCAAGCGGTTGATGACGAGAGCAGCGAGACATGTTTTGGTGATACGTCCTCCTCCAACGCAAGCTCTTCGGTCGTGATGGAGCGTTTGCAGGAGCTTGCGCCAGTCTGCAAACTTGTTACGACATCTGTCGTTAGCTTTTTGAGCACCTTCCTGGTGCTTCGAACGCTCACGACGGCAGCCAAGCTGGCCATCGTCGTCTTCTTGTTGTACGTGCAAGAGTCGAGTCGATGGAGCGGCCGATCGATCGATCGATCGCGAATGGTTTTCTGGTTGTCGTCGACCAACTCACGACTCGATGCGTCTCTCTTTTCGTTCCTTCTCCACAGTACCCTGCTGATGGATGAGCTTCCCAATGTGCTAGGTGATACGCTGAAAGGCTTCTTCGGTGAACACTCTGCTGCACTCCAGCAGTACCTCTTGTCCAAAGTCGGCAGCATGGCAAACGATGGATGGGAATCGTTCAACATTACGATTCGAGGACTGGTGACAGCCGGAGACAAGTACACGATTGTGGGAGTGGTGGTTGGGACGCTACTAGCCATGTACAGGGCTTGAGCGCTGGATCATCCTGTCCTGTCCACAAAGCCGCCCGACAGAAACAAATCCTGTGCACTCAAATGTAAGTGCGATACCGGTACGATGCCGGCATGTGATGATCGTGTCAGTTACAGAGACCCAGAGCACCAGACAACTACCGGTACACCGATAGACCACTTGATAAAAAGCAGACTACGTAACAACGATAGCTTCACAGTAAACTTGAACCACATCGTCCCTACAGGCATCCGGACAAGACCGTTCTTGTTCTCGGCTGGACTCAAGTCGTCTTAAGTCACCGACTGACCGGTACGGCACCGGTACTATACCGTAATCCGCAATTGGCATTCAAGCAGCTTGAATTCGCCGTCGAAGGTTCGCGACCAAGCACGTGCTTCGTTTGTACGAAGCAGATGTAAGACGACCCACGCACCTCTGTGGTACAGTCGTACTGGTATCGGTACGCTGTGGGCATGTCCGCTCCACGCTCCACCATTTCTTCCGCGTTGCCCGTGCGTTTCGCAAAACCATTCTTAGCTCTTCATTGAGAGAGAAATATCAAAATTGACCGTGTGTTTGCTGTGACAAGTCTTGAGACTGTCGAAACGCCCAAAGCGAAGTGCTGAAAGCGGACACAACGGATGCTAATGTGTCACGGCTCACAGGAACGCCAGTCTGCTTCGCCCTTGACTCCACGCTTTGCAAATCAGGAGAGCTGCTCATAGTTCGTTGCAACTCCCTGCCTTTTGGTCACAAACGAAGCGACTCCAACAACTGTCACCCAGATTTGAAACTTTACTCACCATGTTGTCCTTGCAGATTGCCCTTATCATCCTTTTGCTCCTGAACATTTCTGCCAATGGACTCGTCGAGGAGAACCGCTCTAGCCGTCTTCGTTCGTCGTCGATGCAACGCACTACCGATGAGTTACACCGAATGCTACCCGGTGAAGATGAGACTCCCAGCCCAACCAGTGCCAGCCCTAGTATTTCACCCAGACCATCTATATCGCCCCCTCCCTCGTTGTCTCCTACAGTCACCGCCTTTCCAAGCATCATGCCAACGTTAGGTCCAAGTCAGGAGCCAACGCGCCTCCCGACCACGGAACCGACTGCCGCCCCAACAATTGCACCAAGCACTGCTCAGCCCTCAATGGCCCCCACGATGGAGCCCACAATGTCATTTCAACAACGGGTGATGGAAAGCCCCGAAGCAATCGCGTCGATGATGATTCCCCTAGCATCGCTTGGTATTGTTGCATTGGCTGTTCGTCGTAAGCGCAACATGGAGACGAAGATTGCTTTAGAAGGCTTGCTGAATGAAAAAGTTCCCGACGAGATTGCCGTCCCTGCCAAACAGCCCGCTGGCATGATGAATGGAGTGGAGTTGGTAGATGCGTCCGTGTGGAAGCCCAACACCGAGTGGCAACCCAACGAAGCGACCGTGGTCCAAGTGCCCTCGGAACTCACGTCGGATCTCTCAACCGAGTATGTGGTCATGCACTAGTTACAATACTACGGATCGCTCATTCAACAGGAAGGGACAGATTGTGTCTTGTTTGGTGTTCTTGGAGGAGATAGAGAGAAAAGACGGCTCTTTCATTTTGAGTGCACTGTAATGCCTACTAGATTTCTATTGTTTGTCCCGAGCGCTCATGCCACCACTAGCTAGCTACTTGGTTGCTAGTATCACAATGGCTACACACACAACCCGTGTACTTATCTTATATGATAGGCGAGGAAAGCGGGAGTAGATTTGCACAATGATGGTGAGTTTCCCAACCATAACATCACGAGGGTTAGAGTCTCCGCGCCACGCTGCGTGAAGCATGGGTGTGGAGTTCTCAAGGTGTGCTGTTGCTCTTCACGCAACAGCATAGACCTAAGCATGAGGCATTACCATACCCCAATTTTGAGGAATCACAGGCACTCTGCATAACCATCTTGCCATAGGGCAAGTACGGTATAGGCACAGGTATTACCTATGGGTGTAGCGTCTACCCCCAATATGCTTCAAAGTATCATGGATGAACTCTTTGGTGATTTGGAGTTTGCCAAAGTATGCATTGATGATATACTCATCACTCTAGGTGGTGCCACTGAGGACCATCTTTCTAAACTTGAAATAGTACTAAGCAAACTTGACAAAAATGGATTCAAAGTCAATGTCCGCAAATGCTTCTTTGCAGAGGAGGAGCTAGAGTATTTGGGCTGGCAACTTACTCAAGATGCTATCAAACCGCATCCACAGAAAGTGGAAGCGATGCTCAGGCAGCAAGTGCCTAAGACTGTCAAGCAATTGAGACATTTCCTTGGGATGGTTAACTATTACCAAAATATATGGCGATGCCGAAGCCACATACTAGTCTAGCTCCAATGACAGAGCTACTTTCCCAAAAGAGGAAGTGGAACTGGACCAACGAATGCCAGGAATCCTTTGAAGAATTGAAAAGGATTATGAGTGAAGAATTGTTTGAGGATTGCAAAACATTGGGGATGTTGGGTGTGGATGACACTGTATTTCAAGAGTCAAACCTTGACACAAACCAATTGGGTGTCCGGTGGGAAATTCAGGCAGCCGTCAGGAAATCCTTTGATCACCGCAGAGTGACATATGGCTCAACCCCCCAGGTTCATCTCCATGAGTACAAGTTGGAAGGAACACTGTCACTCATGGGGAGAACAGTTGGCCGGTTTGTTGAATCCGAAGCTGGCTATCTAGGCTGTAGGACTAGCACAGTGCTGTCCTGCAAATATTCGCAAGAGTTTGGATGTTGGCCTGGACCTTGGTTCTTTGCCAACAACTGGTCTTCTGTGGGAAGAACCAGGCATGTTGCAAACAGAGTTGCCTTTCTGGGTGAGATGAAAGAGGAAGGAACTTTGGTGCTCAATTGGATCTCAAACAAGCATATCTGCAGTGAACTCTTCGGTATATGTCGACACAAACCCCAGTTCCCTTGGTTCCCCCAGCAATCCCAGGCGAGCAGCACTGATGAGTCCTCAATGGACGAAAAAGTACTTGAGCACTCTCACTTTTTGCTGCATTTGATAGAGCCACTGGAAGAGGCGTTGGATGGCGGTGAGTGACAGAGTGACAGTGTTGTTCTCTGATAGAGGAGTTCAGGTTGCATGACACTGGTGTTCTTGCTGTGCTTGGTTTGCTGTGGGCAACTACCGGTACCTGTGTCTCCTACTAACCTTGCATGAAACAGCAGCCTACCTAATGAGGATATCAAGAAGGTACACGAGATAGTCCTATAAATTACATAATCAGAAACTATGACAAAATGTACCTCTAGCAGAGTCTGCCCTCCATGCTGAGCTGCCTCCAACGATGTGGAAATGAGTGTGAGAAGGCCCTCTTCATTTACTTGTTACAGTTTAACATACAATAGTAGCTGCTGTGGACAGAACTCGCTTGACTCGCTCATTCCCCTGGAGCAACTTTTCTCCGTTTCTTATTCTTCTTGGAGTCTTTTTTCTTTTGCATCTTTTTGGCCTTGGCGACGAGTGCTCTTGCCTTTTCCACCTCTTTTGGATCCATTTCCAGATCTTGTCGATTGCCACCCAATTTTCTCTTCTTGTCCGTGGTAGTCTCCTGTTCTTGCTGCTTGTTGTTGGTTTCTTTGGGTTTCATTACTTCTTCCTCTTGTGATTCATCATCGTCGTTGTCGTGTTCTTCTTGTGGTTCATCATCGTCCTGACAAGCCCACGCCACGAGACAAGTGACCCTGGCTCCAGTTCCTAATTGTACGGCATCAATAATGTCGACTGCCATTTCTTCTTGGTCGTCATCGTTGTCACTATCCGATCCTGCTGGATTCTCGTCATTATTGTCGGGATTCTCTTGGTCATTGTCATTGTTGTCATTGTCTGTCATCATCATAGTAATGGCCCCTTGCAAATTCATGAGGGAAATGACACCGGCACTATTGGCCGTAGCCACATAATAGCCGGCCACGGTACAGATACACTTGTATCGTTCTTCCCCCGCCACAGGTCCTTCGACAGGTTCAATGGCCATGATAGCCCTTCGTGCTTCGGCGTTTTTAATAGTGTCATCGTGGATTGTCTTGACGGCCACTACAGGCAATGATCCATCGTTGCACGCAGCCGCTACAAAAATCCCTTGATGCCCTTGTATCAATGCGAGTTGATTGACACGACTGGGCAATTCGACATGACACCAATCCTCTCCGGTTTCCACATCGCGCACAGTAATGTGCGATCCATGACAAAACGCATATAAACTGCCATCGTGACTCCACGCCAGCGACACGATGGGATTCTTTGTTTGGATGGAAGTGACAAAGGAAAGTCGTCCTTTGGTCAAATCCCACAATTTGAGTTTTCCATCGGCATGTCCTCCCGTCAGTGCGAGTTTTCCCGATGGATGCACGGCGACACTGGCGAGACCTCCGACATGCCCTGCCAAGACGTGTTGGACGGACCAATCTCGTTTTTTGTAAATGACTAATTTGCCACTGCTGAATCCGACCAAACAGTGTGTCGAGTGACTTTGATTACTTGTAGCAGAAGAAGTAGCAATGGGAGGTGGGGGTGGCGCAAAGCAGGCAACGACAGGCGTTCCAAAATCCATGGGAGTCTTGACTTCTCCCGAGGATGTGAGGCGACGATGCCAATCATGTGTCTTGAGCATTTCATCGTATCCCGTGGAGAGTAAGGATCCTGGCATAGTGTTGTTTGTAGAGTGGTTGTTATTGGGTTGGGATGCCAAACAGAGACATCGAACAGATCCACCATGGACGGGAGTGGCAAAGGAAATTTCCAGTTTTCGTTGGTTTTTCTTGTTCTGTTTCAATTCCCATCCAGCCACGACGCCATCATACGTCCCCACCGTCACAATCACTTTGGCAGGAAGTGGGTTTGACGATGACAGGCTCTCACTACTAGTAGTGGCATCATGATGGGTATCGCTTTCATCGTCAGAAGAGGAGCTTGTCATGGTGACTTGGTAGGTGTCTTTGGTCGATCAATAAATAATGAGACGAGATGGAGGAAGAAATGCGCTTTTGAAAAAAATGGGTGGTGTTGATGAATCTTTGCAACTTAGCCAGCAGAGCTGTACCCTCATTTTTCTTCCAGACGTTCAAAGAGAAGAAGCAAAAACTGTGGAAGATCGGCGATACCGGTATGGAGTGCCATACCCATCAATCTACTGGTACTATCTATCTTATCACATGCATCATATCATAGCCACTGCTGCCAAGATGTTTCGTCCTCGACTGTGTCTGTTGGGAAGTCCTGGCAGTGGCAAGGGATCCTATGGACAAATATTGGCACGGCATTGGGGGGTTCCCATTGTCACTGTCAGTCAGGTCTTGAAGCAACAACAACAACTCGTCAGTCAACAAGACCAACAAGATCAAATGGCATCGGGAAACTTACTAGATGATCAAGTCGTCAGTCAAGCAGTACTAGAGTATCTTTCTCAACAACAAAAAGACGCTACTACTACCACTTCTTCTTATTTATTGGATGGATTTCCACGGACCATCGATCAAATTCATCTCATGGAATCCACGTGGCCGACATTCCTGCAAGTCCAAGCAGCCGTTCATTTGAATGTGCCAACCGATGTCTGCGAACGAAAATTACTCGGAAGACGCATCTGCACCGTCTGTGGCAATCACTTTAATATTCACGGCGTTACCAGTGGAGGATTTGATTTGCCTCCCAAATTGCCACGACCGGGAGAATGTCACCGTGCAAATGCCTTGGGGACACCCAGTTTGCCCCAACAGCACAATTTGACAAAATGCAATGCGCCGTGGATGCGACGAGACGATGATCAACGCGACGTCATTCAGCATCGACTGCAACTCTATGCCCAACATACAAAACCCATTTTGGAGTATTATTGTCAACAACAAGCCAATAGCAGGCTCTTTGACTTTGTCCCATATCGAGGATTTCAGGACATGGCCAGGCTACAGACCGAACTGGAAGAGTGGCTCGGGGAGAATCTACCCGAAACGGTGCAATAGAATAGAATGCAAATCACTGAACCGGCGCTGGTTGGTTGGTTGGTTGGTAGTGGCAAGTACTTTCAGTTCGATGAGCACGGACCAGGCTTTCAGGAGGCAAACAGAGAGTTGGAGTTGGCTTCAAAGTGGAAGATTGAGATCAGGCGGTGTGGTGTGTACCTTCTCAGCGCCGATAGACCTGGTCTGGCCTTGTCATTGACGCCAACAGGTGAGCTCACCCTGGGGCTTCCTGGATATGCTTCTCTTTGGAAACTTGAACCCCGCTTGCCGAAACCACATCCCAAATGGAAGTATTTGTTGATCATGGGAGGTATGGGGGGCGTGTTTCCGCTTCTGCTCCCACCTTACCCAGCTGGGGCAATTGAAGTTGCGAAGGAAGAAAAAGCCGTAGTGGCGAGTCTGGCTTTTACAGGTAGTGCTTGTGCCGCACTTCTGCTCCCACCTTACGCAGCTGCAATTGGAGTTGCGAGGGAAGAAAAAGCCGTGATGGCGAGACTGGCCATTACTGGTAGTGCGTGTGCCGCATTGCTAGTGGCTTGCAGCGGGGACCATCTCGTATCCGCAGGCACTTCTCTGCAAACCGCAAATAGTCGTCGACCACTCTGTGCATGGAGAGCCTGGAGCAACCGTGGCTACTGGTAAAAGGAGCGTGTGCACTTCGGACCCAACCAAAGATAAATTGACACATGCCAGTACCTGGTACCGGGGAGAACAAGAGCTGTCGGCTCTTCATACTATGGATACTATGGAAAGCCAGGATATGCCATGTCTGGAACAGAGAGGCAATTCTACAAAGTCCAAGAAAGAATTTCTTTACTATCCTTGTAAACGCTATACTCACGCCGTTGCTTTGGCATCGTTAAAGCAGTCTGTCTTGCATCGCCTTGCTGCGCGCTTCAATGCTTCGTCGTCATAGTTGTCGAGGCCATTCGGAAACCAGCTCTCCCAATCCATGTGAAACTCAATGAAAAGCATCTCGTTACCCAAGTCATCGGGATCCACAAAGCTGTACTGCTTGCAATCGTCTCTGTCAGGTGTTGGCTCGTTGCACATGTCCGTGGCCACTGTGGTGTCTGCACCATGAAGTGTACCGAAGCGAACCTGATGGGAAACTGGACATGGATAAATTCGATAGAACCTCGCCAGATTTACAAGAGATTTCCAGGCCATGCGATCTTTGGACCATCCTTCTCGCAAAACTAGAAGTCGTTCAAGGGATTTGTCATTCAACCCTGGGCCAAAGAAAGCTTTGAGATCCTCTTCCGATTCAACCTTGGCATTATCAACATCAAGCCAGCGGGACGCATCAATCTCTGGCTGTTTGCAAAAGAGTACAATGGCAGCATTGCCTTTCTTGGTAGAATTGCCCCGTCTGTTGTCGACGAATTTGCTGCTGTCTGGCCAGCTGCGGTCCAGCGCACTTAATACCGCCATCTTCAGGTCGTTCTGAAGTGTGTTCTTTGTGCAGTACACACCGTCACCAAAATCATGCGTACCCTCGCTTTGGGTGATTCGTGCTAATTCCTCGACCTTTTGGAGGACACTAGCAGTGGTACCATGCATAAAGTGGTCGTCGTATCCGGCTTCTCCCAGCCACTCTTCCAATGCTGTAACCGCTTGCAATTCTGCGCCCCTGCTCATATTCAGTGACATGTAATCCAAATATAGCTTGCTCCCATCCTTATGTTCCACTGTCTTGTAATGCTGAATGAATTCTCCGTCGGTTGGTTCCCCATAGGAGGGATTGTCATATTCAATGTGTTGGAGAAGGTGGTAAATCATGTCAATGGTCGGTGTCGTTCCAACAACACCAAGCGCGTCTTCCCACATCTTCTGTGCAGCAAATTTCATCTTTGCAGCTTCTTCGTTCATTCCAAGGTACACGCACAACTGTACTCCATTTTCACGGTTAGTCATCTTCATGAGATCCTTCAACTCCAACTTGCTGAGTTGAAGCTTGATGTGGCAATGAAGAGAATCTTTCAATCTCCGAATGGGGTCTTTCTTGGTTCGTCGGCCACTAGAGGAGTCTGGATTTGGTAGAGCCACATGAGGGAAGAAGTGGCGAGCCCTGCCAAAGACTCGCTGCTTGCGCTCCTCATACAATGTCATGTAGCCCATAGTCTTTTCTCCTGTGGAGGAAGACACGATCGATGAAAATTTTCCTTCATCTTTGACATTGCTGTTACATAGTTGCTCCTCATCACAGAGTGCCTCTTCTCCTGGTGTTTTGGCCAATGGCACAAACAAGGAATTGCTTCCACCATCATTGAAACTGCTAAAGGTACCGGTACTGGTACAAACAGTCTCAATATCATCTTTGGATGGAGATACCACCTTCACACGCCACGTCGTCCATGCAACAGGAGATCATCAACAGGATGAGACCAACAACAAACAACGCTACCGGTAGGGCCGCAACAAGATCAATGCTGGGGTTGATACTGCCCATGGTTGGTGGTTGATTTGCTGCAATGCTGAAATACTAGGGTTCAATGCTCGATAAGTTTGATCTGTGAAGCGAGCAACGAGAGCATTTGACGGCTGATGCGCCCGCCCTTTGCGTGGACGGGAGTGGGGTGGTTTCCTCGGCGTGCAAACCTCGTCGAGACTTTCGATCTTTTTAAAATTTCGGTCTTCCCCATGACGTCATCTTTGGGGTTGCTTGATGCGAGCACGCGGAAGTTCTTGCTATTAATTAATTAATAGCTGGCTAGCTACCGGTAGCTAGCTCGGCTTTCTATTTTTTAATAATTAATAATTAAAATAGCTCAGTAAGATCACCGATACTGTACGGCAATGGACAGGGAGGGGGTAGAGAGCACTACATACAGCCTGTGCATATGAACAGGATTTTTAGAGAGCCAGCCTGCAGTCAAATTTTGGCCTGGCAGGCGACGCGATTCCTGTGCAATTGCACAGGCGACGTGATTCCTGTGCAATTGTACAGGATCGACGTGATTCCTGTGCAATTGTACAGGATCGACGTGATTCCTGTGCAATTGTACAGGAGGTCGTATCGACATGATTCCTGTGCAATTGTACAGGAGGTTGGATCCTGTACAATTGCACAGGAAATCGGACGTGCTTCTGCATGCTGGTTGAAGGCAGCAATACCTTTTGATTTCTGGTTGAAGGCAGCAATACCTTTTGATTTCCCGAAACCCCTGAGTTGTACAACAAAGCCAGAAGCACGACAAGCGTTGACAAAATATGGTGCAAGCGTTTTAGTGCAAGCGTTTTAGTGCAAGCGTTTTAGTGCGAAACTCAGCAGTATTGGTAGAGAATTCCTTTGGGAGCCAGTGCACAATAGCAGTGTTGGGCTCCGATCGGTTGCGAGTATTGTGACCGAGTGTTGGAATAAGATTGAGCCAGCTACTTGAATGATTACGGGTGGAGACGTCCATACCTCAGCCTGCGAGATAGCAGGAGCGTTCCTCAATCGTGCATGAAACTGACCCTAAAATAGGGTCGGATTTAGGGTCGGATTTAGGATCGGATTCCCTTTAGGGTCGGGTTTCGAAACCGACTCTAAAAATAGGGACGGTTTCTGAAAAACCGTCCCTAATTTAGGGTCAGGTTTCGATTCATGAGTACCTGCTGCGGGTACTCGATGTGAGTACGGGTACTGAGTACTGGGCCTACTCAGTACCCATACTCACATGACCTCCGAAATTCTGAGTACTACTCAGTATCCGAACTCACTTACCTCTAGATTCCGAGTACTTTGTGAGTCTTCGGTGGGTACTCGATGAGTACAGCAAAAAGATCACTATTTTCTCACTTTGGGCTCAATTGCAAAGATAAATTCTCTAAGTATTTGGTATATGAGTACTCAGTGAATATACCGTAGTATCCAAAAAATACCTGGACTCACATAGTACCCGTACTCACTCACTTCCAGGATTCTACTCAGTACCCGTACTCACATGCTAAAACAGTGTGAGTACCACACCCTGATATGTATGTACAGCCTCCTGTACATATGAACAGGCAGGCCGTCCATTTCCTGTGCAATTGAACAGGCGTCGCCATCCTGTTCGATTGCACAGGCCGTCCATTTCCTGTGCAATTGAACAGGCGTCGCTATCCTGTTCGATTGCACAGGAAATTGGACGTTTTTGAATTCAGGCCAAAAAAATGGCTGGCCTTGCTCTCAATCTGCGGGCATCCTCCCTGTTCATATGCACAGGCTGTATGTAGTGCTCTCTACCCCCTGTTGTATTTTAAAATACCGCACCATCAAATTTGGTTGAAAATTCGTTCATTTAACAGCGGCACCAAAGTTGAAACCAAAATTTGATCATATTTATGTCCCAGTATCACTGTTGTACTAGTACTAGTAGTAGAAATTCTGTAGAAATTCGGTTTGGCTGAAATCTTCGGAAATGAAAAGTCCCAGCGTATTTTGTGGTACAAAACGAAACCGAACGGTGACCTCCGTGAATCCATTGCATCAAAAAATGTCCCTGGCACAAAGAGACAGCCCGTCTTCTGACAAAGAGGAGTCGAGTCCTACAGTACAGCACCATGGCAAATCGCCGTGTTCGATTAACGAGACACAAGGCGGCGACGGCCAATGGTGCCGCTGGACGAATGGCATATTTGAGATGGATCCTATTCCTTGCAACTTTAGGTGCGATTATGGTCTTCCAAACAACGACCTCAAGGATCAATTTCCAAAGTTGGACCGAAGCGGCGACAGTCCTTCCGGACAGTAGTATTTTGTTAGGAGGAGCATCATCATCATCATCATCATCATCATCATCCACCACAGCAGTAGATTCTTCTCAGCAGCAACAGGGTCAGCACCGAAGTCTTCTTCGAGGGACGGATTCACAGCAAGAACAACAAAATGATTCACATTCCAACAGCCACCACATGGCCTTCAAATCACCGGATGCGTCACATCGGATTGCTCATTTCCGTGATACAGCATTGAAATTTGAACCAATAACCGACAAGATTGGTGTCCATAGTGAACATCGGTACCATAATATGGTACGTCAATCGATATACGTGTACAATCGAATTTGGATATTCTTGCCCCGGCTTACGCTCTCTCGTTGTTGTTTGCTGTCATGATGTGTGGGTGATGTCACATGCACCGGTATGATGATTCAGTATGGACAATACTTATTGCCATATGTTGCAACAAAGCCCAGGATGAAATTTCTAGAGATTGGATTGGGGTGTAACATGGAATACGGAGCTGGTGCTTCCGTCAAAGTTTGGAAGGATTTATTCCCAGAGGCTGACTTGTGGGAGGCCGAGTACGATGGTGAGTGCGTGCAAAAGGCCAAAGCGAAAGGACAGCTTGACGGGTTACACCCTTTAGTCGGTGATCAGGCAGATGAGGGGGTGTTGAATCAATGGATACAAGAAAGTGGGGGCAAATTCGATATCATCATTGACGACGGGGGCCATTCGAATTGCCAAATGTCCAATTCATTTGATAAGTTGTGGCCGGAACTGTTACCGGGAGGGTTGTATTTCATCGAAGATTTGCATGTTAGTAGGGCTCGTCCACGCTGCAATGACGCTCTCATGACGGAACGAATCTTGGAGTGGAATGAACAACTCATGTACCTTACCAATTCCTTGGGATTCAAATGGAAGCACAAACTACCTTCAGACGTTCTTTTCGTCTCTTGTCAGGCCGAAGCTTGTGTGATCGCAAAGAAGAAGAGCGAAGCAATCAACGATCCTTACAAACCTCACAAACGCGATGTTTAAGTTCAATGGAGAAGTATAAGAAGGGTACGAGCGTTCCGAATTGCCAAAACTTGTATAGTAAGGGAATACGATGCCCTGTAACATGGTCTTCCAGAATAGTTTCTTCAAAGAAGAGCTCATTTTATCAATCCAAATGGTTCTACTAACTAGCTAGTGGCCAGATGCTGCTGGGATAGTACAAATTGATCTGTGCGCAAGAAGTGAGAGCAAAGGTTTGATGAGGTTTGATGACACCACCCTTAGCGTGGATTGGGCAGTTTCCCTCGGCGTGGAAACCTTGGATCTTTCACCTCCATCCGGTCCAGTGCACGTCATCTTTTGTTGCCTTGATCGCGAGGGTAACAGAGATGCAAGCAGACCTCCAGTGCACCGTGAATACTATAGCAAAGCATGCATTGGCTCCTTCGTCCTATGCATACCCGCCATCTACATCCACTGTTGGCATTATCGCTATCCGTGTCAGTTTCCGTGCTAAGAACAGCGACAGCTTTTCAAGCTACGCCAACTTTGACCAAGAATTCCTCAGTGGCGCCCATGACAACCGTATCGTCGTCCTCCAACAACAACGAGAGTAGCACTTGCAGCAGTGATCCACAATCCAGATACGCCGATATTCTAGATTTTCACGTTCTTCAGGAACCAATAGGATCTACACAAGATGAAACAAAACGACTTTTGCAAGAGCGTCACAACGGCAACAATAACAACTCTTCCCGAATACTGGCCGTCTTGGCCAAGCAACAAGAAAATGGCAGAGGCACCCAAGGTCGGAAATGGGAAGGACGACAAGGCAATGTCTACTTGACCATGGCGGTTCCCTTTCCTCAAATACCCGTCACAATCACACTTCTCCCGTTACAAATTGGGGTCTTGATTGCTCATACCCTCCAAGAATTTGATAAAAACAACCACAAAATTACTGTAAAATGGCCCAATGACGTCTTGGTAGAGGATCGGAAAATTGCAGGAGTGCTGATTGAAAATTGGTTGGCGCCAGCACCGGATCGTACCGTATGGCTTGTGATTGGGATTGGCATCAATATTGCCTATGCTCCCGTACTGCCAGAAGGAATCCGCCCCGCCATTTGCCTCCAAGAAATGTACAAGGACAATACACTTCCGGAATCCACTTCACAAGAGGTTGGGACTCATTTAGTCTATTCTCTGCTGGATTGGCTGGAAAAGGGCAGGACTAGCAACAACAAGGCATTGATGGATACTCAAGTTTTGCAGGAATGGAAGGCATTGGCAAAGTTTGGCCAGGTATACAAAATTCGTGAGACGGGAGAAGAAGTCGTCACCTTGGGAGTTCAAAACGATGGACAACTCAAAGTTCGCGGAGCCAATGGACGAGAAAGGTCGCTGACTGCCGATTACTTGCATTGATTACTTTATCATCGTCCCCGATAATGAGAGATGACTACAAACTGTTATGCCAGATACCGGTTACCAAAGTGGTTTTTCCGTGTGCTAACTAGCTAACAAACTCGGCCATCTCGTCTATACCTTGTATCCTAATGGGATGTTAGTTTCATCTTGTTACTATTATTAGCAACATCCCATGGATCAATGTGTTGCTTCCCGTTCTTCTCAAGATACGAGGTAGGTACTTTTTCAGCCATGTCATTGCTCCTGACCAGGTGATTGCTGCCTTAGATGCTTTTGTTCATTGTTTGTTTACAACATAGAATATCCAAGATCGTAGTTGCCGTTGCTCGCAGCAGAAGGACTCATGCTCGTGTTGGTCGTGTTGGCCACGGGCACCCATGCGGTAGGAGGGTTGTCGGGCATCCATGGGGATATTTCAATCTTTCCATTTCCTAGAATAGTATCATTAAGCTTTGCTTGAATGGCTTTTTAGGATGGTAATGAGGAAGAATCTTGAAAGTTGATCTTGGCATGGACACTTGCCGCACACATGTTGATGCTAACACGAGCAAATGGGAAGGCAGGGCATAGTTGCTTTTTCAAGTGCAGAACAACGTGTGTTTCCGTAATATCCGTAAAGTCACCAGACATGGCAATCCCACAGAAATATGGTGCAACAGCTGTTGTGGCATCGGAGATGGTTAAAGATGGAGTGGCTGTCTGTGTCTTGGTGGTGGCGATGTTGTTCCATGATGTGACTGATGCAATCCCTGTAATGGCGGAGTAGTGGAGGTCGATCGCTTCGTCAAGCTGCCGGTCTAGCTTGGCCATTTTCTCCATTTCTTCCGTTGTTAGATCATGGGTAACAGATTTGCATTGCAGAGCAAACAGTTCGCCGTGAATTTTCTCCTCATTGCAATAGGCTTCTTTGCCTGGTTCTTCCATCTTGAACGAACGGTGGCAAAGCCAGAACACCGATTTGGCTCGAGACGGTGAGATGGATTATAATGAGATGAAAGGATGGATCTGTTGGATCAGCCTCAGAGGAGGATCCCAAGAGACACTGGCCAAACGGCGCAGCAACCTGCAGCGTGGATGGATCCTGAAGCTTGGGAGTACAGTAGATAGTATGTCGAAACAGAGGGATTGTCTTGAACTTCAAGCGCAAGAGTCGATCGCCTCCTATCCGGTTGCCCGGGGAAGTGTGATCCATCAGATGCATCCAATCGCTTGGGAAAGTCCAAGCATCATCTTCGTGTTCCGATTTTGAGTTGTCGCCATGGTGACTACATGTACTACCGGTAGCAAGTAGGGATCAAGAGCGGTACAGGCATCCGTGTTCTGATCTTGAGTTGTTTGCAATGGTGGCTACTAGCTAGCTATGAGGGACCAAGAGCGACAGAGGCATCCGTGTTCCGATTTTGAGTTGCACCGATGCGACCAAAGCGGCAGCTTCGGGCAACAACTAGAAGGAATTGAACAACAGGCTTGGAACGATCCAAAGACTTCGAGCGAAAGAAGAGGGCTAGAAGGGGCTTCGGGTGACAATCGGTCCAAGCACCTGGAGCTGGAACACAAAAAGCTACCGAAGGTCGATTGCGTTGATGGGGGAGTGTGATCGGATGCAATGCATTCAATCGCCCTCGGGAAAGTCCAATCATGATGAATCGGTCAAAGCCTAAGGGATAAATGACTGACTTGTCACCCCGTGTTCCGATTTTGAAGACGAGTTACGGAGATGTAAGGATCGGAGGGGGAGGACGTTGAACCATATGCCCTTCAGATTCGATTCGATTGAATCATTCAGAGAGGTACCCCCAGCAGCTTCCTCCACTTGTGGCAGCTCCGCCGTGGGACGCTTCGTTTGTTGGCCAGCTAGCTGTGCCATCACCAATCAAAGCACCCTTCGTGGATCTGTCATAGTAAATTCCATGCCTCGAATGGTAGTCCTCAGTGCAGTGGTACAGATATGAGGGTCGTTGGATCCTTTAGAGGAGCTCAGACGAGCTACTCGTAGTTTATCGACTGGCTTAGTTAGTAGCAATGTCTTTTTAGTTTACAGAAGGCAATGGATCCAACCGCTACTCTCATACAACCGAATCGAATCGAATCGAATCGAATCGATTCAATAGGATAATACTGTTTGATTGCATGCAAATCCAGGTTGGTTGGTGGCCTCAAGGTAGGTACGGTAGGTGCTGTAGCATGGTTGCATGCATCTTGTGTATTGTTGTTGGAATTTGCTTTTGGGATGTTTGCTTCCTATCTATCGATCAATCTTATCTCTCACGACAGTAAACTCTGCCATCTTCCTCTCGGGTAATAATGTAGGCTTTGGCATCGTTGGAGGAGTCATCGGCCGTTGCCGTTTTGGCTAAATTTCCGACAAACCCTGCCAATCCCGTTCTCTTGACCGGTGGTCCCCTTTTACCAGAAACCATGCCATAGGTTGTCATACAGGTGGGACAGGCAATGCGAGGCAAATCCTCCCAGGCAGGGTCATCGGCAATCAAGTCACCCTTCCACAAATCAAAGGCGCATCTGTATGGCATGACATGAAATGACATGACATTGCATGACATGGCGTGCAAATGACATGAATGAGATAAAAAAATGAGTTGGTGCAGTCCACATACTATAATTTTTGTTGACATGTACAAAATATTGGCACACACAGACATACCTTGGACATTGACCTTCCAGAGCATAGAATCTGTCATTGACATTGGCGCATACCATTGTAAAGCTATCGCCAAATTCCCAGCCCTTGACGTTTCCTGACCAAAAATAATGGGTTGAATTGTAGCATCCAAAAGATAGATGATGTTAGTCTTTTAAAATGCATGCACTTCCACACATCAATATTCCTTTTTATTGATTTTCCATAACTTACCATTCGCTGGCAAAGTGACACCTGTAATTTCTTGTCCTTTTCCTTTATTGAGTGACCTGACTTCTTTGGGGGTCGTCGCTTGACTGTCACTGTTGAGAGTTTTCTTGAGGCCGCCTTTGCCTCGTCGAGATCCCATCATGACGAGATGAAAGGACTCATGTTCCGGAATGAGCAGTGCCAATAACAAGAGGAGGAGATAACAACAAGCAGATCTCATTGTTTATAGATGGATAGATAGACACACAGAGAGAGGGAGAGCAGAGAGCAAAGCTATTGCCAGTTGCAAGGGATGGGATACTGAAGGATCCACAATGGCGGCGTCAAGGCGTCAAGTCGTCAAGTCCACCTTCTAAAGGGCGAGAGGGGTGGAGGCAAAGAATTGACGCCTTCTTCAACACTGACGTCAGTAGTGACTAAGATTACACGGGAATGGACTCCGGCAAGCAGGAAAAGAAAGGGCGACGACAACAACAACACAACAGCCAATGCTTGCTCTACCGAACCTGGTACGCTGAGATCCCCACACACTAGGTATAAGCAAGAGAAGAAGTCGAGCTGAGACAGAGCAAACGATTCTCTTGAACTAGTAGACTATTAGCTAGCTAGAGACAATTGGAAAAGAAGCAATGCAGAGGGTAGCAGGAAAGATACTCGTCAACTCCCGCCCATGGCGCCCACTGGGGACATGTAGTCGACTATTACAACTGGAACCACCACGGTCTTCTTTTTCTACGGCCACACCATCAGATTCCTCTTCCAACAACAATGATACTCAGCAGCAGCAGCAGCAATCACAACAACAATCCACTCATTTTGGCTTTCAAGACGTTCGCCTGGAAGACAAGGAACACATGGTGCGAGGCGTCTTTGACAGTGTGGCCGAAAGTTACGACGTCATGAACGATCTCATGAGTGCTGGCATTCACCGGGTCTGGAAAGATACCTTTGTCGCCTGTACGCGCGTCGAATCCTTGGCCAAGGCCATTCGTTGCAATGCCGAGGAATTGACCATTTTGGATGTGGCCGGTGGTACGGGCGATATTGCCTTTCGCATGGTGGACGCCATGGGCTGTGAAGAACGCGCCAAATCGTCCGGACGAGATCCCGTCAGTGTCACGGTCTGTGATATCAACACGGAAATGCTCCGGGTCGGACAACGACGCGCCCGAGAACGATACGGAGCCGCACTCTTGGACGAGACCCAGGCATTGTCCTTTCAAGAGGGCAATGCTCAATCCTTGACGCAATTAGAAGACAATTCATTCGATTTGTACACGATTGCCTTTGGATTGCGCAATGTCACCGACGTCGATGCGGCATTGCGAGAAGCAAGGCGGGTCCTCAAACCGGGAGGACGGTTCATGTGTTTGGAATTCTCACATTTGCCACATCCCGTGTTGCAGTCCCTCTATGATGTATACTCGTTCAATGTCATTCCAACTCTGGGAGAGGCCGTGGCCAATGATCGAGCTTCTTATCAGTACTTGGTGGAGAGTATTCGCAAATTCTCGGATCAAGAGACGTTGGTCAAGAGAATGACAGAGGCGGGAATGGAAGGAGCCAGATATACCAACTTGACCGGTGGGATTGTGGCCATTCATGAGGGATGGAAGCCGCTTGAGTAGACCAGGAACCAGATTTGATTCCATTGGATTCGTCCGATGAGACTGCTCTTGATCTAACGGGCTAGAGACCATACCAAAATAGAGTGGTTGATTGTAATCAATCATTCAACCCCAAGCAATCAATCAAGATCTAGCTAGAAGCCCTGATGCAGACATACGGAAGAGTAGAGTATAGATCAACCCAAGTATCTGGGGGGACGAGCAATGCCTTCGTTACCACTAGCTAAACATCAAAGTCACCATTATCCCCAGAAGAGTCCGTCGACACGCAGTTGCTTTCTACCTTTGCGCTGTGATGCTGCTTTTCCCGATAATGAACCAAGATTTCACGCATCTTGGTCACCAGAAGAAAAATGTCTGGTATTCCCAGCATGGATGTTGCAGTAATCAAGATTGCAAAGGCTGCAATGTCTAGACAGCCCTTGACATAGAGCATGATGCTCCAAACACAAGGAACCACAATAAAGGCAGGGAACTGGACACATTTGAATGCAAAATAGCATCGATAGTACTGATACTGCTTTTGGTAGTCATCTCCAGAGAAATACCTCAGCAACTGCAGCACATCATTCCATGCAAAGAAGGAGATAAGAAAGCCATACAGAAATCCCAACGAGAAAGCTTGGGGATCCTCCACCTTGAAGGCAGCATAAATGACATAGTTGACCCAGAGCACAATGTGATGCAGCCAGGACCATGGAGTCTGCTTCAGGTAGAACCTTGGTGAGAAACATTCCACAAGGAATAAGGAACAGTGAAGAGTGAAGGCATACCAAAGTGTCAGCCTTTGGTCTGCTGACAGTGACACCTGTCCACATGCCATTGCCTGATATTCGTGACTTCTGTGGTCCAGTTTGGCAAACTGCCAAATAGTGATGGTTCCGAAACCCAGAAATCTCACCAGGAGCACAAAGATACTCATAACTGCTTTGTTCCGTCTTTCTGCATGATCCACCAGACGATCACCAATCAAGAAGGTTACTGAAGGAAACAAAAAGATCTCAAAGGCAATGGTGGTTATGACGAGGATCGACAAGGAGAATGCCAAGTTGATACCGGCTGATGATGATAGATTCATGGCTTTGCACAAGAAAGCAATAGAGGAGATTTATGAGCCCTCAATATACCGGTACCTGGTACGGAGTACTGTGGCCAAACACAGCTATGCGGCAACCACGCACACCCCAAAACTCGCACCTGAAGCGAAGAGGCATTGCAGCGTTGCAACCAGTCACCGCACGCCGCGGATAACTTTGCACGCGTGTACCCCTCCCTACCCACGCCTTCAAAGCACGACCTACCTGTACCACAGAGGACCGATTAGTCATGTTTACTATAGCAAATACAGTACTATACTACCTCTGTAGCGTGCGGTACAAATCCTACATGGCTACCGCACGTCTACAGCACACTACATACGTACGTGCGGTAGGATGTGCCGTAGAGCTGCGGACACCGCGCGAATGACGTCATTCGATGCGCGCACGGCGCGCATTTTACTCGCACGTCACACCCATTTTTAAGATAACAAATATTTGCTTCCTACCCTTGTTTTAAGATACTTCGAATGGGTACGAACCGTACCCGCATGTACCGTACTTGTACATAATCCCCTCTGGAGTGCATTTGACTGGTCACTTTTACGGGTACCACAACTCAAAACATGTGCAACTAGATGCTCTTGCCCAGACTAGCTTAACCCTCCTCCTTCTCCCCTCTGGAGCCCCTTCAACTAATCACTTTTACGGGTACCGTACCACGTTGCAGAAGACTCGACTTGTCACCCGCAAAACTTTTTTTATTTTAAAAACTTAACCTTTGGTACCGGTACAGCCCAAACAGAACGGCCAAACGTACCGGTTCCGGTACGTACCTTGTACACGGTACAGTATCGTACGTACGGAGTGCTTTGTTCCAATCTTTGGTCAGAGGAGGCAATGGACGTTGCTGGTTGCTGGTTTTCTTCGTTCCCACCATCTTCTTCTGCCGCAGGAATGTTCTCGTTTTGGGGCAGCAGGTTTTCTTCATTTCCATCATCATCTTCTGCCGCAGGAGCATCCTCATTTTGGGGCTGCACCTCTTCATTTGGGTGATTCTCCCCTTCAGCATCATCTTCACGTGCTCTTGGCGCAGTCCCTTGGTCTATCTCCGCCTCTGCTACTACCGGTAACAGGGAGATCCTTTACGGGGATCCTTGGTCGAACGAACGTCCACGCCAACACCAAACCGAGAGCGAAGGACGCTGCTTGCTAGCTAGGATGGCTATCGGTCACTGAAGAGGTTTGTATGCTCGGAGGATCTTCCAACAAAGAAGCGGACGTAGTGTCCATGGCCACAAGCGTTGCCCCATCCACGATGGCTGAGAGTGGGGCAGAGAGTGGGGCTGAGTGGTCGGGGTCTTTGAACACACATTTACTCGGAGGGAATGGGAGATCCGACTCGGATCGAAAGATGACCAAGTTGGACAAGAATTGGATGGAATTGTACAAGGAGTTGGTAGAATTTTATCATCAGTTTGGGCATTGCATCATCCCTGATAAGCCACCCTACAGGCACATGTATGCTTGGCTCTTCCGGCAGAGGAAAATCAAGGAAAATCTCATAGAATGGAGGCGGGACCTATTGAACAAGTTGGGCTCTGATGCAATGAAGGAGCAAGCTACAATCCACAAGAGAGACGACCGAAACTTCCAAGTCAAACTCAAAGCATACCGGTATGCAGAGGAGTCCCAGAATGGAACTACTCCTGTTCAGAGCAAGGAGCTTGCCCGATGGGCCCATGCCATTAGGAGGTTGGATAAAGACAACAAGCTTGACCCGGAGCGTAGGCAAGTATACTGGAGGCCATCAACTTTCGATTCGGCAGAAGGAGGATGCCAAAGCGAATCTCAATCAAGGATGAGGCCATTTGGATGAAGAAATTTGAAGTCCTGAAGCAGTTCTATGAAATTCATGGACATTGTAAGATTCTGACAAATGATCCTGTGCTTGGTAGTTGGATTGTTCAGCAAAGGAAAAGGAAGAAGATAGGCAAAATTGTAGAATGCGGAGAGACACTGTTGAATGGTGTTCATTTTTTGAGCCCATGGATCCGAGGCAGAATTTCTAGATGTCAGAGCATTATTTAGTGCTAAGATAAAAGGGAAAACATATTATGGATAGCAGCTGCTTATGAACTTGTCTTGCCTACTCCAGCATGAAAAGGCTCCACTTCCTCCGAAGCAAAGTACTTGGCTGACAGGACTCATGGTCGAATTCTGCGATGCCACGGTCACAGGAAAGCTGCCTTACTTCCTGATTGGGGATTAACAAGAAGTCAACTGTACTGCTCGTGGTCTTTGAATGTGCATGTAGTCGTTGGTGGCGGTCTCTTGTGGGGGCTCCAATCACTAGAATATCCCTGTCCAAAATCCACAGCTTGTCCCTGCATTGGTGCCAAACTTTGGGCAAACCAGCGGGGAGGGAAAGCCACGTGCATGCTGGAGCGACCTGGTTCTGGGACCAAGCGCAACATGGCTCTCGTAGTTTAATCAAGGTATTCAAAGTACAGCCAATGTGGCTGGGGAAGGCATCACTTGACTGTCGATTGCATCCAGCCACCACGTCTGAATGCTTCGGTGGAGAGCCGTGTGGACAACGTATAACCCATCATCTTTCATCGAAGCAGAAACCGGATCGCAACATTGAAACAGAGGTAGTCCAAAGAACTGATAAAATAAAGTACTGATAAAATGAAGTGCTATTAGCGTTTGCTATACTATTTACGAATTCTTGAACTTGCAAACAGTACATGGGAAGAAACATAAATGCTCTCGCGCAGCAAACTTTGGGATAAAGAGCTAGATCTTCTCATGTCAACAAGGGATATAAAAAACAAATTGCCGCCTTTTTCTCAGTGTTTGCGAGCCGGAATCAGGCTCGGGCGCATCGAGCCTCATCAGACTCATGCTCCGATGGTAATTCCACAGCAGTTGAAACCCTCCTGTTGAATTCGATCGTCCTCATCGTCCGTGCTTTCCGCCACTGTTCGCTCCTTCTCATCGACTTCCTCGTGATCGTCCTCGGTTGCCTCAGCTGGTTCTTCGATTTCCTTGACTGGCTCTGGGGCAGCCTCCTCCTTGGGTTCCTCTTCCTTCGCTGGTTCCTCTTCCTTTGGTGCCTCCTTGGGAGCCTCTTCCTCGGCGTCTTCCTGCTCCTTGTCTAGCGGTTGTGGGGGTGCTTGCTCAGGAGTTGGTTCGCTCTCGTTGGGTTTTTCTTCTCCCTTCTCGCTTCCTTGCTGTTGATTGGCATGAGTGCAGGTGGCAGCGTGGTCAGTCATTAGCATGAAACAGGTCGGACGGTGGCAGCACCAACACGCAGCTCATCACTTACTGCCTCTTCCGTGTCTTCAGCCTTATTCTTGTCAGCGGCTTTCTTTTCAGCAGCCTCCTTCTTGGCGCTTTTACGTACTGACATTCGCTTCTTCAGTGCCTTGAATACCCTACATCAGAAACAAGAGCACACGCCAGAAAACAGCGAAATTCCATCGTGAGAAACAGATACCCCTCTTCCGCACTACAAGCGCCGTCACCTCCATCTATCCTTACATCTTTAAAGTAGCACAACAAACTGATGAACAACAACTAAACTAACTATCCAACTAAAGGAGAAGAAAAAAGTGGAGGGAGTGTCACAACAGCGATAAAACTGATGATATGCAGTTGTACCAACTCTGGTTTCGGATGCTATGACGAGGCCAGCGAGAAATTGGAACGAAACGAGTGAGTGGGAAACGGCGACAGTCGATCGGAATGTTACTTAGTGGAAGTTGGATGTCTCTCAGCGATAAACTCCCACCAATCTCTCTAAAGAAGGTGCCGTGCTGCCTCGCGTCGGTTAGGTAATTACCACGAAATTTGTATCTTGTATTCAGGTAGGAATACTAGAAGTTTCCAACAGCGAGTTTCTGACATGCAACTTTTCTATAGCGGTACAGAACAACAACAAATTTGTCAATAATCTGAATTTCAATGCCAACAAAACCTAGAGTATACGTGTAGGGGATTCATTTAGTATCTAGCTACTGGCCAGGATGCAGTACAATGCATGTGTATTGGGATTTATTGCCAGAGGAAGGGGGGCGAAATTCGGTTGGGGCTGTTGAAGAATTTGGCGTACCGGTAGAGGGAGAGAACGGTCCGGTTGCTCTACTCTACTAGCTAGCTATTTGTTATTAGCTATGCATAGACTAGATGTACCTATTCGTTCGTACACTGTCAGTGGAACAGATCGGTAGCCGCATTGGTTGTGGGGTAGAACATGTAATGCATAGGTAATTGTGCTTCGCCACAACGTAGGCACCCTTAGCTAGACACTTGATACCAACCATTCTTGTATGTGTTCCAGTATGCTGCAGCATGCCAATGGACATCCTTTTCGTGCCCCACTCAATGAAAGCTACACTACCAAACCCAATTGGCCAAGAGACTGGTCGGCCTCGTTGCGCTAACTAGCGACCAACTCCAAAGATACCCTTGCCCTCCCCCCAAAGGTTTTTGAAGTGTTTTGCTGGCTTAAAACAAAGATTAGTCCTGGATATTCGGGACTGACTTGTATCTTTCGATGACCACGAACAGCCTCAAGAGCACTTGCTTGGCGGCCACCACAAGCCCAACACCAGCAGTGAATTTCGGACTGATACCAATACATGTACTACCATTTCAGAGAGAGCCTTGGAGAGATTCTAGCTAGCTAGCTATTGCAGTTTGCGAACCACACAGAAACCGGTTTTGCCGAGCTAGCCATCAGAAAATCCAGGTTGCATCGGCATTATCGTCTCGTCAACCCACGAGAAGCCGATTTTCCATATCCCGCTTTGAGAGGCATTGTGTGTGCCGCTACACATATTCTATATATTTATATATCTAGCTAGTAACAATCATGTTCCGCTGGATCAAAGGAGGCAGCAAAGAAGGCGGAGGATCCCTTCGCATGTACATCAAGTTCCGAGAACAAATGTTTCGCCGAAATTTTGAACCCCTCGCAAACAAGAGCACCCCCATTGCCCTGTGGGATTTGTCCCGCCATGACGATGCCATTGACGCGGCCAATTGTTCCGAAAGTGGACGCATGCAAGGCTGGAGGATATCGGACGATGGAGTGATTGATGGCTATTCGCGAGGCCGAGTGTCCACAATCCGAAGCAGTGCCGATTATCAACGGTGGATGGCCGGGGAAGAATTGAAAGATGTCTTTCGCAATTTCGAAGAGGAACGAAGAGCTAAATTAGAAAAAGAAGAACGAGATAATGAGGAAGTTCTGGAAGAAGATATTGATGAAGATATTGACGACAATTCTCAGTTTGTCCCATTTCTACGATGGTCGGGACACATTGATACCACTGTGGGATTGAGTTCTGATGCCCAACGGTCTGGATTTTGTGCCATCCGTGCCCCTGAATACCCCTACGGTGGAGCCAATCTACAGGGTCTGTACAATGCCTTGGAGATTGTCTGTCGGACCGATGGAAGACTTTACACTGTCAATTTGCAAGTTGCCTCCTTTTTTCCCGGAGACATGTACCAGGGATACATCAACGTTCCAGCCACTCATCCCGACAAGGCCAAGATATGTACCAGAACGGGAGGAGAATTTGAACGGCTGGTCATGCCATTTACCAAATTTGCCTTGACGGCCCATGGTCGGTTGCGAGAAATGCATCGGACACTGGACAGCAACATTGAAGTACAAACGGTAGGCTTTACCCTCATGGATGGCAAAGATGGAGACTTTCAATTCGATCTGGCACGGATTCGAGCCGTCAACTTTGATGGACACGGTATAGCTGGAGAAGAGGGGTTGGACGAGCCAGTCAAAATAGCTCGATAATTCTGTTTTTGGGCCTGCTCACCTCTTGCAACCGTACAGTAGCTTTCTAGAAGAGGTGTTCGATGACGGACTCTGGAGTACATACCGTACTGTACTGTACCAACAGCCACAATTCATTGTACCGGTACTGGCGCCAGTAAAACTAGAAAGCATGATACTAGAGCTGCAGGTGGTGTAACCTTACTCGGTAGCTGAAGCAAGCAACCTCAAGCTGCCGTTCCTTCGCTTGCTCCGTTTGGTCAAAATCTTCTTTTTGTTGGAGGGTTAGGGATAAGAACTCCCTCCCTTATTTGAACGGTCAAACCGACGACACAAACCCCTTTCGCAATCATTTTTTTTCCGACGAAACAAACCGCCGCAGACAACAAGCCTTGAGACGACCAGAAGACAACCCCAAGCAAGATGAACCATACAAATACCAGCGGCTCCATAGAGATTTCCAAGTTGCAAGCCCTCTCTGACCTGCACGTGCTTGTCATTTCGCGTGCTTCATTGCGGCTCGTTCAAGCGGCCCACGAGGAAGACAAATCGAAACTGACCAATGCTGTGCTCGAGGATGCCTGCCGGCATGGCGCATCCCCTAGTGTGCTACGGTTTCTGGTGAAAAAGAAAGGGCTCGATGAAGAGGGGATCTGCATGTTGATGGCAAAGACATTCCTGGCGGCCATTCCCTTGCTGGTGCGATCCAGCAGTGATTCAAATGTCCTGCTACGCCTCAAACAGCTGGTTCTCGCTTTTCCGCAAGGACTCGTAAATCCAGACCCATTAAACCCCTTTGTCCACTCAGCATCGTCCTTTTTTCGAATGCTTTCCCTCAGAATATGCTGGACTCGATGATCATGATGTTGCCAAAAAAGGCCACTTTCCACTTGCGTGGAAACGAATATTTGCCATGGGCCAGTTTGTTCCACGGGACAATGAAAGCGTCGATGGGTGATCCTGCCGTAAAAGCTCTTGGTTCCGTTATGGAAAAAGTGGAATCCATCATCATAAGCCGCTCTGAGTTGAAAGAAGAAGGGATCAAGAAAGTGCTGGCAATGCTCTGTCGAAGCGGCAACAAAACCGAGAACGTACACTTGAAATGAGGGCCGTCCAACCAGTTTCACTGGCGGATATGATTGTCCCAGCTATAGAGGAGACATTCTCGACAGGAATGAAGGGTAAATCCTCAACAGTCAAGTGCTTCTCCATTGACTTCAATAGCAGCGAGCAACCTGACTTTTCAATCCTCACGTTCGTCAAGCTGAACATGGCACGTCTAACTCGGCTGGACATCAACATTTGTAACATTTTTCAGCCATTCCAGGCCACCCTGGATCTGTGCAATTCTCTCTGCGATTTGCTACAGCATGGGATGCTGGAGGAGATTAACGTGCGAGCTGCAACACAGCAAGAAGGGCTGCTTTTGCCCCTGCTGGATGCCGCAAACCACAGTGATACTCTGGTTGCCTTGAGACTGGAGAAGCTGGGAAAACCATCTGAGGTCGAAATCTACCAGGATGAAATACTACGGATGCTTAAGAGCAACACCCAATTGGAGGTGGCACTGGTATGTGAGGGCATGATCACAGAAAACGCACTACTTGAGCGCAGTGATTTGGCAATGAGAGCACATGACACAGAGTTCTTCCTGGATAGGACCGAAGGCAACGACAAACAGCGCCTGATTGACTACCAAACGCTGTTGATAGATGTGGCCGTGGAGAAGCAAAAGCAGAAAGCCTACGACTGGATGACTTTGCTGACTTGATTTGTGCTGACACAATTTGGAACAACCTCTGTTTTCTCGATTTCACTGAAGAGGGCAAGGAAGAGCTCATCACAATTCTGCAATATGGGCTGCTACGTCAAGAACCTGCGTCATGGCTACCAAACCAAACCAAACCGGCTGCCTCTGGCCTTCGCGGGGAAAGTTCCAAACAGGGCACACGCAAGCGCAAGGCTTCGGGACCTCCTGAAGAATCTCTGCAGGAGTAATTGAAAAGGAGTTGATAGGAAGAGCTGTCGTGATGTTATCATCGTTATTGCAGCAGTACATATTGGGCTTTCTAGCTAGTCGAATGAAATACATAAAACCAGTTAGTTTGCTTGCTAAGTTTGCACCCGCTGAAACGCAGCCAACGGATCAGTTCGGAGGCAACTTAGCAATCCGGGTTCCGTCTATATATGGCATTACAGGGAAAAGTCGAGCAGTATAAATGCTTGAAGTCCCAAGTTACCCAGGAATGCAGACCCAAGTTCCAGGGCCCCTGCATGCATTGGGCCCTCCCTATAATTATTTTGTCAAGGCCTTTATCCCCTCCCGTGCTCAAGCCTCCAGGAATCAAGGTTTGGTCTGCAATGCCAGAGTCGCGGCCTGCCATCTTTGATAGATCCTAGAATTCCGTTCCCAAGTTCTATTCCTCTTTGTCAAGCTGATCCAAAGTTTGGTCTTGTGGTTTTGACTTGGATGGTTCTGTAGAGAATTATTTCTAAACTAGCTAGCTACATGAGTTTTTATTAACTGCTTCGTACCACAGATGCAATGAAGCAGTCCATAGCATTTTTATTGCCATTCTCGAGATTTCGAGATCTTCTAAAGAAGCACAAAAATTGAAGCCTGTCTGGTTTTCTCTTGCCAGTTGCAAGGGTAGCATTAGACATTGGACCGGCCAATCAACAAACCAATCAATAGCTGTACATGTAGTTGACCCCGCGAAGATTAGGCAGGACGGAGTGGCCATTTTCGAGAGAGAGAAAGCTAAGCCACGCCCACCAATAATTTGGCACTTTGTTCCTTCACCCCATTTTCCTTTCATGTTGCCATGCCATCCCCCCAACACCCACACAGATCGAAGAGCCGCTACACAGACGCTACAGCTCTGTACGAGGAAATCAGAAGTCTGACTCAAAAACTGGGCGCAAGTGAGAAGCGTGTCACCAAACGACGAGAGACAGCGAAGCGACTGCTGGAAATCTTGTCCAAAGAAAAGAATCGACAACGGCTCCATGAACGAGGTCTCCACCTGGCCATTCAAAATAAGGGATATTCCCATGCCAAGGCTCACCAATATGCTACTGGAGTCATTTGGTCTCCCATTATCAACACTGCCTTTGCATCAGCGACATATTTGGCCCATGAACGAAAAGGAAAATTGGATCCAGATGATGTCAAATTGCCGCTTCGGTTGCTCCATTACAGCGACAGTGGGTCCACGTCAGGGGAAGGCAATCAAGCCCGATTGGAGACTGCCTGCAGACTCGAGGACCGTGATATCAAACGAATTCTCAAGTTTTGCATTGACATGTTCAACAGCGATATCGCACGGCGCATGGCCGAAATGGAAATCATGAACACATTGATTTTCCTCTGTGAACGAGTCGAATTTGTGGCCACATTTAGACCCTCCACGGAACTGATATCCATCATGAAAATTGTAGAAGACTGTCTCGATTTGGATACTGACGATGATGATATTGACAATGCCGACAACAAAAGGAGACGGAAAAATAGTGATGCCGTCGTGGCCGCTGCCAGAATCTTTGGTTCTGTTTTGGAATCTTGTCAAGAACTGGGGGTTGCTCTCCATCTGTTTGTCTCGGAAGGGATTCAATTAGTGTCAAGATGGTGTGAGCAGAACATGGAAGAGGTCAAAGGCAGTCCCAGGGAGCTCAGCTATCTGTTCCGAGGCATCAACACACTGATGCGCTTTCACCCGGAACAAGCCATTCAACCTCTCCAAAGGTATGGTGCTCACATTCTCAGGTATGCTAAAAGAGCATATCAACATTCTACACCCATCAATCGACATGCCCTCCATGGATACTTGTAAGTACTGACTCCCCAGGACTCGTGACATAGCCTCTCCTCACGCCCATGATTCCATTGCTCCCCATATCAATCACACAGCATTGCTCACATGTAAGTATTGTACTGATCACTGGGTTTAGGCTTGCAAGAGTGGAATTGCTGATTGGCTCAACCTGATTCTTTGTTGGCATTTTCTTTGGAGTGAAGAATCGTAGGTCAGCAGGCCGCGACCCTCCGGGGTCTCATGCCGGGAGAATTGGGGGATCTGGGTGAAGCCACCCTCACAGCCAAGGAAATCGGACTCATCCTGTCCATTGTGCTGTCATCATTGACGGCCGTCCAACCTACACTAACAGTCAAGAATCGCATATCATGGAATACCCTCGATGTGACTATTCAACGACATTTGGAATTGTGCGCCAGACTTTTGGCTTGTGCCCAACGGCAGTTCCTGGTGGACCAAGAATGGATGCTCTTGGAGGACCCCAATGCTTTCTTTGTACGGATTGTGAAGGAATTCTCGCGCGATGACGATGAGGTGAAGCGACTGTCATCCTCCGACGCAACCTACCCGTCTTGTTCCCCTGCCATCATGGCGAAATCACCGTGGGCCACGCAAATTCTCGCACCACTCATTCAAAATTTTCCACTAGGATCCAACAAAGGAACGGATGCCACAGTACCAATGGATATTGACGGCAGCAATTCTCAAAGCTTGACACCAAGCTTAAGCCAGAGTCTGTCCCAAGGAGCAAGTTTAGGCAGCAATTCGCAATCATTGCAACATCCATTGTTGGAAGCCATCAATGTGGTTGGAAATAATGAACAATCTGAACCAGCAATGCGAAGCAGTCGGGCTCTGCTCCTGATCATTGCCGCCTGCGCAGAAGCATTTCCGTCAGGTCGATGTTGGACCTCGACTTCGCACAAACACTGGTTCCCTTTGAACCCGGAAAATCTCGACGTAGAAAGCACCGTCCATGTCAATTGTTCTTCGCCGACTGATTTTGCTATCCTGGTGCACGTAGTTTCCAATGTGCTGGAAGCTTCAGGAGGTTCCAATGGTGATCAAGAGCTTCAAATTCTGGCTCTGTTGTGTCTCATTCGATTGTCTGCCGCACACCGGGGTCTTGCGTCCCTGTTTCGACGAACTGAAATGTCCTGTGTCGCTCCGGTTTGGAGAAAGGTGTGGGCGATCCTTTTCGCAAGCAACATGAGATACTCTGCCTACACGGCCCATGCGGCAGAAGGATCCTGCGGGGAGTTGGTTGTGGTATTGATTGCAGAAATAATCCAAGGATTCTGCACGGATCCAACCGAAGCACTCTTGAGTTCAGCATCCATGACACGGTCTACATTCCTTTATCGCAAACAGGCTCAAGTGTGGGCGTTACCAGCATTCAGAAAGGGCAATGCACACTACACAACACAGGCTTTTGAACTACTGTTCGTCTTCTTGCACAATCTTTGCCTTTCGGACGACGGAAAAGACGCCCTTCCAGACTCGCCTCCGTCTGCGATTGAAGATGCATCGACAATCAACGATACACAGAGGCTGTCTGGAAGGCGCTATCGACTTGTCTGCCTATGTCTTCACGCCCTCGATACATTCAACCCTGTGAGTACTGACTCCAAACAAGCAGAACTCATCAAAATGGTGACTGCGTGCTTGTCGGCTCTGGTGAATGGCAAGGGACATTTGATGAACACGACTTCAATATTAGAAAGCCAGAATCGGACATGGATGAGGTCTTCCATCTCGAACGACTTGCACAACAGATTTTGCTTTACCGAGTTGCCCCAATCCAACAAAGGAGCCTTGCATCGGCACAGCTCTCTCTTCGAAAAGCTTTGGGTCTGCACTGTTCCCGATCCGGGAGTCTCATCCTTGCTTCTTCAACGCTTGGAAGAATCTGTCCAATCAGACTGTGTTCTTCAGGAAAAGTCACAAGTTAATCAACTCGTCGGGTCCAGTCAATCGGCTTCTCCCCACATGGACTATGTTTCCACTGTACAATCAAACGCCTTTCTTGCCTTTGTACTCACTCAAGTCAAGCGCCTTTTGCGAAGTTGGAACTCTTCCCACGACGACAAAGGCAACAACGACGAGACAGATCCACTGGACAGCCAACAATCAGACGCCTTGAAAGCTTCCACATATGTGCATTGTCTATGGTTGAAGGTTTTGCTAAGCCTGTGCAAACTGAGGGAAAACGGAGAGCCGTCAGTGGAAAAAAAACTCTGGGAAGACTATATCATCCATTTACTGAAGAGGGTCAAGTCTGATTTGCATTCTCTGTGCGAGAACAGAGACGAATTCTATGCGGTTTTTGAACACACTCTGCAGATTCTGCTCTTTCTTTCCGAGTTTTCGGCCACAGTCGCAACATTTGAGATGTCATCGGTGTTGAGAAAGAGCATCGCTGCCTTCGATTCTCTCTGCGAATCTTTGCTACTGAGCTTCTCCGGGGACGAGCCGGACAAAGAAACGACATGGGACGATGGGGACGAGTCTATGGAGTCAGCATCAGAAAGTGAACCCGAGGAAGAAAAGCGAACAAGCGTTAGGGATCTACTGGAAGACAGTGATGATGACGATGTTGTAAACAAAAGGACAGTGACAAAGCGCCCAGAACGTGGAAGAAAGGGAAGCAAGCGAAAAGCAAGTTTGTCAAAACAAAGGGGGGAGAGTCCGCGGAAGAAGAGAAAACAACAACCATGCCCTCCAGATTCGTCGTGTGCCAGCCTGGTAGGGTCGATCGTGATCGCTCTGAAGCCTTCGGTTGAAAGGTGCGAGCTCGTGGTTGATTGTCTCCTACAAAACATAGACAATCAAGAGGTGGACCTCTCTCAGGCGTATCACTGTCTGGAACTTCTAAGCGATGCTTCAGTGGTGTTTCACGACAATGCAGTGCGTCAAGTAAGCGGGTCTGCCAACACTGCGACTGAAGATTCCTTCCGGCACCGATCCGTAGTATCGGTGTTTTGTGACGTCCTTGACGCGTTTCGCGCAAGTGCGCCAAAAGCGTCGTCCTTGCACATGTTGGGCTTCCAGTATTGTTGTGAATGTGTCCGTCTGGGGGAATCCGACTCACGAGGAATACCGCTGAATGCGGATGAAAGCCGAGACCTGGTCGAGCGACTGATGGCTGGTAATGACGACGACAGCCTGAAGATGCGACCCTACTTGCGATGCGACAGGCTGTCCTCTTCGTCTTTTGCATTCGAAGCAGGAAGTGAGACGTTCCGTGTGTCTATGGAATCAGTGTTCCCCAAAATCCTTGTGATCCCGTCGGTAAAAGACTTGAGTTCTCACGTAAGACGAGAAGCGTGCGGCGCGGTGGCAGCAGCGCTACGGGTTCTTTCTGATAAAAAGAAGGTGGTGAAGTCCGTGCAAAACTTGCTCCCACCAATTGCACTTACGTCCGACAAGGCCGAGAAGGCTGCAAAGGGGCATAAAAGCTACAGAAAGTGGCATGCTTCGTTCAAGCTTGGATCTAACGACACACACTTTGAAAATCGAGTCTGGGAGGATGCCATAATATCGATGGAGGCTGGCTCGATAGATTGCCTCTCCGTTATTGCCGGGGTAAACGCAGACACAACGAAAGACATCGTCTACGATTTCGTCAAGTTGTCGTCACGGCGACCCGAACTTGAAGCAGTTTGCTTCCGTGCATGTAGCAAAATCGCAGCAATGACAGGGTACAGAAGCACAGATGCATTACTGCGTGATCAGGGGGACAGTCTTGTGGGGAAATGGCTAGAAAGCGGGGAAACATTGGCTGAAATACCTCTGCTGCTCAGTTCGCCCAAGTTGCTTGGTCTGCTGTTGAGGACCGGTCAACAAGCTCGAATGTATTCCGGGAAGCAGAAGCAGAAGGAAAGCGGTGTCGACTCGGACGACGAAGACCTGGATAGCGGTTCATTTGACGTGACGAATCTGCGAGACGTCGCCACGGATCAGTTTTGTGCGAGGCACAAATCCTATCTAGTACCACAAATGATCGTCCGCGTATGCAGTGCTGTCGAGGAAGTGAATGGGGAACCACAAAGTGCCATGACGAGACTCGCCAATGACAAGCTTGTACGAGAACTGAGTGTCTGTTTGAGAGGAAACCATGACGATGCAACAGTTCGTTCTTTGTTGCAAGGTCGAATGCATGATATCGAGGCTCTATGCGCTCCCATGGCCCACGGAAACCTGGCAGATTTTGGAACAAGAATAATGGAGTTCACCTCTAGTTGCCTTTCAGAGGATTCCAAAGGGAAGGTCTCCTCCGCGAAGGGGTCTGACAAACCGCATCTGGCGGTTCGTCGAATATTGGAAGTGAGCGGGATGGATAGTTCGCAAGTCTTTCCATCAGCGATAGTTCATGAAGCATTCGCAGAAGCCATCTCCACATTTGTTGCTAAGTTGAAGCCGGCAAAGGATGGAGACATACTCTCGGCAGCGGGAACCAGCTTGACTGAATGCTTTTTGTATGCGCGACAGTGGCTGTCCAAAGCAACATTGTCATTGCAAAAGGAGAAAAGATGGGGGCCTCTATCAGTTTTGTTCGATCTGATGCTCGCGCAGGTCCGTGAAAAGCGTTTCAAGCAGACACAACTTGCATTCGGTGTCAACGTTGCCATAGATGTTGTGCTCGATCGACAGCTCAACTGCATTCGTGGCAAACCCTTGGGCGTCTTGAAGCAAGTCCTCAACGAGGTTATTGACGCTGCCGATGCTAATGAGGCAAGCTCCCTGAAAACAGAGTTCTTGTCTGTATGCCGGCGCTTGGTGGGTTCGCTGATGAAAACACACCAAGAATCGCAGCAAGAGCTGTTGGAGACGATCAAGGGGAGAGCCAACACGAAGCTCTCGTCCTTGAGACGAAGTGTTGGTCTTCTGGGCTATGGGAGCAATCCCAACGAAGGGGATGGTGACGTATGGGGTTGGGACGTGGGCACCAGCAAACGCTGGGACTGGCCCGATTTTATTGATCAAGAGTTCAAGAGCTTCGAAGCTGACCAACATCGTTTGATTGTTGACTCGATCACGGGAACCTTCGACCTGCTCATTGCCCTTTTCGAAAAAGCAGAGGTGCTGGGTCTCGGGATTGAATACTTCGTGGGATGCATGCCTCCGTTTTCTCTGGGCTCAACCGACCAAGACGCGTTTTCAAAATTAGACAAACGATACTGTGCGCAGACCATAGCGTCAGATTTCATCCGACGAAGCCAAGACAACGCCGTAAACCTCAGTCAATCCATTCTGTTTGCACTTGGGCAATTACAGAACCGTTCGTCGTGGATGGATGAATTCGCAGACGCTGAAAAGGGGCATGCTATCAGGGAAGCAGACACATCAGATCTCACCATTTCTCAATGGATGCTCAAAGCGGAACTTTTGCAACTGGAAAACAAGCTTCGACGATGGCGTATGACACGTACGGTCGATATACACGGCGATGATCTCCAGAGCCTAATTCGGGAACTGTCCTTTGTTTGTGGGGCCTCCTGTCCCCAGCCGTTGCAAACCGCAGCATCCAGATGTCTTGGGGAGATGGATATCAGGATGCTTGGCAAGAGGTCCCCAAATGGACAAAGGGAAAATAAAGATTGGTTGACTAGAGCTCTCGACGATGACGCTGGAAGTGTGTTGCTTGGGGCTCAGGCCAAAGCAATTGAAGTCCTCGCTGGATATCTTCAGTCGGGCCATTCAGGTGTTGCCATCGCAGCCTTTGACACAATTGTAGCTTTGCTCTCTACGCAAGATGGAAGCGACTGTTGGCAACTCGTGGACGCGAAGACAGTGCGGGAGCTAGAGCCCGTGCTGTCCAAGAAGAAAAGAGCAATCAACAGCAGCAGATTGCACCTGTCGAAGCTAAAAATCAAGTCAATCCGGGCTAAGACCGGACTTGTTCTCGAAAAGTCTGACGAGGGCCGAGATTGGTGCTGGAACAAAAGCCTTTGGCTTTGCGAAGAGAATGTCTCCTATGAGAGTTGGATATGCGATCTGGTGCCAGCTTTGATTGAATGCTGCTACAGAGGACAGGAACGTCCAGGCAGCATCTTTTTCTCCTACTGCCAAACGATCGCCTCCATCGCCCCGAACTTTGCTGAAACTGTGTTCTTTGCGATGGTGTTCGATCTCCTCGAAGAAAAGAAAGGCGTGGAAGACTCCCCTCTCTCCTCCTCGAGATACGGCAGTGTTCTAGATGATACCTGGATGGGACGTGGTGACTCTGTTGCAAACAGAGAGCTCTCTTCTTGTTTCGAGATAATCTTGGGTACTACAACAAGCGATCCTTTGGCTGTGTGTCTTGCGCTCGACACCGTTGATTTGCTCCGACGGGCAACGCAGACTCACTTCCAAAAGTCAGAAAACCATAAGAGGAATTCCAATGCGATATCAACATCATCCAGCAAAAGTGCTCGCAAAACTTCTCGCAGTTCAAAGAATGGCAGTGAAGGCGACAAAGCCGACGACCAGAAAGAACACAACAAAGGTCTCGATGTCATGTTGCCTTGGAAGGGCGTGCCATATGGCACTGTTCTAATGCTTAGTGGGGGGCTGGTCGTAAAATCGTGTATCAGGGTGAAGCGGTATGAATCTGCTGGTGAGTACAAAACACGTGCTAAGGAGGTCCATCGTGCCCCATGTAGGCGTCATCCCTGATACTCTTGATGCAACTTCTTGGCAAGTTTTCTACTCAGAACTCTACTTCGAGAGCTGTTTTGCTGGCAGCTCCGCAATTATGCAGCGCCTGGCCCAAGACTTTTCCGAAGGAAGCTCCAGGGCCAAGCTGCTCTCAAGGGTTGATATCAGCGGGTTCTACGACAATGGAGCTGCTTGCGATGAATCAGAAATTAGAGAAAGAGCTATTTCGGCTTTGGGGTGGCTTTCAGATTGCTTCAGGGAAATGAAGGAAGAGGACTCGTTTCAAGCTGTCGCACGACAATTGACGGACCTGAAATACAGCAACAGCGACTCACTTATGATGGACGATGAAACTGAAGTTGGTCACGTTTTTGCTCCCTCTTTGAATGACCTTCAAAAGCTGGACTCGTTCTCTAATCTGTCGCAGAACCAGGGGGCGCTTTCTCTTCAGACTGCTGATACTATCGAATCGCTTGGCCTGCGCAATCTGCTGCAGCGCTACATCGGTTCGATGGCGGTGTCCGATGCGATGTCGCCGGAAGAATTACAGAGACTGCGAGAAAAATGGTTCGAAAGCCGTCTGTACAGTATGAACTGGAACCGCGCACTCTTGGACGGGAGTGGCGCGAATGACAGGACCTTCGGCCAATTGCCAGTGGGAAGGACACGACACGAAAGTCTGATTCTCTCGGAATCGAACGAAGCTGGATTCCACGAAGCGGTTACCAACGCTATGAGTGACTTTGCCAGGGGTGACTTGCCATCATGTCAAGGTCTTTTGAAAGATGCTAGATCAAAAGTTGTGGCGAATGAAGACTTCTCCATGCGGGCACTTCACGGTCTCGTTGAGAGGCTACAGTTCGTCAACGACCTTGAAAACCTCGCACAGGGTATAGATTCTCCCCAGTCGCTCCTAAAACGTTGGGGCTTTTCACAAGAAGCTGAGAATGATTCACCAAAACTGAGGGCGTCATTTGACTCTGCTGAGTTTTCCCCTCACATGCACGAAGCTACCCTGCGAATTCTCAGGTTCAAACAGTCTACAGAAGGAGCGGGCTCAACGCTTGACCCGCACTCATGTCTAATAGAGCATCTCAGCATCTTCAGTCGTTGGTGCAGAGACAGGAAGTTCCTATCGGTCGCGGAGGCCACTCTTCAGCGCCTACGTGGTGTGCTACAAGCAAATGATGGTACTGGCGCCGACGGACACGTGTCGCTGAAAATGGTTTTGTGGAGTCGGTTGGAAGAGGCAAGTTTGTGCTACAGTAAGGGGGAATTTACAACAGCGATTCGTCTGTCACAGCAGCTTATTCGGCTGCTGCATAACGAAAAGAAGCAAGAGGAGAGCAGTCTTCCTAAGGTTGACTGCGACTGCCTTTTGGCGGACGCTCTCGTCAGCTGTGGGAATTGGTTGTCGGAAAACAAGATTGAGCCAGCTGAAACAATATTGAATACTTTCCTCTTGCCCTCTTCCAAAATCGCAAGGAGAATTGCCGTGGAAACTTCAAGCCAGGAAAATGGGAAACGGTACCTAAATGCTCAAATTGCTCTTGCTCGCTTGACATCGGGCATGTACGACTCTGTTGCCGCTCGAGTCAAAAGCACCGAATGGCAAAAGGCGGGAAAATCGCTGGCCGAACGAGAACAAGAGCTCCGGCACTGTGAGGCTCTTGTGAAGGAGAGTCGAAGCAAGCCTTCGAAGTCGAAGTCATTCCAAGAGCAAACAGAGCTCGTGCATTACCAGAGACAGCTGGCTGGGGAAATTAAGGTAGGTCTCTCTGAGTCTAGCCCGTTCGTTAGTGGCCTGTTCAACGGTCCTCACATTGTCAATGCACCGTTGCCAATAAAGGTCACAAAGGAGGTAAGAGAGAAGACTTCAGGGTCTATGAGAATGTACCTCGCGATGGCAGTCAAAGCCTTTTCCTTGGCACTGGAAGTTTCCGGGGTCGCGGAAGGGTCAGATATGTCCAGGCATGTATTCAGGTTGGTCTTCTTGTGGCTGAAGATGACTGAAGGCAAGGAGGACTTTGAACTTACTACGACAGCTGACAAGTCGATCAGCCGGGTACCGTCATACCGATATGTTCCACTGACAACACAGCTTTTTGCACAGCTCGGTCAAAAGGACCGCAGCCCATTTCAAGCGACACTGCATAAACTTGTCGAAAGGATGTGCCTGGAACACCCCTACCATTGTCTTGTGCAGGTAAGAACTGACAACGTCCGTCAAAGGTGCATATGAAGCTATGGATGCAATCCTCAACACCCCTCCGAAATAACTTGGCAGCTCATTTCCGTTTGCAACGGAAAAGAAGTCGGAAGCGGGGTTGGTGGGCGAGGGGCTGAACAATACATGGAAAACGTGAGCCTTTCTCCACGAGTAAAAGCGGCGACAGAGATTGCGTCGAGGATAAGGAAAGCTCCGTCATATGTGGGAGAGTTGCTGGACAACTATCAGACCCTCATGAGTTCCTACATCCAGCTAGCAAATGCTCCCACTGCCAAGCTCGTGGAACAGGGGAAGACAAAAAATGTCGCTTTGGCTCAAGCGGGAAGAAATAACCGTTTGGATCGTTGTCTGAGTGGTCGATCGTGCCTTCCTTGTGTGCTGACGAAGCCTCCACCAGTGCGAACTGGCCATGACTACGGCGAAGGCAAAAGTGACCCAGTTGGAGGCGAAAGGATCCAAACCTTTGACAGGTACCAAAAGCATTCACTTGTTTTGATGCTGCTCGCAATTCTGAAATCCGAGGATCAATTGCCTTCTAATGATACGTTTGGTTTCTCGATTCTTTGTAAAGTGTTTTCTCCATCACCGATTCTGGGCTGCACAGACCGAAAATTGTCATCTGCCAAGGTTCGCAAGGCGGAAGATTTAGGCAGCTTGTAAAGGGCGAAGATGAGATTCGGCAAGATGCGGTGATGGAACAAGTCTTCACTTACGTAAACGAGCTCATGAGTCGCCGGGGCGAGGCCGGATCACCAGGTACCAAAGCGAGGAGCGACTTGAATTTGGTGACGTACAATATCATCCCATTGAGCCCTGCAAGTGGTGTAAGTACGCATTTGATTCTGTTTCATCGTGCATGCACTCAGGAGAACCATTCTACAACACTTCGTTGTCGATCCTTAGGTATTGGAATGGGTTGAGAATTCAATGACGTTTGGAGACTCCATCCTGGACGGAAAGACGTCCCGAGGGCAAGTACTTGGGACCCATTCTAGGTAAGGGTGTCATCTGGCCGAACATGTCATTGTTTGCCCACAGCTACAGGTTGCAACTAACAGCGATCTGTTGCAATAGGTATTATCCCGGGGAATGGGGCCACGCCAGGTGTCGCCAGCACTACGCCCAGAGTCCTTCAAAGGAAAAACGTGAGACTTTCTCAGTGATCTACAAGTCTTGGTCTCCATCATTTCGGTTCTTCTTCATGGAGAGGTTCGGCCACAGGTGCGTCCCCACCCATCACAACGCCATGATGATGGCACAATGCCACTCACAGATCGCTTTTTCCTGCACCCCAGTTTGAAGGACTGGTATACTGCGAAAATGAGATACACAAAATCTGTTGCGAGCAGTAGCATTGTTGGTCACATCCTGGGAATTGGAGACCGACACACGAACAACATTTTGGTTTCTCAGATAACGGGTCTGTCGAATCTTTTGGTTGGTTTGAACAGCTCTATTGAGCGAGGTTTCTTCTGACTTACTTTGTGCTTCTTCCCTCTCTTTGTCAGGTGAGGTGATCCACATTGATTTTGGCATCGTTTTCGAGCAAGGAAGGGTGCGTGCTTTGACGTGAACAATTCCATCATTCTGGATCCATTTCGTTATTGATTCTGGCTCACTTTTTCTCGTGATTGCGTCAAATCGGTGGTTCAGGTTTTGGCCGTTCCTGAAGTTGTCCCCTTCCGACTGACGCGGAATATTGTAGATGGGATGGGGCCAACCGGAACGGAGGGTGTTTTTACAAAGTCCGCCGAGGCTACTGCGGCTGTGCTTCGAGAGAATGCCAATGCGCTCTTGACGATTCTGTCGGCTGTTGCCTCGGATCCGCTATATCGATGGTCGGTAAGCCCTGTAGAAGCCCGACGACGGCAGCAACTGGCGGATGACGAACAACAACCAGTGCCCAAGGGGAGACGCAAATCGGGGTCTGCTAGCATTCCGCAAACAGAATCGACGACGGGGGAGCGAAATGAAGCTGCCGAACTGGTGCTTGCCAAGATTAGGGAGAAACTTCAAGGCTACGAAGAGCACTCCGTGGAGGGACAATCCATCGAGGGGCAAGTCCAACTTTTGATCAACTCAGCCCGGGATCCCAACAACTTGTGTGTAATGTTTGCGGGTTGGGCTCCTTGGGTCTAACTAAATCTAACCATAGACAATCAAAGAGGTCGACATGGGCCAAGACGAGAAGAAGAATGGCAAGGCATCTAATACCTGTCGCTAACTAAAAAGCACGTTCTCCTACTTGTTATCGATCCAAAATTAACTATCAACAGCAACGTTGAAGCTGCTCTGCTTGGAACAGCCACTCATTACGGATGTGACACCAGAGTTCTTTCTCTGCATGTGTAGATTGTCGTTGCTCTTTTTCAGATCCACAGCAGCGTCTGTGTCTTGTCTGTATCGTGATTGTAAGTGACTTCCACACCCACCGACGGTTCTTCGGGTCGGGGTACCTCCTCGAAGCTTGACGATGCCATGTTTGGTAACGAGGCTCCGAATTGATCATTCAAATTTGCTGCCGTCCGCGCTACATTCCCCATCGACCCCGACGACTTGCTTCGTTTGTGTTTCTGCTTGGCAATGAGATAATCCCTCTTTTCCAACAACGCCGCCATGACGGCACGTCGATTGGGATGGCGTAATCGACGACAGATATCAATGGGTTGCGATCCTTGGTTGTTCCTGGACAAGACAGCTTTGGGATACGTCGACAACAAATCTTGAATGACTGGAAATGTGGCACCGGAGAAACACGCCGCATGCAAAGGCCGATTGCCGAGTTCATCCACCACCTTGGCAGTTGTCGGGTCTGCGCTAAGCAAGGCACTAATAACCGTGGGTGAGCATTGCCACGTACATGCAATGTGCATTGGAAGACAGCCTCCTGGCATCATGCGTTGCGAGACGGCTTCCGGATTGGCTTCTAGCAACGCTTCAATGACATCGACGGGTGGTTTCCTCTCCAATGCGTAGTGCAAGGGCGTCATACTGGCACTGGAAGTGAATCCCCCACGCGTCATGACACCCACTAGTTCGTCATTAGCTTCATCCGGATTGCATTCTAACCTGGCAATGACCGATTTCCAGTTGAGGTTCTTGATGAGTGTGGGTAGATCCTGACTAATGTCGACATCGATTCTGCTGCGACTACTCCCACGTCGTAGTCTATTAATGAGTCCTCCCTGATTGTTGTATTCTGCTTCTTCGCCATCTTGTTGTGGACCCCGCTCGTATTCGTCTCTGTGGAGTAATAGTAAGAGAAAACAAGTTAACACAAACACGCGATTCACCGTCCAAAACAAAACAAGTATCATCCTTTTCTTTCTTTGCTTACTCTAACAGAATCGAATGTCCCATATTAAAGTAGCGTGGATTGTCATCGAGCGTCGTGTCATCATCATTGCTGGCCAAAGTGACATCAATATCAACAACATTCGACCCAACTAGATTTCGTTGGGACGATGTTTGTTGAAACAATTCCTGCGGCGGTCGTGTCCAATACGATGGATGCTTTCGCAACGCGCGCACCAGTGGCGCTTGATGCGGCCTTCCATTTTCTCCCGCCATGACGAGTGCTTCTTCGAGCGGTGTGCGTTCCCATCGATTGCGTCCTACCGTGGCGTCGGGGTATGCCTTGAGTAGTGTAATGGCGACATTCGGGTGTGAGACCCCCCAGTGAGCGGCCAAATGCAATGGCAGAAAGCCATCCTTGTTGCGATGTCGCGCGGCTGCTGGGTACGCTCTCAATAGGAGAGAGACGCATCGGGGTGTGGCTCTTCCGGCACACGCAGTATGAAGCGGAAGCCGTCCTCCTTCGGAATCCAAGCGAATGGCGCGTGGATAGGCATCCAACATGGCATTCAATACTTTGACGGCCATTTGTTCGCGTTTGTTGGAGATGAAAATGGTTCGTCTGGAATCGGGTTGTTGTGGTTGTTGCTGCTCTTCACTATTTGGAATGGGTTGCTGCATGTTGTTGTTGTTGTTACTATGAGGTGGTTCGGCTCCTTCCTTTTTGCGTTGTGTCTGTGCGGCGGCAAAGTTTTCTTCCATGAGAATGGCGGTCATGTTGCTGTGTGTGGTGCTGGCTGTTGATTCGGAAGCGGATCGTGTGATAATGGTGGGTTTGCCCAAGAGAGAAGACGACGACGACGGTTGTGTGCTACTACTACTCGCTCGTCTACTACTCTTGGTCATTCCATCATCATCGTCGTCATCATCCTTGAGACTGGGTGGTCGCACATAACAAGACGCAAAGGACGCCAAATGGAGTGGCAAACAGCCATGACGACTCTCTCGCACTTGACAGGCATCGGGGTAAATCTCCAAAAGGAGAAGAATGAATTTGCACACGGACAAGAATGGATCTTCTTGTTCGGCGTCGGGAATGGAGCTCGATCCGGCCGATCGCAGCTTGAAACAAGCGTGATGCAGTGCCAACCGTTTGGTTCCCGCTACCTTTGTGCCGTCTTCCGCCATGGATTTGGTGCGAAGCGTCGCTCTTGTCTTGACTTCCTTGGGATGACTCTTGGCACGAACCGTTGCCTTTTCCCAATCGCCCATTTCCATGTACCAAAACAGCGGTGGAAGATCTCGTCGGCCTTTCTTGGATGGAGAAGAAGAGGCGGATGACGATGGAATCACATGATGGCTATGGAGGCTGCTGCTCGTGCTGCTGTGATGAGACACCGGAGAAGTTCCGGTTGTGGAACTACGAGTCATCAAAGGCGGCTCCATCTTTCTGTCTATTCAATGCGATCTAATCTAATCTATCCTATGCCTCACACCCATTAACCAACCACAACACACACAACCCTCGGAGGATGGGAGCAAAAAAGTATAGAAACAACAGAAAGGTCAGCTTCTTCTCAACAAAACAAATTGAATTCTCGTCTATTCTTCATTTTTTGTGGGTGTTCGGTACACTTTCTACGGGCGGACTCAGCACTCGGTACACCAGCATTCAAAGTATTCAGATACGGATATGTAGATAATTAACCTCTGTCTGGGATGCTCTCTCATCGGGTTCCGTGTGATGGATGTGGCCCTGCGACTGACCAACATGTATTCTTCAAAGAAAGATTTTTGGCCATGATTGACCTATAAAACATTCTTTCCAACCAAACCCTTCATGTGTTGCACTTGGTGGAAAATATATAGTACCTAGCTATTACCTTTCGAGCACTGCTCCAAGTTTCCAGTTGGTGGCTACACTCCAAGTGTCGATTACATGTAGTTGTCCAAGCTCTACGGTACTAGTATCTACAGTGCTGGTTTTAGCGTTGGGATTTCAGGTGAGCTCTTGCTTATTAGCCACTACCTATGATATGCATACATGTAGTGCAGCCAAAAAGACATGCATCATTCAATATACACCTGCTCAGCCAAGAAAGGACCATGCATGCAGCTACCAACCTCTATCTTCGACTTACGATTACCAGCACTTGTATCGTACAGTCGTATCGCGGAGCTCGGTATCTTCAAGTTCCCTGCACCAAACCTCAAGGAAGAAGGCACCCTATCGTACCACATTGTTATTCGACATGCTCAGCTAATGGCTGGCTACGCTACCCAAGACCGTCCCGGCCGTTGAGACGCCCTTATGTGACTGAAAAGATCGTTAGAGTGGAGTTGGCTTTTGCAGCAAAACAAAAGATACAAACCATTCTCACTCAATCATGGTCAAGATCCAACTGGCTGTTTCAGGCAGGATCCTTCTCATTGCTTCCTTGCATGCATGCCTTGTTCAGGGGGTTCACAAGTCCTTCAACGTTCTTAGAAGCTACAGAAGTGCAGCTAGCTACAGTAACGAACATGCACAGATGAGCTCTTAGATCCCAAGATGAGATGTATGGAGGTCAACCCACAACAGCTCCGCCCTTCGGTACCTAGTACCGGTACCGGTACGGTGCGAGGACCAACACTTCGTTTCTCACTGGTTGGTTATTGGTGGCTTACGGTACCGGTATGGTCATAGAAAAACTTCAGACAGTGGACCTGCCGTGGCCCGCCGTTTAACGGTATTTACAGCTCTGCTGCTTAAACAAAAAACAAATCGAGAACACTTTCAGATCGAAACGCTCCAGGCATTGTTTTCGAAGCAGCCAAGAAGAGAGCCGTTGTCGAAGGAAGCCACGAGGACCACCTGTTGAGACCAAGCAAAAGAACAAGAGAAACGCTAGCACATCGAGGCAGCCGAGAGGAGGGAGCATTGTTGTCATTGTTGCCGAAGCAAAGCCGCTGTTGTCAGTTACCAGCAAGAGAACAAAACAATGAGCAGCAGCACCATCAATCTTCGCTTTGAGACTCTTGATGGGAGCTCAGCTTGTCATGTGAGAAAGTCAAGGTTGGCTTGATCAAACCGCTACTGGCCGAACCGTTTGGCATTGATGTCGCAGAACAAGAACTCGTGTATCAAGATGAAACCAGCCAGCTCTTGCTGCCTGATGAGGCAACTCTTGGTCCCTCTCATGACCAAAAAATTCTCGTACGCCCCATGGCTCGTGAAAGGACGGTTTGCATTGTCCAGTACTCTACAGTAGTCCCAACTCAAATCACGGAAACTCAACTCACTGTCAACTGCAAAGACAAAATTGGAAGTGTCAAACACCAGATTCAAGCCCTGTTGGGAGTGGCTGTGGATGAACAGAAATTGTACTTTCACAATGTAGAGTGTGATGATGATCGTACACTCCGCTATTACCAGTTTCCCAACAATGTTCATCTCCTGTTGATGTCCAATACTCAACAACCAGAGATCAATGTCATTGTAAGGACATTGACTGGGAAAACTATTCCTGTCAAGGTAAACCCAGGAGAAACTGTCGGAATGCTCAAGATCAAGATTCAAAATAAAGAGGGCATTCCGCCCGACCAGCAGCGCCTCATCTTTGGGGGGCGACAGCTTGAAGATCAAAATTCGTTGTTCCGTTACCACATTCCTCACGAAGGCACAATTCACCTCATACTTCGTCTGGGAGGCATGATCAGTTCCTTCTCATTCAATGATATGAACGACCCCTTGGTGCGCTATCTCATGCTTCCAGAAGCAGAGCGGCAGATCGCGCCATTCCCGGTCTCCGCCATTCACGGGGGACGCCGGTTCTGTGCTTACGACAACAAAGTGTACGACCCAGAGTCCACAACGTCTTTCTCATTCAACAAAGACTGTGAGATACTTAGTGCTGGTCATCGTGGAGTGGTTGGTCAGTTTCTTGAATTCATGTGGAGCGCTAAAATGGCGAACAAGGACGGTGCCGTGGACATGAAGGTGGTACTACCTGATGATCTCTTGGTACATCTTCTTGATCCCTTTGCGGCTCGCTGCAACAAGCATCACACAGAACAGTGGAGTCCAGAGCAGGTGCTTGAAAAGCTCTATAACACTAGTCCGCATATACATCAACCCAAAATCGCCCTACGCATGACCAAGTGGCCAACAAATGCATGCATCAACTTTCACCAAGATGGACGATATGCCACCTACACTATGCAACTTGCCTTGAACGATCCCGAAGAATACCAAGGGGGGAAGCTCTGTTACTTTGTAAACAACCGACTTCATGTCTTGACTCGGCCCGCTGGTTCCCTAGTGGGCCACCATCGTGAGGTCCTCCATGCCGTTACGGCACTGACAGGAGGGGTTCGCAAGAGTCTGTTTCTGACGGACTATTCTAATGGGCTTGGTGAGAAAGATGTCATTATCGCCTCCAAAACGGATGTGGCGGCGTTTTGGGATTCAGACCTTGGAATCCCCTGTACCTACTGCTTTGTGCGATTCCCCAGCCTAAGTTGCAGTGGATGTTCCCAGAAAAACATGTGCAAGGATTGCGCAGATACATTTGTTGGCTGCCCTCCCTGTCGCATTGTTCAGATGGAATCATCTATTTCGCGCAAGCGGAAGATTGCCATGGCTGGACTTTGAAGAAGATGAATTACAGCGCCGAAGCTTGTTTCAGGCGTGGCGGCGATGCACCGAACAATCAGAATCACAGCTCGGGATGCCTTTCGCAACAAATTCAGAAGACGCTTGGGGGCGGCACAACAACTTGCAAATGATCGCCGCTAACCTAACTATTGATAGACACTCATTTTTATGTACCATTTACCTGTTCTAGCTCGACGAAGGGTTTGCTCTCACGGCATGTGGGACGGTCGGCTGCTCCTCGTCCGTGGCACATTGAACATGAACACGTCCCAACGACCTCGCTTGCCTCATTTGACAACTATTCGTACAGACCACACCTACCATATGGTACCTCTAGGATAGGGTCCTTCAATCCAGAAAGTCGGTACGAGAGGTTCCTACCGTACAGAACTCACGTCGAAACTGGAAGCAAGGCTGCGGGTTGGCCTGCTACCGGTAGGAGGCGCTGGTGTTCTTCTTGTCCACCATCTGTTGGCAATCAAATAAATGTGCAATCTGGTCAGCGATTCCTGCAAGCTACCAATCCACCAACCACATTGTTGTGGGCATCGAAGGTCAATCCTGCAATCTCCAACTGATGGGCACTTCCATCGTAGACAATGTGCTCGACAGCGTCACCGTAACCCGTTACATGGACATTGGCTTGCTTCAACAGTGATTTCACATCCTGCTCCCGAGCTTTGGAATCCGACCTCGCCAACGTCAGTACGGCCCAAAAGTTGGCTTTCACAAAACCCAAGATGTCGCCTCGTTCATACACGAGAGGGATTCCTTCGTGCCAGCCTGCTTCAGACTGTGCCACAAACTTCCTTGTGATCTTTCCAGTCATTGATCTGACACTCTCTGCCACAGTATGAAACCTTCTTGCATCGTGCGCATTTTTTCAAGTTGCAACCAGGCGATGTGGACCAACAGACTTGACAATACTCCTCCGGAAGGCTACAATTGCTGGATGCCGTCACGTTGAACCACTCCAGGCACTTTCCAATCTTCTTTTCATCTAGATGGTCCATCAAGTCTTCTCCAAACGAATGACTATCATCTAGATGCCTTCTTGCTATTTTGAGCGTTTTGGAAATGACATGCAATACCGACGGATGACTCTCCACAAAGGTTTCCAATGTTTTGTCGTCGTCATAGTGTACACCTTTGTCTTTGCATTCCATGAGGCCCATCATTCGATGCAATTGTTCCGTGGAAACTGCTTCCTGAAAGTGCGATTCCGCCTCTTCCTTGTCTCCCAATGCTGCAAATGCCAGGGCAGTGTACAAGCATTGTTTATATTCCTGCAAAGACAACTCCCACCTTTCATCCCCCGTCTCATCCTTCATGGTTTCTCCTAGCACATCCACAGCCTTTTGACTAATGTGGAGCACTCCAAGTGCTTTTTTGGTATCCTTGTGACGTGTATTGGTGAGCAGATTTTCGGCGTAGCAGAGTAGAATGCGCAGCGCATACAGCGACTCCTGCATGTGGTTAGGTTGCTTCATGATGATTCCAACCCAAGCATATGGATATGTGGTAATATCTTGGCTGGCCGTTTCCAATATTTGCCAGTAATTGTTGCGATCAAATTCGTCATCAGCGGTATGTTCCATCAAAAACAGCCGTCGTTCCGCGGGAGCAATGGCCCTGATCCGAATGGGGATCGATTCATGATATTCCAAAGATTCCGCAGCACTGGGAAGAGGTCCCTTGGTCTTTTTGGAAGTGTTCCAATAATGGTCACGGTGTTTCTTGTCGAGCTGTTGGTGTCGTTGTACTTCTTCCTCGGTCAGGGCTGCGTTCAGGTGCTGCTCGGTGCGGTCCATAGACTTCCACATCTCCTCCAGCTCCGCTACGTCCTCACCATCGTCATCGCTTACAGCATCATCTCGACCCATTTTCTTTCATGCACAACGCTGCCGGTAGCTTCAGTGAGAACAGAAAAAGATCCATATCATTCTACTCTAGAGCAAAGATATTAACCTGAGCGCTAGTAGTGCGCAATCTTAAATCACGAGCGAGACTGCGTCGTTTCATTTCGCGAAGACCATGCTGTGATTGCAGCCACCACGGTACTAGCTCTAGCTAGCTAGTAGTCTACCGCACCGTACCGTGCCTTACCTAAGAGAAGAGAAGAGAAGCTAGATGAGACGAAGTCCTGCCTAATACCTGCATCAGACTGAGCAACAGGCTTTCTTGTGATCTTTCCAGTCATTGAATTGACACTCCCTGCCACAGTATGAAACCTTCTTGCATTGTGAACATTTTTTCAAGTTGCAGCTAGGCGATGTGGACCAACAGACTTGGCAATACTCCTCTGTCTTGGATGGTGCCGTCACGTTGAACCATTCCAGGCAACTGTAAACTTGTTTTTCGTTGAGCTTGAACCAGAATTCTTCTCCAAACGGATGACTTTCATCCAGAAGACGTCTTTTAATTTTGAGTGTTGAGGAAAGGATGTACAACAACGAGGGCTGTTCACCCCCAAGCATTTCCAAGGTTTCGTCGTCGAAGTAGGTTACATGCTGGTCTTTACATTCCAACTGTCCCAAAATTCGATGCCCCTGTTCCATGTTCACGGCCACCTGAAAGTAGAGGATGGTGTTTTTCTTGTGCCCCAATGATGCAAAGGCCAGGGATGTGTATAATTTTTGCTTGTATTCCTGCAAAGACAGACTCCATCGCTCGTCACCCGTTTCGTCCTTCATGGTGATCAAAAGTTGATTGACGGCTTTTCCGGTAATGTGAAGCACATGGAGAGCTTTCTTGGCATTCTTGTGACACGGATTGGTGACTAGGTGTTCTGCGTAGCATAGAAGAATGCGTACTGCATCCAAAGACTCCTGCATCCGTTTTGGATCTTTCATGATGATTTCAATCCACGCATATGGATAGGTGGATACATCGTAGTATGTATTCTCCATCATTGCCCAATACTGATCCATGTCTTCTGGCAACGAATGTTCCATGGGAAACAGGCGCATTTCGGCTGGTCTCATGAAACTGATCCGAATGGGGACCGATTCATGATATTCCAACGATTCGGCCACGCTGGGAAGAGGTCCCTTGGTCTTTCTGGAAGTGTTCCAATAGTGGTCACGGTGTTTCCTCTCCAGATATTCAAGTCTCTCGAGCTGTTCCTCGGTCAGGTTTTGCCTAAACTGCTTTTCATATTGCTCCAGCATGTTGTAAGCTTCTTCCAACCTTTCAGCCGCTTCTTGAGGGTCTTCCTCCTCGTTGTCAGATCCAGAAGTAGACATCCTCGTCATTGGAAGTTTGTTTGTATCGGTATGGCTCTTTTTACAAGAAAGTAAAATAATGAGAAGAGGTGACTTCTTTTTGTTTGCGACCTTGTCAAAGATATTAACCTGAGCCCTAGATAGAATATTTAGTCACGAACGAGACTGCGTCGTTTCATTTCAGTAAGCGGTAAGTGGCAGCCACACAATCAAAAAGAGGCTCCCTGCATCAAACGACGCTGTTGCGATTGTCCACCATCGTCGAAGGTCAACTCGTTAGTAGAAGTTATTTGAGTTATTTTAGAAGTGAACATCAAGATGCCGAAGCTTGCAAGAGAATACAACGAGTGCGATCGTGAGTATTAGCCATGATGACATGGATGCTAGTAGTGGTGGTGTGGTGTCATCGATCTCATCTGTTATCTGTTGTTTTGTGTTTGCAGAGTGGGAAAAGGCATACCAGAAGCAGGATGCCGTCTTTGTAGCCCGAAAGCGTGCCATTGGCAATGAACGCCAAAAGCCCATGCGCTTTGTGCGAAATGTTGGTTTGGGTATCAAGACCCCTGCCGCTGCCATTGAGGGCAACTACGTGGACAAAAAGTGTCCCTTCACGGGAGACGTCTCCATCCGAGGACGCATCCTCACGGGACAGGTCGTTTCCACCAAGATGAAGCGAACCATCATCGTGCGAAGGGACTACCTGCACTACATTCGAAAGTACCGTCGTTTCGAAAAGCGTCACAAGAACATCTCGGTTCACTGCTCTCCTGCTTTCCCCGTCAAGGATGGAGATATTGTTACCATTGGACAGTGCCGTCCTCTTGCCAAGACGGTCCGTTTCAATGTCGTCGCTCATGAACCTCAGGCCACCAAGGCTGGAAAGAAATCCTTCCGTGTCTTTTAATTAAAATGCCAGGTCAACAATAGTATGAAGCAAGTGCTCCAGTTCCTCATTAGAGACTCCAACCTCTTGAACAGAGTAAATGTTCCATAATTCCAACTAAAGTGCCCTTGCTTCAATTGATAATGAAACCACAAAGAATCTAGACCACTGGATCGTTTCATGCACGCCAGCTGCTAGCAAGTACATGTAGAGCATTTCCTAAAGGTTTGAGAGAGTTCTATTCTGGATTAGGTTTTACAATACACACACTAGCTAGTACTGAGTAGGATCTAGGATTGCTTTACTAAACTCTTGGACAGACACTCTTGGATCTGCTTCAGGGCTTCCTCCTGAGTCTGCTTCAAATCGGACATGCAACCACTGTGCAAGTACTCCAGTCGGTCTGATAACTCGGAAATATCCTTTTTCAACCGCAGCTCTGTAACTGCCACCATTTGCTCAATGCCCTGAGCTTGTGCTACGGAACGTTCGTTGGCTTCTTGAGCCATCTTGTCGATACGACTCTGCAAATGGTGCACTCGTCCCCGCCACTCGTGTTCCTTCTTGTCGTCCTGTTTCTTGCGAGTCCATGAATCCTGTGACGAGCCCATGACACGAAGGATCATACTTTGAACCCGGACCAGGAAACCCCCCTTGCGCTCTGCTGCTGTATCGCCAATGTCCATCTGGCTGCGTCGTGAGGAAATGGTCTGAGCTCCTTGCGACAAAAAGGCCATCATGGCGGCAAAGACAAACACATTCACGAGGACACTCGCCATGCTCACGGCAACGTTGCCGTAACGCTGGTCCCCGGAAAAGTACCCCGCCATCTCACCGAATGCCCAGAACACCACAACCATGGAAGAGAGGCCAAAGAACACCAACGACCCACGGCTCCAGCCTTGGGCACAGGACTTGAGCCACCACCAACGATCGCTGGACAGTGATGGTTTTTCCTTTTGATGCACGAGTTGGCTCCCGTCATTGGGGATCTTTCGCAAGAGGTTTTGAAAGCAAACAATCTCGGCAATCAACATGACCCGTGCCCTTCCAAACAACATGTTGGATCTCAAGAGGCACTTTTCGTAGCTGTCGCTCGCCACGGCAATGAGAACGTTCAACAGAACAATGATAACCTGGACAGTGTGCCGTGAGTTGAGTCGATGCATGCATTCCATTCCAACTAACTGTGCACCACACAAGAACTCACCATGAAGCTATAGAAGATGAGCAATATAAAGGCGAATCTAGTCTGAAAGGTCTCTCTCTCAAAGGCTCCAAAGTCGCCAAGAAGAATGGTATAGACCCTGAAGATGTATTCCGCCTGATCGCACCGGAAATCGGGGTCGTCCATTTCTCGTGCTTCTGGATCGGAGCAATAGTCCGGGACCAACACAGTGTAGAACATTTGGCTGAACGTGAGGATCATGGTCAGAAGAATGACACCAAACGTGAGTGTATCCTTGGTGATCTGGAGGCATAGATTGACACGAAGCAAAGGTAAGTTCGTTGTTCGCAAGAAACGTAGAGACGCGAATAAGACCTGATACGCACCTGAAGAATGGCCAAGATGAATGTTGCCATTTGCATATTGATTCCCTTGAGAAGGTTCAAAACTCGCAGCCACAAGAGCCCCGTCGTGACTGCCAAAAAGTTACGAAAGGAGTGCATATCGATAATATCAAGACCATCATCGGGTCTCTGAATGGATCGAATCGCCATAATGCTCACAAAGGCAAACATGGTTGCCGTCAGGTCTGCCAAGTTCCAAAAGCTCAATAAGGCCCGGGTTCGACCAATCATTCGCATGCTAATGACTTTTCCAATTTCTCGAATGACGAAATAGAAGATCCCCGTGTTGGCAATGTAGATTGAACGCAAGACAGCGTTTGGATTCCCCTTGACCAGTAGTTTGTTCACCGCGTCACGAAAGCCATAGATTAAAAGTACAAGAAAGGCGGCATCACAGAGAATAAACAAAACCGCGAACGGTCTTGCAATGATACGATCCATGACCCTGCGAACTACCATGGTGGTTGCCGCCTCACCCATCTTCTTTTCCCCCAGCGCCATTAGAGACGGCACAAAGTCTTGTAGGTAACTGATCTCGGTGTGGAAATCATCCCGCAGTCGTTCCGCACGATTAAGTCGAGCCGAACTGGTTGACTTGGCCAGTTTGGAACCATTGTTTGTCGATGACGATGATGAAGACGACAACGTTGAAATTTTTTCACAAGTTGCAAGGTTGGACACGATTTCCAGGTAGTCAACAGCTCGATCCGAGACCCTTCTTTGATTGCATCGCAACATTGCTGGCAACCAACCCCCGACAGAAAGTTTGCTCATGAGAACGCGACGCATAATAGTTGTGGAGAGGGCGAACTCCCGATCATGGTCGTTCTCGATGAGCAACACAAGCTTTACAAAGTCCGGAATCGAGGCAATGTTGGATACAATTTCTTCCTGGATTTCATCGTACGTGAAGTCATCCATGCTCTGGAAGAATGATGTATGATCCATGACATGATCGAACGAATCCACCTCCTTGATAGACTTTGGTGTCTTTGCTCGAATGTTGTTGCGTCTCGAAGGAGGGGGAGTGGGCAAAGCATTGGAGGACGATGATGAAGCGAGCTTGTCGAGTCTTCCCATGATTGCAGACAGCATTTTGAGAGCAAAGACCAGTTGACTTGAAACGCAAACATGAATTGGAAAGCACCTCTTTCGTGCCGGGCCTTCGCTCGTGTTTCGGGTAGCTCCGGGGGTTTCTTTGCGACCCGAGGAAGGGTCTTGACTCAATCCAAGGCTAGTTGACTTTTCGGGTGGGGATTGGAGTGTACTGCCGTCCATAGCAGCCGCCGTAGAATGCCTCTTGCTTCCAATAAGACCGGATGACCTGGCAATCACGGCCGTGGACCGTAATGCGTCCAAGACAACCTTGGGTGCGAAACTGTCTCGTCGGCTGGTTGCTGCCATGTGTACCATGGAATCGTATGATTCAATGATCCACTCGTTAATGCACCGCTCAAAGGGTATTTTGCCATCATTGTCACGAGACATGGCCGCACGAGGATTGGCAACCAATAGAAAGTCAAGGATAAAGTTTTGCACAATCAGTTCTCGTGAGGCATCCGGAGTGTTGGAGAACGATTTTGGCGTGGCAATGTCTGGCAACCAAATGTCGTTTTCCTTGTCCGCTGCGATAATATTGTTGGCGTTTGAATCCAAATGTTCGGCAATAGCGGTATTTTCCGAGACTAGGTGGAGCGGAGTACAACCTTTTCCATCCGAGACTCGTGCAAAGTTGAGAATGTCACGTCGTGGCAATCGTAGATTCAGCAGTTGGGATCTTACTTGCTGTAGATCTTGGACCGTTTTGGCTTGATTGCAGAGTTCATGGAGCTTGGTGGGTGGCCGGTACGGCGCCTGAAAGGTGGATCTAATCCCCGGAGAACCATCGAGACGATTGATAAGAAAGTTTGTCTTGTCGTCCGCTTCATCCGTGGAAGAAGAAGAGGAAGCTGTGGTAGTGTGGGAGTGCTTTTGTTCCCAGGTTTTGTTGGTAGAGTGCTGTTGGAGTTCGTAAGACCGAATATCATTGAGAATGCTGGCAGCTTGGGTGGTTGTTCCTAGTGTCCGGTTTTCAGTCAAATCAATTTCTGGTTCCAAGTTGTCATCCTTGTCTATCTTTTTCTTGACGTTGTTGGTCTTGGCATCACGATGATTGATGACGTCGTTGTTGGAGTTTAACAGACACGACGTTCGATCCATTTCGCTAAATTCGTTGAATGTGCTATTTGTCATCCCTCCAAACGAATTGAGTCCAATGGTATTCCCAGCAGAGAGTCCCTTGCCTCCTTCTTCTGTGAGACACAAGGACGGAGACAGGGAAAACGACATGGACCCATTAGTATCAGGTGATACCCCTCCTGCTCGACGACGCAGCAACTTGCTCGGAGAAGTGGCCATGCTATTCGAAGGATTCAAGGCACCTCCAAGACCACACATAAGCCGAGTTTCCACTCCGCTTTCACTAACGACAGAGATATCCACCTCCTCCAGCATGCTCGTTCCTTCCTCGTTATCATCGTCGTCTTCGTCCCGACTCGAATCCATCATCATCATTCTCATCATCTTGCCAAATAGTATTGATGCCGCCCACCCAAACAACCAAATGAAATGGAAAGCAAATCAAGCTACTAGACTAGTAGAGTAATAATAGAATCGAATCGTTTTTTGGAATACTAGTAATGGTTTGAACTCAAGTCAGTTGGCACCAAAGGCCCCAGTCCATACGATGTACGATGTACGATGTACGAGTACGAGAACTGTCGATCTACTAGCTAGCTACTGCTTACTGTAGCTTTGACTTCACAGGATACCACCGGTACAGTACCACCTGACATAAAAAAATTGAAGCAAGAGATTTGGTTTGAATGGATTTTGTGGACCTGGGTGGCAACGGTGAGTTTCCCCCGGCGCCTAGGAATCGAATCAGATCTGTTGGCTTGGAAACAAGCCATTCCCAGAAGTTGGGTTTTGGGGCGGTGTGAGTTGTGTGGGGGACCTTCAAGTGACAGTCCAGTCCAGCCCTTGTACCATCACAAACCAACCCAAAGCCAATCCATCCAAGATGTAACTAGCTAGCCCCCCTAATCAAACTGCACACTAATGGATCTGTCTGCAGAACATTGATTCAATACTATTTTGGATGCTGTGCCCTATGCAAGATCCAAAAGCCTGTTTCATCAATACAGTTTATAGATCTACCAGATTCACATAGCAGCGCCACCATGCTTCCATTGTCAAACTGTGCTCAGTACTCGGCTACCATGATTTCGCAAAAATAGCCATTCGAGAAGTTCCCAGATTGAATCATGGTCCGAATTGAATGCAGTAAGGAACGTCTAATCATGTCATAGGCAGCCACCCTCCCATGCATATTGAAGATTTCCAGCTGCCTCACCTTAGCAGCCAGCAGCCAGCAGCCAGCAGTACAGCAGCATGTATCAGCATTTCATGGGCCCATGCTCACGGGCCCATTTCAGGACATTTGTATGGCCATTCATTTTGGCATAGATAGCAGCTGATCTGCATTTGACATCCCACGGGCACCCTTGCTAACAGGCCCATTTCAGGATGTTCAGATGGCCTCCCTCGAGGGCAGCCCTGCATGTTGATGCATCCCAAGCACACTTATTCTCACGTGCATATTGTAGGAGCTCCAAATGGCCTTCCTTAGCAGCATAGAAACATGTATGAACATCCCAAGCACACCCATTCTCATGTGCATATTGTAGGAGCTCCAAATGGCCACCTTTGGCAGCATAGTAACATGTAATAACACCCCAAGCGCACCCATTCTCATGTGCATATTGTAGGAGCTCCAAATGGCCACCTTTGGCAGCATATGCACATGTGCTTTCCCCCCAAGGACAGCCATTTTCATGAGCATACTTCAACATTTCCAAATGGCCATTTTCTGCAGCATAGCGGCATGACTGTTCGTCCCAATGGCAACCATTATCTCTGGCCCACTCCAGGACTTCCAACTGAACACCGATTGCAGCACAGGCACATGTCCATTCATCCCAAGGGCAACCATTATCTCTGGCCCATTTCAGGACTTCCAAATGACCACCCTTGGCAGCATCAGCACATGCATTTGTATCCCAAGGACAGCCATTTTCTCTGGCCCATTTCAGCATATTCAGCTGTCCAATCTGTGCAGCTTTGCGGCATGTTGAATCATGCAAAGGACAGCCATTCTCATGGATAAATCGAAGAACATCAAGACATCCACCCTCAGCAGCCATCTTCGAAACATCCTCATCCAATGGACAGCCATTTTCATGTGCCCATTTTAGGAGCTCCAAATGGCCACCTTTGGCAGCATTAGCACAAGTCCATTCATCTCATGGGCAGCCATTCTCCCTTAGCCATTTCAAAACATGCAGATGCCCAACCGAAGCAGCAACTTGGCATGTTTTTCTATACCAAGGATATCCTTTTTCATGTGCCCACTGAATCACCGGCAGAGAGCCCAGTTTGGCAATTGTGGTGCAAGGACCATCATCTGGTGACTTCTTTGTTGAGCATTTGTAGTTGTTCCAGTATTCAGCACATGACACATTGTAGAATGCTGCAGAGAAGAAAGTATCTTTGTTGGTTGTTGATCGCTCTCCAAAATCTGTCCAATGGTCGCGTTTCCTGACTAGAGGAGGATTCTTGACAGTGTCACAGTATTCTTGATAGAGCTGTTTCCACTGCTTGTTGACACTGCCTGCAAAGGCATACTGCCCCATCCCCAGAGCGGGAAGAACCTTACCAATCCAAATGTCCTTGTGGTCCAGCAGCAATGAAATGTTTGAACTGGTAGCACTGGTATGATCCATTGTCGGTTTCAAAGCAGGAACAGGGGGGTTTAGAATAGGTAGATTCATGGATGCATCCGCCTTGCTGTCATTGGTAGAGGACATGACGATCTTCTGCACTAGCTAGCTAGCGATTCAGGATTGTTGCTTTTGCTTTTGTGTGTTGCAGAGATTATCCACTTTTTGTGTTTCGTAGCGTGGAGACGGATGCCCATCAAGTTCGTTGACACCACGCTACGGTACGTTGTCGTTGCCTTGGAGCAGCGAGCAGCACTCGGACTCACTGTACCACGGTCTCGAGCGTCGAGCGTCGAGAGTGGTTCTTCGATCGTGCGGACGATTGCTTCCTCTTCGTGAAACGTGGAACTTTCTCCGTTAGGATTGAGGGTATCAAGTATCAAGGCCTTTTCAATTGACCACCGAAACTGAGCAGAGGCACAACAACCTTGGAAAGGTGAGCTGATGTCTCCATCACCTCTACTATTGATAGACTACAGAGCAAAGCATCTCTAGCCAGAGCTAGCTACCTGTACTTGCTAGAAGCTATCCAGTAGACTAGCCAGATATTAGACAGCCGGTTAATTCATGGGCCAGCCACATTGATCGCATGAAGAAGTCTCTTGATCAGGGTATTCTCTGTTAGCGTTCGGAAGAGAAGCGAGAAAAGTGTTCTGTGGAGTCAAGTCGAGTTACTACCGTGTGCTCTTCGCAAGCCAGGGTACAGTAGTGTCTCTATCTTCTTGATTATCTTGTCATTTTAGTCATCAAGATGAAGAACGGCCACCGCAAGAATGGTTCGAGTAGTAGGACGACGACAACAACCAGCATTCGACGCAACAGTGACTCTGCCAGTGTCTCGAGTTTGAGCGAGTTTCATAGTGCCCGAAGTGGCGATTCCTTATCTCGATTCCCCTATCATCATCACCATCATGAAGGATCCAAAGGCTCCGGCCGTAGTCAACGCCGTGGAGCTCCGCAACGAACTCGATCTCGATCGTTGGATATTGTGGGAGGGGATGACGACGATTCCATGGAGTTCAATAACGACAATAGTGATAACAACAACTCTCCCTACCACAACTCTGGCACGGAAGGTCGTCATGTGCGTCGGGGACGCCGCAATACCAATAATTCCAGTTTGGCGTCCTCTGCGGCCTCAATGGAACTGGACGAATCAGCAGCCAGTGTCCTCATGTTACAAGAATCCTCCACGTTTCCAGAACTATTGCAAGGCGATGAATTGCAACAAGCCAGTGGCTGGAATTTCGCCATGGAACATCGGATATTCCTCAAAGCCGTACTAGAGTTACTGGCACAACGCGACAAGGTCGCCACCGAAGTGGGCATGAATGACCCAAACGTCTTGAAATCGGGGCCACTCAAAAAGGCATCGCACTTGATGCGGGGGATTTGGAAGGTCAAATATATCGAGATACGACGGGGAATGTTTTCCTATTACGAAGATGCGTCCAATAGAAACGCAAATGAATCATCGAACTTGTTGCGCAAAAACATACCACTCGAAGCCAATGCCTGTCACTGTCGGGCGGTACGCTTGCATCAAAAGGCTTGGAATATCACTCCGCGTGGCGCCATTTTCGAATTGGCCATTACTGGAAGACCCAAACGATTATGGATGGCCAATTCCAGAGAAGAACGACAGGCGTGGATACAGGCCATTCATGATGCCATGGTGGGAGGTTCCGTCACACGAGGAGGGAACATCAATCAAAAGACACAAGAATCCAAAATGTCACCCTATAAAGAGGATATCAAAAAGTACCAAAAAGTACAGGGAATGCTGCGAAATGCCAAGACCAAGGAAGACTACGTCATTGCCTTGAGAACTATTTTCCGACATGATCTCAATGTACCCGTCAAAATCATTATTGAACAGACCGAACAAGAGAGCAAACCCAACAGCGACGTCAAGGGTGCGTTTCATGAAGGAGACGTCAAATTTGGGGTCGATCAACTCTACAAAGATCTGCTGCGAGATACCTTGAAAATCAACTCGGAATTGTACAATGGCAATAGTGGACATGCCCCGGAACGCATCACGGGAGACCTGGCGCGGCGCATTCTACTCTGTGGCCGCCGCGACGACGACACTACTACGGCTAGCAAATATGACATGTCCGAATCGCAGGCATTGGCATATGCCCGGGATGTCCTCTTGTCGGGGAATCGGACCCGCAGTGGCGGTGATGCGTACTTTTGCGTCGACACACTATGCAAAAATGAAGAGCTCGTCGTCTTGGTCCCGAGCTCGATGGAGGCCGAACCCGTCTCTATCACAGTTAGTCGCGATGACGATGATGATGCCATTGGAAACGATTTGCATTCCAAAAGTGGGTGGCTACGAACACGACGAAGGACTCGCAATGCCTGGGTCAAGGCCTATTTTGTCCTTTCGGAAGGGACGCTTAGCTTTTACGAGCACGCCCTGCCGCGACCGCATGGATTGCAGGGGCAGCTAGCCATTTCCGAAGCTACCATGTCCGTTGCGAGAGAAGAACAAAAGGGCAATGGCTTTGTCTTGACCATTGTGGCAAAGGACAAGGTGGAGCGGCAACTCTTGTTCGAATCCGAAGAACGTCTCTTGGTCTGGGCGTATGCGCTCGAGTGCGTTGCCAAGTCCAAGGGAGGAGCCGCACCCGCCACTTTGACAAAGGCAATGAAGGGTGTCATGGCAAGGATGCCAAGGGTGTCCATCGTGGGGGTCGTCGGAGCGAATCCAATAGCCATCAATCCCAATCACCCGAGATCAGCGGGCAACTTTGCGGAGGACACGGCGATGGAGGGCGCCAGTCTCGCAGAGGCGGCTCTGAAGGAACACGTGGCCAATCTGGGCCTTGATTTCAAAGACTTGGGAAGCCGCCTTGCAGCATTTGCCAACCAATCATCACCCACCGTAAAGGTAGCGATTGAAGCGGGGACTGTGTACAAGGTTTGTACGTTGGATCCCGAAGGCGTCGAAAGCAAGGATACCTGGGCAATCATTGAGGCGACATTTCTTCAGGATTTCCGTGTGAGTGGTGGACCCAATGGACGGATCATCAGGGGTCAAGAAACGGTTCGAATTGATGTTTCTCGGTGCTCGGCACCGGCATCATTGCCTTCGGTTCGTCGCATGTCAACCGAGGAACCAACAACAGGTCGGCAACTCCCAATACCAAAACTTTTACGCACCTTCAGCGATGATGTTGAATACAGGGGCAGCAAATCAAGAGCAAGGAACACATAGATAGTCACTCGCATGTAACCCATTCATGTGTATAACTAGCTTGAAAAGTTCGTCTATTGTATTGCTGCTTCCCGAAGTGAATGCCGTGTTGGGTTGCTTTTTGTGCCCCAGAGTGGAGTCCGGGATTGGTTGAAAAAGACGGTGGAAACTTTGAAATTTTATGGTTTGATTCTTTCGTCCTCGATAGAAATTCATGTTTCGAGTTTCTTCATGTTTCGATTTACAAAAATAGTTTCAGAAACAAAGTCCAACATGAAACAATGTGAAATAAGTCTTATTTGGGACACCCTAATTTGAAGGTGTTGCAACCACAAAGAGCTCCACAAAGCGTCTGGCCCAAGCAAGTGATAGATTCATATCTTACTTTTGATACGGTACCTACCAACAAGATGCTTCGAGGGTCCAGGAACCTCTTGGGAAGGTATGGTGGTGTCCCCATGGCCGCCAACACCACCACCACAAGTCCATTCTCCTTAATATTGCCATCCACCCCCACCACCACCACCATTCGCTACAAGCACTCGCATCGACAAATCAAGCGCTTTCAAAACCATCCGGCTCGATTGAGGGTCGAAAAACGAATGGGAATTGATCGAACGCCCCTTCCCATGGATCCACCCAAATATCCACCCGTATTGGAACCCATCTTTTTGCCCAATGGATGGTCGCCTCCGCCCCAACAAACACCAGACTATCCCTTTGGCGTCGCCCGCACCAAAAATAAACCACACGATGCCATTGGGTTCTTGCCCGTATATTCCAATTTCCGGTGAGTAGAGTACCGTAGGATACCAAACAAAAACAAAACAAAAAGAGAGAGAGAGAGAGAGTGGTAGGAATGATACTGTGTTTCATCATGGATGATTATTGGTATACCAAAGGACGGCTATTTTTGGTTGCATATAATCCTCACTTACTTTCTTCTTATGATGGACCTCCACTTTTCCTGCCAAATCAATAAATTACGCTACCGCACTACAGCAAGGACGGGGCCAGGGTAACCACTCGCGTCAAAAAGGTCACGGGTGATCGAGACTTGTTCATTCGAGAATTGCGGTCTGTATTGGAGTTGCCGCCACCCAAAAATGGCAATGCTCGATTGGATCCTATACGAGTGCGAGTGGGAGGTACCATCGAAGTCAAGGGCAACCGAACACGAGAAATCAAGGCATGGTTGGCAGGGCTTGGATTTTAAAAATACCGAGTTGTTTATTCATGGATTCTTGTCAATGTGCTAGGAAAACCATCCATTCAAACAAACAATCAGCAAGCAAGCTAGTATTAGTTACGGGTATCGAGACTGTACCGTACTTGATATGAAGAGAACATGGAAGCGAAACGAGTTCGCAGTTTGCAAATGTTTTAGATCCCATTACAACACCTACTTGCAGCAGCTCAGCTGGGATCTGTCTTTTAATCAATCTAGAGTGCCGCTTTGGCGACCCTATCAACACTTCCATGCAGGAGTTGGTGTCTATCGTACAGCTCCAGATTGGACTGGATAGTTACTAGTAGTACCGGTATCAGTCTTCCTCAAAGTGTGTCGTCGTCGAGCCTTGACTCTGGAGGGGCTTGAGACTTCTTCAAAACCGAATTGCACCTCAACCCGTGTTTCCAAGATCATAATCCAAACAAGGTGCTTCCAAAGGGGGAACATTGGTACCGGTACATGTATTCTCTCAAGCGGACCTCAACCGGCTTTCTAGCTAGCTAGTACGAGTCTAGTAGAAAGCTTGTAGCAAACCCACATCTCTCCAAGCAGTCAGCAGTCAAATACCCCAGCCACCTTTCTTGGTTGTCACTGTAGACGAGAATACCCGAGGCGGCAAGACAAGGAACTCACACGAAACTTGGATGAATGTTTTTTAGGTTGAAAGGGTTGTCTATGTATGTAGTCTTCTTGTCTTTTTAGCAACTTGAAACGGTTGAAAAGTCCAACTCTTTGTACAAGTAAATTTTTGGTGTTCTTGCCGCGATGCTTGTCTAATCAAACTCTCGTTTGGCATCGTACAGGGAAACGAATGCGATGGAACCAAGAAGGAATACGGCAGCATTCAACCCGTAGACGACACTCCAATCTTGTTGCGTATAATCCAAAATCTTTCCAGTCAAAAACACTCCAAAGGTTCCCGTCATGACAGCTGGTAAACTGGTGATGGAGTACAGCAATCCGGCCCACTTTTCCCCAGCCTTTTCCTGGTTTGCTGAAAGGTAACCAGCACTGGAGGACAAAACGGCTTGTGAGCGGCAAGCTGCCATCATGATGCTCTTGTGATCACGCAATTCCCTTGGACTTACCTGTTCCATGCCATGAGGCCGGTGGTACTCGTCAGTAGCAGTTGAGCCACCCACGGCTGGTCTGGAATATGCGAGGAAAGGGTCAAGAGTGACACAGACGGTATGAACAACGCAGTCCCCTGGAATGCCTTTCGAATATTGGTAATGGCTTGGACTCGTTCCTCTTCGTCGAGGTCATCGTCAAGCCGTTGCAGCAAATTGTCGGAGAGGGAACCCGCTAGCAATGCACCCAGAGCCCCCGCTACACTGGGCAATATGGAGAAGAGTGCCGATTCTTTGACATTGAGTCCGTACTGTTCCGAATAAAAGGTGGGCGACCACGCCAAGAGATTGTAGAGCCCCCAATTGTTGGCGGCATGAGCAAGCAGCATAGCCCAGGCCCCTTTGGATTTCACAAATCCCATCCATGGAGCCTCCTTGAGGGTTTCCATCGACTTGGTGACTTCTGCCATGATATTATTGGGTTGGGTTTCTTCCGTTACAGCAATGGCGGCTGTGGGCGTCACATCCACCACCAATGGTTCCTTCAAAGAGTCGTTGCTGTCGGGAGCATCCTTGGCGAGGGATAACCAGGGGATCAACCAAAACAGTCCAAGCCCTCCATAGACCAAAAAGATATACCTCCAATCTCCGAGATAATCAATGACCAGAGGCGAGATGAAGTACGCCCCCACTGTTCCCGCATGAAACCCGGAAAACACCGTGGCCAAAGATCGGGACTTTTGTCCGGTGGTGGTCCAACTGGAGAGGAGTGTTTGCAAAGTCGGCAACACCACGGATTCTGCCGCACCCACACTGGCTCTTGCCAAGAGCAGGGGTAGCATAGTAGTCGCCCCCGCGGCCGCGGGCGTGACAATGGTGGCCAGACTCCACACCGTAATCCCACAGGCCATGACTATACGGGGTGACATGGTGGCCACAATAATGCCTGCCGGGACAATGCCCAACCCGTAGCCCACACTAAACAGAGATGACACGGTCCCCTTCATGGTTTCGGAGTACCCAAATTCGGCACTGAGGGGTACCATGGCCACCGACATGGCGACCCGGTCCAAGGCACTCAGAAGAGCCACACCCCAGCAGAGGAATAGCATGATATTCTTCATTTGTTCCTGCTCGTCTTGACTGTCGTTCACAGCAGTAGATTCCAGGGAAAGCTCTGGCATTTCTGGAAAACTTTCAGTTAGAAGAGCCGTGGTATCATTGGAGATGCTGCTTTGGACTATTTCCTCTTTCGCCACAACCTTGGTACTGTAAAGGGGTATCCTGGAGACAAGGCATTTCGAGTGGCAGATATTACTATTGCATATTGCTGCTGGCTGGATGGCTCTTTGTGTCAGGCGTTGACTCTGAAACCCTACAGTTGAATAAAGTAAAACTAGCAAGACCCCTACATGGAGGAAGTGCCTTGTCGTCGATAGCAACATGGTTGTTGTCATTGACCGAGAGAAAAGGAAGGTTTGAGGGTTTGAGGCAGACAATGAGATTCGTTTCTATGCTACCCCCAGCCAGAATCGAATCTCCTTGCGGACACCCCAGCTCACTTACTTTTCATTGGCCACCGTCAGTCTTCTTCGTCCCAGAAGCGCCACATTCACTGCTTTCTTCTTCAGCTGCTCCTATTGTCAAAGACATGTTGACTGTGACAGTCAGTGCAACGTGGTCGGTATGTGATGCGATGCAAGGCTTTCGTCATGATTGGCCTTCTTCTCCCTGAAGATCGTGTCCCGAAGTAAATTGACTCAAATTCGACTCATCCATTCGTCACTTAACTGTATCCACGTCTCAGAGAGTCAAAACCGCGGCTCACATTTTCGGAAAAGATCCTTCTGCTTATTGCCTTGACGGACCCTTTCATTACATTTTAGATGCTGTATTTATTTACTTGTACATGCATTGCTAAATAGCTTTTATCTATTCCGCGTTATTCTCATTACGAACTGGCTCTGGCATACGGTAGCTGCTGTATCTACTCTTCTTTTGGCACATCCATATCTGAAGGCTCGTCCTCGGTCACTTCCTCGTTGGTTGGAATGGGACATGCCTCTACCATTTTCGTGGCACCATCCGATCGTAGCGTCAACCCGACAAAGACAATCGCTGCAACGGCCCACCCCGGCACGAGCTCGACTGCGTGGTATGATGCCGGAAAGGAAGGATCCACAAAAATAGCCCCCACTTTGGCACTCAAATAGAGGACTCCAAAGCTTTTCAATCCATTTGCCAACAATCGGTATTGCTGGTCCAGGTGCAAGGCACCCCGTTCAGTGGCTTCCTTGAGATCTAGAGAGGTCACGGCGGCCAACAAGGTCCACGCCGGAAAGGCTCGGGCCAAACGACGGCCCGTCCACGACGGAATGACACTGGTGGGATGCGTCGACACCAATTGCAATCCCGTGAAAAACAAAAAGCCACTGGCCAACACACTGTATTTGACCTGGACGGGATCGTCCCGGTTTTGCGGCGCCAAACTCACCAATCCTTGGGCGACCCCATCGCAAATCTGTTGGGGCCACTGAAGAAGACCTGTCGAGGCTGTCTTTGCCCAAATTCCACCACAGACGGTGGCACCCAATCCGTACGCGGCCATCAGTCCCTGCTTCATCATGCCTTGATAGGCTTGATGGCTCTGGAGCGGATCCGTGCCCGGAATTTTGGTAATGAGCGGGGCTTGCCACACCCACAACGCACTACCAATTCCCGCCGCCGCCAAGGCCAAATTGTGGCGTCGTGCCGTGTTACTTTGGAGTTCGTTCTTGCGACAGGCCCGGATGAGAGTACCATAACTGGTCAAAATCAGGGGCGCCGCACTCAGAGCACCGATCCGGGCAAAAAAGCCGTGTTGCCAAGTGGGCATCAGGGCCCCCATGGGTTGATTGGACCGAATGGTCGTGTAGACGACCGTCGACCACGCGGCCGTAGTCGCGATACCGGCGGCGGCGTACAAGAACTTGTAGAGAGCCGGCACTTTGGGGGAAGACCCGCCCCTGAAACTGTCGAGGTCAGTGATAGTGGAACTGGTTGTCTCCTCCGCTTCCAGGAGAAGATCCTTGTGGGTAGTGCTAGACTTGTCGGCAAAGGAAAGAAGAGCACGGCTAAAGCCAATACGAAGTGGTCGCCGCATGTTATGCATGACGGCCGTGGCGGATACGGTAGTGACAGTGGCCAAGGCCAAGAAGAGGGCGAGTTGGAGAGGGCGGAGCATCATGCTACAGTTGTGGCTGGATTGTTCCAGGATATTTCAAGGCGAAGAAAAACCAAGAAACGCTAGAACTTAGAACTTGTCGTTTGCTTAAATCAACAAACGCTTGAACTTGTCGTTTGTTTCTGTTTCTCCTAATGCTGATGATCGCTCTCGCTTGCTACGCGGGTAGTCTACCCTTCCGTCTTTGCGTCGGTGCTACAGTACCATTAGTCTACCCATTGTTGTCTTCGGTCTTGGTCGAGTGCCTTGACACTTGTTTTGCGAGGCAAAACGCACTTGCCATGCAAGTACGATTTTGAAATTTTATTTTGACTCAATTGTCACTCATCCATTCGTCACTCAACTGTATCCACGTCTCAGAAACTGTTGCCGGCAGGCATCGTGGGCTTCCGAAAAGATCTTTGACAATTCCTGCCCACTTTTATCACCGCCGCAACAAGGAACAAACAGAAAGGAACAAGTAAAAGATACCTGACTTGCAGCAGCTACTCTTCGCAATGTTACGAGCCGCATTCCAGATTTGATGGCTCTTGAGCCTTGTAGGGTCACCCGAGGCATTTGCTACATGCATTTTTCCATGGCCGACAATAATCTTCACAGCTTTCTGCTCCATGATATCCGAGAACTCGAGAGTTCGGCCTTTATCCGCGACCCCAACACGACAGTGTGGGTGTATGTCGATGGGAGTACCCGAGGCACAGAATTAGAGAATGTGGTAGACATGGATGGCATGCTCATACCCGACAATTTCACAAACGCACACATTTTGCAATTTATCCAAGATTCCTTTGTCCTAGTTCAAGATCTAGGCGAGGTCAACTCGGATGATCCCGCCACTATTGAATTGTTCCTTTCCACGGCTCTTTCTAGCTGTGTGGAGAAAAGACAAGAGCAATTCATGCTCCTCATGAGTTCCCATGGATCGGGATATGGATTTGGAGGAGATGAAGTGCATGCCAGGAGGAGGCGATTGGTGGCCCGAAATCAAAACATTGCTGCAGCGATCGGAAATGCCCTAACTCTAACCGATGGTGCCCCTGAAAAATTGATCGTGTTGGCATTTGATGCTTGTTTGTAAGCGAGCTTGGAATCACTGAAAGATTATCGAGACGTTACCAATACATGGCAAACGGTTGTGGAAACTTTTCATCCACGTGGGACAAAAACTACTACCTCTTGGTTGATGCAGCCGACGAATTTCTAGATTTCATGTATGTCTACAGAGAGGAGAATGGGGTCAACAAAATACCCGTGCTATACTTTCCCCCAGGCGTCAACGAAGATACCAAATTGGAAATCCAAACTCAGATGGAGAGCTTCAACTTTACCATTGAAGCGGCCGAGGCAATGGGAGGGCTATGGAGTGACCTTCTGTTCGACCCCTTGAGTGTTCAGACGAATGACGCTGGAAACTTGACAATTCCGTTCGATCTGGTGACCCTCTACACTCCTGGACCTGGAGGTTCCATCGCAGAGACGGACAAGGCGGACGGAGGTTTCCTTGTCCCGGTCCTCTACGTGGAGGGTTTAATTGCTGGGTTTCCTTTTTCCGTCCTCCTTGGTGGATTCTGGAACACTATTATCGAGTGGAAACAAGATGTGGGGTTGGCACTGTCCCCGATTCCTGCAGAGGAGACCGCTGCCGGGCTCGGCGTTACATTCTCAGTGGTTGACTTGGTAGCTTATGACTTTGTGGCAGAAGGGGAAGAGCCAAAAACCCAATTCAACTACTTTGTCATTGAACACGCTCCAGATGGGACACTGCAATCCATCGAAGGCAACGACCCCGACCCTGGAGCAGATTCTTCCGCTGTCAGAGTTGCAAATGTGATTTTGCCCGCATTCTTGGTGGCCTTGACGTCAGCTTTCATTCTCTAGTTTCGAAGGGCAAAGCTATGAGCGAAACCTTTTGGAGAACTGGATCATCTGCCACCACCACCACCATAACACCCCACCTCTACAAAACATAAAAAACAAAAGATGAGCCCACGGCCGACGAAACACCAGAAACAAAACCAAGTAAGTTTGCATATCTATTTCAGATTGTTTGCAATCCAACGTCGGAGCCTAGCAAGCTGGGGCAAGCAGGTTACGCGTACTAGCTAGGTCCTGTCTCTGTAGTTCAGGAGGGACTGCATCCACTTACCCACCCCTTCTCCCCGTTTGCGTCTGCCATTCATCCCTTTTTGACTTGACTCACTGCAGAATTGGGATGACCGGTTGATATCACAAGCAAACATCGAACCAACTAGAAAACCGTTTGACCTTCTTTGCGGTGGAACCCCATCCAACACAACGATAGCTAGCTAGACTATCTTGTCACTAGATGCAAGACTTTGTGTCCCCACCCATAGACTTCTTTGTTGTTTTCAAACATTCGCATCAATTCCTCACAGAATTGCTGATGCAGCTCTTTCGTCATGACCTCTTCTTGTGAGGCGTCAATTGGAGATTGTTGTATTTCTGCAGGCAGTTGTATGGCATCTCCCATTATATAGAATGCTTTTTGTCGAAAGGGAATTGGCAATCCCGAGGCACCATAGAATATGCAAATGCCTATCCGCAGCTTCAAGCTTAGAGCCTCCAGCCATTCCGGCAACCGCACGCGTTTGAACCATTTGGTCGCTCCAAAACAGTACACGGGCATAAGAGGTATTTTGTGTTGGATTGCCATCCGGACAAAGCCATTGGGTATAATTGCAAACTCATCATCAGGATGAGTCAATTGTCTTGGATACCCTTCAAACATTTCTGGAATCCCACCTGGAAGGAGGGCGAGCCGAGCTCCATCTGTCAGAGCTTCATGAACGGCTGTGCGTGAGACATCACTGGACAACCACGAACAAGTAAGGAGTGAGTGAGGCAACCTTGAAAGAGATCCTTTAATCTGATCCGTCCAACTAACTACTTACACCGTGTTAACAATGCTAACAATGTCTCTGACAACAGGAAATAAATTGGTGGCTGTGGCAATGGCAATCCTTACCCTTCCAAAGGCCTTTTCTGCCACTTCTGGAATTCCAGCCAGTCCAATAGAAAATGGAAAAATGCCATGAGGAACAATGGCAGTAATGCTTTGTGCTGACTTGTACTCCTCGTGGGCTGCTGATGCTGCTAGTTGTGCTCGACTGTCCTTCCAGACTTCCAGTGCCATGAACTGACACCACAGATGCCATATTTTCCATTTGTTAAATCCAATGTGTTTACCAAACCAAGGACGCCGTTGAGGACCTGCCACAAACAAGGCAGTCAGTGCAAACATCAGGGCCCCATAGAGAGCCTTTCGTCGCTTGTCCTTGACTGCCTTCCATCTCTTGTAGGCCCACACATAGCAAGCTGGAACCCATGCAAGACTTCCAATCAAGACCAGACTAGATCCTGTCAGGATTGCTTGTTTCTGCCATGTCCAAGGATCACCAGGCACTTGCAGGAGCACATGAGGAGGCTTGGAAGGAGATGGGTACAGAGAACAGGGTACTTGGGGCATGATTTCGGATCATTCATTCAAAGATTGCGTGTTGTGTCAAACATCGAGAATAAGATGTTCTGAACGGTAGAGGGTTACGGACTTGCTCGGGTAGAGGGGGTAGATTTGAGGTTAATGTTAAAAAGTACTTTGCCTTTTTGAATAAGAACACGTTGTTTACCTCGCCTACCTGAACTTCAAAGATGTCTTGCCGAACTGCTCTGCTAGCTAGCTAGCAAGCTAGTGTAAAACTTGGGTAAGTTTAGTGGGTTTCAGTTCGTCTATCTGAAAGAGAAAGGAATGCGATGCAGTTGCTGTCAAAGTTTTGGATATCGGATTCCCTGCTGAGAAGGTAACTTGAAGTTTCACTAGCTGGGATTCAGATTGCCGATGAGTCGAGTCAATCTAATACCTCTCAGGATATGGCAGTCCAATGGATGAGTCCAGGGCTAGACATTCAACGGTGTCCAGTCTCTGTAGTCCAGGAGGGGTTGCATTCACGGCTTCCCATTGCCCCAAGTGCCAGTTTGCGACTACCATTAACCCAGTGATCATTGGTAGCAGTGGGACGCGCAGTTGAAATGACATGCAAACAATGAAGCAACCAGGAAGCACTTTCTTTGCAGATGATCCACATGACACAATTTCTAGCTGTCTTGTCACTAGATGCAAGACTTGGTGACCCCAAGCATATTGTTTTTTTCAAACATTCGCATCATTTCCTCACAGAATTATTTTGGCTGTGACTTCTTCTTGTGAAGCATCCCTTGGAGATTGTTGTCTTGCTGTAGCGAGCCAAAGTGGATACAGCTTGAAACTTCCTCAACCCTGCAAGTTGATTTTACGATGTGGTGCCATTTTGCATTCCTTTCTGAAGTAGCGACTTCACTCGGGGGTCAGTTGCCTCATCCAAGGGAGAACGCCCCATCGAATCCAGTGTCCACGGGTCCACCAACGCTTCAGTGAGGAGCCATCGACAAGTCTGGTAGTGTCCAGATCTGGCAGCCAAGTGGAGCGCAGAACGTCCCTGTGTGTCTCGTGCGGATTGTACTGCTGCGGGTTGTGACAGGGATACGTTTCGTAACTCTGCTGTACTCCCTCGATCAGCAAGTCCCATTATTTCTTCCTGAAGACCCGATTGTCCATCCTGCTCTTGCGCTCGATTCAACACATCACTACCGGTACCAACTCCCAACTCCTCAATGATGCTTCGAATGGAACTGTCTAGCTCGGATGACAGATGCGCCGTAATGTGCCGTCGCGACAAGGTCTCCAAAAACGTGCTACAAGCATCCTCCTTTACCCCCGCAAACTTGCAGAGATCCTGTTGTTGTTGTGTACAGGCTGCCGAATGCCAAAATTCTGCTGCCTCCCGTGACGATTGCACCACCTTGTCGGTTCTCGCCACTGCTTCTCTCCAAATCCCCCGTACGGCAGCATCCACCCGCGCTCGTTGCAACCAATCGGCCACCAAGGGTCCATCCAACAATGCTTGATTGGCCCCTTGTCCTTTGAATGGGGACATTGCGTGCAGGGCATCTCCTACCACCACAACTCGAGGGAACGACTGGAATGCTTCCTTGAGAGCCATCGGATCGCGATCCATCAAGGAGCTATCAATCAATCAATCCAGCACAAACGTCAGCCACACCCATGAGACACACACAGCAAGCAGCATACCTGTACATACAATCCACACGCTAACATGATCTTACGTACGTTCCCCAGACTGTCTCCAGTGGTGTTGCTTTTAGTAGAGCCGGAACTGGTTCGTGCCACTGAGAACACTTTTCCATGACGGTTTCCAGGAGCACTTGTGGACTCTGACTATTGCTACAAGTTTCGTCGACATGACTATTCTCATTGAATCGATACGAGAGTTGCCACATGATGCGTCGTTCGGTAGAAGCAAATCGGTCTCCTTCGTAGGGCATGGTGAATAACCGATGTTTTCCATCTCCAATGGTGTAAAAGCCCCGTTCCGTGAGCAACGGGTGATGGCACCCTTTGGCAATCCCCAAGACAATCCTCACATTCAAAGGACGAGGCTGACAGTGTGGTGCGAGCATGCTGACTACGGAGGACCGTACTCCATCCGCCGCAATGACCAAATCACTGTCCACAACAATGGTGGTGGTGGATTGTTGTGTGATTATTTGTTCTTGTCGTTCTTGTTGATGACGAAATTCGATTTGAACCTTTCCTTTTGCTTCCAGTTGCTGGATACTGCAGAGACATTGATTCCAGTGGATTCCAGAGGTGATGATCGTGTCATTATTGTGTTGTTGTTGTTGATCCTTTATCAATTGCAGCAATCGTTCCGTCATGATTTTCTGCAGAGTTTGTCGCGGTATCCTCATATTGCCTCGTTGCCCAAATCCTCTCGACGGCAAGAAGGCATTGCCAAAATACCCCAGTACCTTTCCCGATGGATCAAAAATGTAATGACATCTCGAGGGACAATCCTGCTGTGCCACTTGCTCTAAAATGCCACAATGATGCAACGGTCCCTTGGGGTTGTATGTGAGTGTCATGCCAAAGCCTTCTCGTCGCGTCGTAGGATCGGCATCTCGTTCGTAAATGTGGACATTGGTAAAACCGGCTTGGACCAGAGAAATGGCGGCAGAGAGCCCTGCAATGCCACAGCCCACAATTGCAATGGAAGCATCTGGATCCAAACGCTTTTGTTGCTGCTTCTTGCCTGATCTTGTCATTACATGTACTCAAAAACCAACCAATTCTCTCTCTCTCTCTCTTACTCTCCCACTCTCTCCCTCTCTCATTCTTTCCAACCGACTGATGACAATCAAGACTATTATCTCGAGGCTGGCGGTCCAAGTCAATTGATGGCTGCCATGCACTCATCGTTGATGGCCACTCGACCTTCCAGCTTTCCAGCTCAGCGCTAGCTAGCAAAGATACCCTTTTCGGAAGCCTCATGACAGTGAGAAAGACATGACTCTTAAATATTTAAATATTTGAAATTTCACGGAAGATTAATTAACTATGTTTCGGTGAAACATGCCATAAGTGATCAGTTACTGCCGGCAACAGGCCAATGGATGAACCGAAGAAAACCCGAACCATGGTTCCCTTTCGAGGAAACTCGATGCTTGATTATTGATGGATGGAATGCCTTGAAGTCAAGGAAGGATAGGATTCTTTTACGGTTGCTAGCTAGCGTGCCCAAAAGCTACGACCGTGTTGGAGCTTCGAGTCGATGGGTCCTCTTGTTCCAGCCAGTGTTCTATTACTCCTCGATCGCAGCTATCGTACCTGCAAGAGACCAAGTAAGCTGAGGAAGCTCAAGTGGGTACTATCAACAAGTTCCTCTGAGATCACTTTCTCGTTTCGTCGACTCCAACATCTTCTTTCTGCCTTGCGGTTCGTTTGTGTTGTGTCGTTTCCTTTGGATCGATGAGATAATGACTACCACCATGGCGTTATCATCGTCCCCAAAAGTACTAGGGATTTTCTTTTCGTCTGGAGATTTGGGGGATGTCGGGAGACACGCCGTAGCTGCGGCGCTGGAGATGCCACCGACGGTGGTAGCCACCATTCGAGTCTTTTCCCGCGACATTGCCAGCATGGAAAAAGCCAATTGGAAATGTGGCTGCGGCCAGCATTCGTTATCGCAAAAAGACCGAAGCAGAATCCAATTGGTCCAACTCGATTGTACCGAGGATGATCTGGTGCCGTCACTCCTCAATGTCGACGCCATTGTATCCTGTCTGGGATCTAGGCAACCCTTTCACAAAGAACGAATTGTCCGCAAGGGGACGGAGCGTCTCGTAGAAGCAGCGATTCGGTGCAAGATAGAACGATTTGTCATGTTATCATCTGTGGGGATTGGGGATGATTGGCCGCCAATGCAGGTGAGTTATATAATGTACAGCAGACAGACAGATAGATACATGTAGATAGTTGATGTTGGGAAGAAAAGTCTTTCCATGCCTCACTCTTATGCCCCCCATACCGTATATTCGACCTGTGTTCCGCCAACAGTGGTGTCAAGAAGGACGCATGTTGGAAGGATTCTTTCGAACGATATGCTGGATTCAGTATCAAGATTTGAGTGCAGCGGAACGGTCAGCTAGAGAGGGGGCTCTGGAAAATCCATCCTTTAACTTTCTAATTGTACGCCCGGTAGTATTGTCCGAACACAGGGAGCCAGTAGGTACTTGGAGGGTACAGATTGCCAAACACGAGGATCATCCCACTACGGAAATATCCAAAATGGATTGCGCCAGGCTCATGATTACGGGTACGTGCGGGTGTCTGTTTGTCTCTTGTGTGTTTGATTGTATGTGATCCTCCTGCACTTTTTTCAGACACCCTCATGTATGTATGGTATCGCTTCCAATGATTGTTTGTGGCATGGACAGAGGCCGTGTTTCCATCGATGAGCCAAAGGGCGATTGTGCTGGGTGGCAACCAACACATTGAAGATTTCAAAACGTCCAATGAATACTGGGCCAACTTGCAGGTGCCATTCTTCTGTCAGGCACAGAAGTTGCAGGCAACAACAACAGACAAGCCAGCCAAAACGAGGGGGAGAATATTTTGAATAATGGCTGCAGCAAGTTTTGGCTGCTGTGTGCAAATTGAGCAACAATACATCCATAAAGCTATAGTTTTGCATACGGTACCGTACGAAGAAGATACTTGTCGTCTTGCTCTCTTTGATAGGAGCCGCAGCGAAGACGACACAAAAAATTGCAAGGTTTGCACTGCTTCATTCCGTCGACCCGGCACTCGAGCCACCCTGATTGCACTGCCAACTGAAAGACATATCTCCTGCATGCCTTGTGGACGATTCTGATCCCGTGCTCCAGGCTGCCGCATGCCAATGGTCTGTCCAGTGATGATGCACGTCAGGACGATCCGAAGGAGGCAAACCTTCACCAGTGGAGTTGCCGGTCTCTCGTTTCAATGATCCTCACAGGCAATACCGGTGCCTAGCTAGCTAGTAGCTAGCCAAAAGCCCAACCAATAAGTCAAGTCGAGACAACCGAGGAAAGCCCTATCGTATGCTAGCTGGCTAGCGAATAATCCCAGACTCTAGCTAGCTAGTAGGCACGCAGACGAGATTGACAAAGGATTGATGCGCGTTGCCGACGAAGTTTGATCGAAGCATCAGGGCGAGTGACCGACGCGAAGCCATCAAGTGTCTGACAGAAAAATGCAAGGTTCAAGCGACGAAAATTGTCTTCCTCAGAGATTAAGGATTCAAACAGCGTTGATTTCTTTAGAAGTGCATTTCATCAGGGGAAGATGTGAGGTCATCAAGTAGGATGCATCACAGTTTATTGTTTGGGTATTTTTTGATGGGGGAAAAGCCACCAATCACCAATTTTCCCACCGTCAAACCACAACACCCATCCTTAGCTCATCACTATCATCAAATATCCAATTTCCAGTTTTGTCGTCTCATCCACTTCTATTCTTCAATCTTTCGGTTTTTAATCAAACTTTCCCAAAATATCCGATTCTCGGAAGAGAAACAATTCTTGGTCCTCAATGGTGACCTTGCTTCCTCCGTATTCGGGAAGAAGAACCTTATCACCTGATTGGAGGCTTGTTGCATGAAGAGTGCCGGTCACATCACGTTCCCCGGGTCCAGCCGCCACTACTTCTCCTTCATTGGGATCCTTGGTCTTGTCTGCAGGGAGGTAAATCCCACTGGCTGTCTGAAGTTCCTTGGGAGCTCTCTTGACCAAAATTCGGTCACCTAAGGGCTTCAATGTTCGTGCGAGGGCCTGAATATTAAAAGTGAAAAAAGAGAACAAGAAGTGATCAGGGTGGGTATCCAACGTCAATTAAATCACACGAAAGGAACTGCTGACAGAAAACAAAGCCAACCCTCAGCCTCGACAACTCTTTGCAGGGTGCCACCACTTACGCGTGTTCGGAACATGGTTACACTACTTGTTGGTTGATGGAGAGAGAGAAAATTAGAAGAGGGTCAAGAGAAGCCCAAAATTTGTGAGAAAGCTGTGAGAAAGCTGTGGTTGTGGCGGTTTGAAGAAAGAAGAAAGCAATGGAAAATGGAAGATCCGGCCAAGATCCAATCGGAAAATGCAGTGGGTTCACGAGCTTCCACGGTGGGCGATGTTGGGTATGTAACTGTCCTGTAAAACACTAACCTTACCGGCTTGTATCTGAAACCCTCTATTCAACTCCCGCGCCACGGGCTACTAGAGAACGCCACAAATATAAATGTTTGCCAGGTCCAAGAACTTGCAAGTTGCCCCGAAGGACCAGGCAGTGCTAAGGACCAGGCATTGTATAGCCCATAGACCAATTCAGTCTTTATAGCTTTGACATACTAGGCCTAGCAGCACAAGTACTCCACGTTACAACAAGATGGGATTTCTGGATGGTTTGACACGAAGGAAAGCTTCCGTCCTTGTACCGACAGGAGTATTCTCTTTTGTGATGCTTGTTGCCGGTACGTACTGGCTGCCTTCGACTGTACAGACCAAAATATACAATGAGCCCGGAAGTGGAATCCAAGCAAGTCGTTTACATGCGCCTCTGGAGAGCAGTGTCCATACCGGTAGGAAACTCGAGCGTTCTGAGTCACCCTGGCAACAGACTCCAATTCTTGGGTTGGATCAGGGTGAACGACAACAGGATTCGAGCAAGGATGATCGAACACCAAAAACAGAAGCTACCTTGACAAACGAGATTACTTCAGAAAACCCATTGCTAGTATTGAACCTTCCAAACAGTGGAGAGGTGACCATCAATCGGTACTTTAGATGCGCTGGCCTTGAGAAACATGAGCTTGGTCGCTTTTGGGCCAACACGAATCATGAAATGGAGATGGGCAAGTGCATTGAGGCCAATCTGAAGGTTGAAGACAACCAAGATAAATATCCTCTTGATGGTTGCGGGAACTTTCGCGTATGGACGAACATAGAGTACGTATCCAAGTCGTTGCCCAGATCGGTCGAACCTCGCCATTGTTTCTTTCCAACACTACAACCAGAAACCCTTCGAAAGATCTTTAAAGCACACCCTAATGCCACCATTATTCAGGCCCTTGCAAACCCAGTGCGATGGTACAAGTCTCTATCCATAGATGTGAAGAAAAGATGGCCCAGATTTTGCAATGAGAATCATGACATCAAGTTCCCTGAAGCATCGGAGTCAGAAGCTGACTGGGTCAAGTTCTACTATGATCATACTAACATGTTGCGAGAAATTGTTAAGGAATACCCATCCTTGACGTACATTGAAGTGGACCTGACACGTCCACAAAAGACGGCCGACATGTTGCAGGCATCGCTCGGAATACCAGCCACTTGTTGGTTGGAAGCGGCCAAAGGGAATCAGAGCAGACCCAGCTCTGTCAATACACCAATACTAGTTGCATCGCTCCCCAAGAGTGCAACCAGTACAACACACGATTATCTGAACTGTGGGCTTGGCAACCTCCAAGGTGCTCACCAGTGGACAAGGAACGAAACCTCCAATGTTCCAATGCAGGTGGGGAGGTGCATCGAAGAAAACCTGAGGCTCAAGCGCCCCATATTCTATGATTGTGGAGACAACCTGCACTATTCGGACATTGGAATTGTTGAGCCAAGCCACTGTTTCTATCCGACCATGGAAGGTGGGCTAGATGCAATGTACGAGGCATATCCCTATGGGACAATTATGAACGTTGTGCGAGATGGTCGAGCATGGTATAGATCAGCTCAGAAGCATTACAATTTGTTGGGCCGATGGTCCAGCTTTTGCCCCAACTTTCCTGTCCAGGGCTCCACAGAAGAAGAATGGTTGGATTTCTACCAATTCCATACACACACAGTCCGAAACTTTGCCAAGCGGCATCCAACCATGACCTATGTGGAGATCAAGCTGGAGTCCAATGAAACAGCCAATATCCTGCGGGAGACATTCGGCTTTGATGATTCCTGCTGGGGCCACGCCAACCGCAATAAAGAGGTCAGCAGCTCTGCGTAGGAATTGTCCAGACACCCATGTACTAGTAATCATATTCGTAAACGCACTACACACTTGAGTATATGGTAGATATGGCAGGTCCCTTCATGGTCGATGCAAACCAGCTGTTTACGTAAGCATCTTGGATGAGCATCGTACCGGTAGATGACAAGAATGTACTTAGTTTTAACTTGGATGTACGAATACTAAACCAGTTCTATCATATTGCATTTGATTGAGTTTGTAAATGCTCCAATTGCTTGGCGACAGTATTGATTCGATTCGACGTCGTCAGTAGCCAGGCTTCGAATCGAAACATTGCAAAAACAAACCGAAGAAGATCTAATCCACGCATGCTCGAATCACCTTGTAGTTGCCATTCTTGCCTTCTGTCATTCTTGCCTTCAATCTAGTTCTTGTCGCTTTCTACGAGTTCGGCAAGGAGCTCGTTCGCTTCTGCTACGGTTGCCGGGGACATCTGCTTGATAGATGCGTCGTTCAACGCCTTTTGAATGTACCCAATTGCTTGGGCTCGGTCCTTTATGAAACCGTTCACTCCCATCGCATAGGAGCGACCAATGTAATACAAAGCCCAATCGGACCCCTGGCCAGCAGCCTCTCCCATCAACGTGAGCCCGACGGAAGTATTCTTTTCCACTCCTATCCCAACCAAGTATCGGTGTCCGATACACGCCATTGTCGACGGATGACCCGCATTGTGAGCCTTCTGCATCCATTCAAAGGACGACTTGTCATCTTTTGCAAAACCGTTTTTGCCAAAACGCAAGTTGTCGGCCACGAGAAACATGGCGTTGCGGTCTCCACTGTGCGCTTTCTTCTCGAGTGCCTTGTTGGCAATCATCTGCTCGACGTCGGGACTAACAAAGACGCCACTTTTGACCAATGCCATGATCAATTCCTTCGTCTGCGAAGAAACTGGAGTCAACGTGAGTCCCATGGGTTTTCCTGTGCAGGGCGACGTTACCATTCCGTCGACCACCGTCTCTTCAAAGAACGCTTCCATCTTCTTGCGCTCGTATATGCACTCATCTTCGGCAAGCACAGGATCCACGGGAACGTCTCCTGATAGTCTGCAAAGTAGATGCGCGTATCTCTTTTGCGTCACCTTCTCGCTGTTGCACAAGAAATCGCGCATGTGCTTTTCGAGAATCCGTTTCATCCCATCCTTGTTCCCAGCAAGAGGCAGCTTTCGCTGCTTGCAGGCCTCCTGAAGCTGGGCAAACGACATCTTGTTGATGTCTTCATTCGGGAGCAAAATCAATTCCATGGTGTTGTTCGTCGTTCTTCTATACGTAGCTTCTTTGTCGAGATTGATGTCGTCGGCCCTCGTCAACTGAAATTGTGTCCTCCTCGAGTGAAATTGTGGCAACGCTCGAACTCGAGCCGATGCAAGACTGACTTTGTTCGTTTGCTTTTAGGGATCAGGCTACCCGAGTTCTTGCGACCACTCCAAAACCAAGCGAGAGCGACATCATCACACGACATCGAACAGATCAACACACCAACAACATCATCACCGAAGATAGACTCCTGAATGTCGATGCGCCTTTGATACTGTAGCGTACCAGCACTTGAAAAGAAAGTGATTCATTTCTACTCTTCTACTAGCTAGCTCCTGTTGTGGTGAGCTAGGCTAGCTACTCTAGCTAGAGCCAGTTAGTTGCATTGAAATGAGAATTTCTACCAACTATCATCGCACGCGGAATGACAACAATGTTCTGAATTATTTATTCTTGGCGTCTCAAAAAAAGTGGATCGGTGTTGCCACGATAATGACAATTCTGGGGAACCTGCGGGGAGGAGCTGCTTTCATCTCCATATCATCTCGCAGCAGCGCTCCTCGACATGGCGGTGCTTCCGCAAAACTCAAGAAATGGACCAGTGCGGTATCTTCGGAAGCTTCCACAACCCCCACTTCCATCTCCTCTCTGAACCACAATACCACACGACAACTCGCTAGTAGCTCGCAGCAGCAACAACAACAAAATGCCCAAATTCTGTCTTGTTGGAACCGATTATTCGATGTCGAAGTACCCGAAGGTCGGTGCGTGGGATTGGAATTGGTCGATTTTGGAAACGATGACACTCGTTCCTTGGAACCAGAAATGATCACCACCAACGCAAGTCACTGGATCCATTCACTCCTCCATGAAGAAGAGGTTGCCTACGGTGTCACACTGCCCTCGCCGTCCCGAAGAGACACTTTTTTCATTGGACGCATGGCCGTGCGGGAAGCACTTGGCATTCTTGGCGACACTACTAACAATGGAGGAGAGCGTCGTCGCAATCCCTGGGAAATTGCCTGGACGCGTGGCATTCCACCCATTTTAAAAGATGAACACGGACGACCCACCATGCCCAAGGGATACGTCGGCTCGATTAGTCACAAGGGGCGAGCCGGAGTGGGGATTGTAGCACGCGATGAAACCTACAGTTCGCCCGAAGATCCTCCCAAAGTGGGCATTGGTGTCGATCTGGAATATACCACCAATAGTCGACGCAATATTTCACGCAGAGTCTTGACGGAACATGAGATTGCGTCCTTGGGTCAAGTCGAGGTACGTTTTTTATTTGAAAAGCTATTATTGCATTCATTCGATTGTGATGGAACTACTACAGTAGAGACCTCACCCCGACGAGTTTATTGTATGCATTGCCTGTTTTCGGCGCAGGGCGTGACAGAGGAAGAAGAGGTAATGCTTCGTTTCAGGTATGTCATGCCCCCGTTACAACAGCAAGAAGTGGCATGCCAGGATCACTAATCAATCTAACTTCCCCCGTCATCATCTTGCAAACAAACAAATATTGTAGCCTCAAAGAATGCATCTACAAATCCGTGCATCCACTGATTTGCCAGTATGTTGGGTTTCAAGAAGCCGAGGTTACCCCTCATTCCAATGGCACAGCAACGGTGACGTGGAAGATCAAGTCGGGAGCACATGAGCGACTGGGAGATATCACGGCTCATTGGAGACGATTAGAAGATGGTAGTGATTACTTTTTGTCGAGCTCGAGTGCAGTGCTTCGGGAAGAAGAAGATGTCACGAAATAATAAGGAACGCGAGAAAATGGATGTGGCAGCAACGATAGACAACGATATCAATCCATCATTTTTGGCCACCATGAGAGATGCGGTGGCCATTGCAAAATCCATCATCCATCAAAACACAACTCTTGTCACCGAAAGGAAGCAAGTCGCTACGACGACAAAAGACGGCTCCCTTACGAGAAGGAGTTGCTCTTGGCCGGAGAAAGCCAGATCTGCGGGAAGACTAACATACAATACACAGAGAACCCGGAACTGGAACTGCCACTGCGCACAAATAAATGGACCTGCCTGGCAACGGATTGAACAACAACACGAGAAAAAGTCACCAATTTTGTCAGGCTACAGTGTGCACAAGCTCTTGCTACCGGTACCAGTTACACGATAGACCTAATACAGCTATAGACTATGCAGAAGAGCAGTCCTTCTGTCGGTAGTAGAAATAAATTGACTTGGATCTCCCGGCGACTGCAAGTCCTGGTCCAGGTTTCTCGCTCGGTAACATACTAGTGAAACAAATGATTCCAATACCATAGTCCAGCAACTTGAGATTGAATGCCTGTGGTGAAGTGATGTAAGAGGCAAAGTTTACAATTCAAATTCGAACTACTGGCTACTAGCCTAGTGGTCTCCCTCTTCACCAAACGCAGAACACAAACAAGGGCAGTCATTTTCATGCGCCCATCGGAGTAGGCTCCAGTGTCCCTTGCTAGTTGCATTTCGGCATGTCTGGTGATCCCATGGACAATCATGCTCACGAGCATACTTGAGTACATCTAGATGATGACCCAAAGCAGCAGCAGCACATGTGTCAACACCCCAAGGGCAACCATGCTCATGAGCATACTTCACAATTTCCAAATGCCCATTTTCTGGAGCCTTGGCACAAGTTGATTCATCCCATGGACAGCCATGGTGATGAACCCATTGGATGAGTTCTAAATGGCCACCCAAAGCAGCAGCAGAACACACTTGTTCAAACCATGGTAAGCCATTTTCATGAGCCCACTGGACAATTTCTAGGTGACCTTCCTTTGCAGCATTCAGGTATACATCACCATTCAAGGGACTGCCATTCTCGTGGGCATATTTTAGGATACCCAAGTGTCCCTCCTTGGCTGCAATTGAGAGGATATTAGCATGCCTTGGACAGCCATTGTCATCGGCGTACTTCAGGATTTTGACATGCCCATGGCGTGCAGCAGTCCAGGAAACACGATCGTCCCATGGACATTCATTCTCATGAGCATACTTGAGCACATCAAGATGCCCATTCCTTGCAGCAACACTGCATGTTAATTCATTCCACGGGCAGCCATTCTCATGCACCCATTTCAGCAGCTCCAAATGCCCATGCTGTGCTGCTTGCAAGCAGGTATTTGTATTCCACGGACATCCATGCTCATGAGCATACTTTAGCACACCCAAGTTGCCATTGAGAGCAGCATTACTGCAGGTGTATTCATTCCACGGACACCCATGCTCACGAGCATACTTTAGCACATCCAAGTGGCCACCACTGGCAGCATATCTGCAGGTGTATTCATTCCACGAACACCCATGCTCATGTGCCCATTTGAGTGTATCCAAGTGTTCATTTGCGGCAGCAGCAGCACATGTCTCTGAATGCCATGGGCAGTAATGTTCCCGGGCATACTTTAGAATATCCAAATGTCCTCCTTCGGCAGCAGCATAACATGTCATACTGTCCCAATAGCAACCATTTTCATGGGCATACTTTAAGATGCGGAAATGGCCATGCCCAGCAGCTATGTAACAAGTTCTTGTATCCCAAGACCAACCATTCTCATGAACCCATTGGAAGACTGGGAGGTTTCCGCTTTTGGCAGCCAAAGTGGCAACTCGCAGAATGCTGCTGTTTCTTTTGTTGTGTTCCTTCATGTTGTCAGCATTCCAATACTTGGTACAAGAAAGACTTGTGAAAATTGCACTATAGAAGGTATCCGTGCTGGTTGCTCTGCGAGTACGAAGCCGGTCCCCGAACTTTGGGTCCCTTACTTTTTCTATCATGTCTTCCTTCAGTCGGGACGCCGCTTCTCCTCTTTTGCTCCTGACGTCGAGGACATTGTATCTATCTGTAGCTAGTCCTTACCGAGGACAATTAGCTAATAACAGATTCGATTCACACATCAACAGCTTGTTTGTCGTCGAAGTTGTGTGTTTTGTGGGGCTTCTTCTATCAGGCAGGTGTTCCTCGCTTGTGTTCGGTTAACCTTCTGTATTCGGTTTGCACCATTCGGTTTAGTGATCTCTTCTCCCACGTTGCGCGCCCTCACACCGCTTCATCATTGTCTGTAATTTCTTTCTTCGCGCTCTGCGTCCAAGGAACAACGACAACAGCCAAACTAAAACCTCATTATCGGTAGCACAAACTAGCTAGCAGAGCAAGAGAGCAAGCTTCGTAGTTGTGGTTGTTGATTGACAATGGCGGATCCATCACCCTCAGCAATAGTACCCGAAGGGAAACCCAAGGAAGATGACGACGATCAGTCGGATGTAGAATTGGAAGGCATGGACGTGGATGATATCGTGGAAGAAGATGCCGACGATGAAATCATGACGACAAAGACGGATGATACCGAAGAGGAAGCGAATAATACTAATGATAATGCCACCAACAGTGAAGCCTTACAAGCAGAAGATGCAGAAGAACTGGAAGCCGCCAAACGAGAACGAATGGAATTGCTGGCGGCCAAAAAGAAAAAGGAACAAGAAGCTGAAGCGCTGGATCCCAGCAAGAAATTTGACTTTTTGGTGGCCCAATCGGATGTCTTTGCGCATTTCTTGGCCGGATCCGTGGCCGCATCGTCAAAGAAAGGCAAGAAGGGCTCTCGTGGAAAAAAGGGTCGCTTGACGGAAGCCGAAGAAGATGCCCAATTGCTCAAGACATCCCAGTCCAAGCGTCGCACAGTGCGATTGGAAAAACAACCCGGAATCTTGTCCAGCACCGTCACCATGCACAAGTACCAACTCGAAGGACTCAATTGGATGATCAAATTGCATGACAGTGGAATTAATGGAATTCTAGCTGATGAGGTGAGTTACAAACAAATGTTAAAATGGATGGGACTTGCCATTATCATAGGTATCTGACACACTCTGTTGCCATTGACGGACCAATGACACACCCAATCTTATCTGTACACAATAATACAATACAACGACAATTATAATTTGTAGATGGGCTTGGGCAAAACACTACAATCTATTTCCCTCTTGGCATGGTACCGCGAGTTCCGCGGGGTCCGTGGGCCCCACATTATCATTGTCCCCAAGAGTGTCGTCGGAAATTGGTGTCGCGAATTCAAAAAGTTTTGTCCCACCATTAAAGTCGTCCGTATGGGAGGTACCAAAGCCGAACGAATCAAGGTCGTCACACAAGACTTGCCGCCCGATGAACATGGAAAATACAAATTCGATGCACTCGTCATGTCCTACGAGGCACTTTTGAAGGAGAGAGGCAGACTCTCCAAAATACACTGGAAATATCTCATGATTGACGAAGCCCATCGCATCAAAAATGAAAACTCGTCACTCAGCAAAGCCATTCGCACCATTCAGACCGAACATCGATTGCTCATTACCGGAACACCACTCCAAAATTCCATTCACGAACTATGGGCATTGCTCAATTTTCTCATGCCCGATATTTTTGGGGATGCCGCCCAATTTGACGAGTGGTTTAGTATGAATGATGAAACGGGCAAGGAAAATACTATTAAAAAGCTACACACGGTCTTGCGACCATTCATGTTGCGGCGCATCAAGGCCGATGTCGCCACGTCGTTGCCACCCAAAAAAGAAACCAAACTATACATTGGATTGACCAAAATGCAACAAGAGTGGTATGTCAGGGTACTCCAAAAGGATGCCCATGAACTCAACAAACTAGGTGGACCGTCGCGGGTGGGACTCTTGAATGTTCTCATGCAGTTGCGAAAGGTTTGCAATCATCCTGTGAGTAGAAAGAGAGGCAATTATCAGCCGTGTATGTTTTGGTTCTTTCTTGTTGCAGGAATGACTCACATTCGTTTAACAGTATCTCTTTGATGGAGCCGAAAAGGGACCTCCGTATGTGGACGGACCCCATCTGTGGGAGAATGCCGGGAAACTCCAACTCTTGCACAAGCTGTTGCCCAAATTGAAACAAAAGGGTTCGCGAGTGCTCATCTTTTGTCAAATGACGCGTGTTCTAGACATTCTGGAGGTAATTCATAATGTCGTTCACTGTAATGATTGTTGTTTGCTTTGCTTTGCTTTGCGCTTGCCAACTGATTTGCTCTCTCTCTCTCTCTTTTGCGGACGGAATAGGATTATTTCCGGTTCCTGGGCCATGAATACTGCCGCATTGACGGAAACACGGATGGTGAAAAGCGAGACTCACAGATGGACGAGTTCAATGAGGAAGGGTCCACCAAGTTTTGTTTCTTGCTCAGTACTCGTGCAGGTAGGTGCAGGCTTGTCGAATGAGACCTCTTTCCATATCCTTTAAGCTCCTCTAACCAAGTCTAATTTCTGCCTTTGTAGGAGGACTCGGAATCAACTTGGCCACTGCCGACATTGTCATTCTCTACGATAGTGACTGGAATCCTCAGGTGGGTAACCAGAAGTATTCAATAAAGTTGTTCCGCCTTAGGAGACC